GATCTGCACCGGAACACAGATGCCTCTGTGATGCTCGTACAGTTTCTCGTATTCGCTCTGGCTGTATTGACGCCTTCAACCCCAGGATACCAGTTCCTCTTCGTCGCAAACGCGGCCGTATGGCGTATCTGGTTTTCCATCGGTATCGGATGCTTGCTCAACCGCCAATCTAATAGTAAAGGGTGGACCCGGCATTTTGTCAAGTATGGCGAGAGTCCGCACGAGGCTTGGAGCCAGTGGAAGGGCACCTACCACCTGAGCATGATTATGTGCTACGCTAGCTTCATTGCTGCCGTATGGAAACTTTATACCTTCCCCGCTGATTGGGGATACGGTCTGGTTCTCCTGCGGCACGTCGTGGGCGCGGGTCTCGTCGCCTTGCAGGTCTGGACTAATGTCAGCATCTACGAGTCGCTCGGGGAATTCGGTTGGTTCTATGGTGACTTCTTCTTCAATGCATCGTCCAAGTTGACCTACGATGGAATCTATCGCTTCTTGAACAACCCCGAGCGTGTGCTGGGTCTCGCAGGTGTCTGGGGTGCGGTCTTGATCACTAACAGCGCCGCCATCACTTTCCTTGCTTTGTTGAGTCACATCCTGAGTCTGGCATTCATCCAATTTGTAGAGCGTCCACACATGCAGAAGCTGTATGGCCAGAGCCTGCGTCGCGATGCTGGACTGGTAAAGAGTTTGAAGCGGTCCTTGCCTCCTTCTCTCCAGCAGCTGCACGGAAGTGTCGACAAGATCTTTGATGAATCGTTTGAATTTGTCGAAGAGCTTCTTGAATCTGCTCGTCCCAAGCTCGCGGCCGGTGTCAACACGTTTGTCAAGGACACCACTGCTCTGTTCCAGAAGTACCCGGCCCGTGTGACCATCACGCGGATTGATGCTGACTTGGCTGGCTATGACCTGCATGACTATTCGCTGGAGGTTGAAAGTACTAACTCCTCGTCTATCGATGAGCCCGATCAACCCAGCGGCCGTGAAGGGGCCAACGCCCGGATGCCTTTGGACCGGCGTGGTGACCTCAAGAACCTGGTGTTTGAATATGGTGCCCCGGTTAAGATCAGGTGGACTGCTCCTCTCAAGCACAACAAGAAGGACTGGATTGGTCTCTACAGAGTCACTGACAATACATCTCGCGAAGTCACTCGTGTCTCGTCTCAAGGTCGCTGGGTGGCTATCAACCAGGGCCATTACGACAACTCGACATGTGAAAAGGGAATTGTCACGAGCGATGAGGTCCAGCGTCACGAGAACGGCCGTGAGAATGCGACCGGTGAAGTCGTCTTCTCGGGAGACAAGCTCTTCTGGACACAGGGTGTCTTTGAGTTCCGGTACCACCACAACGGCAAGCACAATGTCATGGCCATCTCTCGCCCATTCGAGATCCGGATCCGCCGGTTCAACGAGGAGGACATGCTCTCGCAGAACCCGGCTCTGGCCGAGACATCGGTGGAATCTGCTCTCTTGCCTATTGTCCGCAACTGTTTCGATCGGGATCCAGAGATTGCTCCTGAGGGTGTGGACGAGTCGTTTGGCGGTCTCGTTGAACGGGATGGTAAATTCGCCAAGCGGGTCGTTTTCGCCGTACATCAAACGTGAGTTTCCTGCCTTTCTATGACAGTTCTAGCAAAGCTAACCTGGTTCACAGCTTCGGTATCGAGCTGGCCCCTGAAGTCGTCCAGGCCGATGGAAACGTTCGCAACCTAGCATGGCGTGTATGCAACGCAAAGCGAGTCTTGGTATGCAACTTCTCCTTGTTTATATATCCGTGGTGAGGCTAACATCCATTCTTCAACAGGCCCCCTACAGCATGTCGAGAAACGGTGCCACAACCCCGACTGAGGAGAAAATATAAACACCGAACAACCTTTTACGGTCCTTTTCTTACCCCCCGCGCTTCCGCCGCTTATGCTTATGAGATGAGAGCTACGACAGCAGCCTGATTGTTATACCATTTTTTATTTTCGACTGACCCTGGATTGCTCCTGGTCTTTGTGCTTTATAACTGCTTTTAACTTATTTTTCCTTTTATGTTCTGATATGTATTTCTGTTTTCTGATTCGGCCCCGAAGAAAGAAAGAAAGAGAAAAAGGTCTATTAGAAAGAGATCAAAAATTCAAAAAAGGATACAAAGAAAGATGATGAGAGATGACTACATGAACATGGAACTAGATCGATATCCAAGATGGTGAGTGGTTGGGCCTTTTGTTCTGCTGTACATACGCGAGAAGTAATTCAATCAATCAAGATATTTAAGATAAAATCGGAGAATTATTCATTGACATTTATAACTAGGACTAAGATGCTACTTCTAAAAGCGAGAATAAACGGTATCCCTACTATAAAGTAAAACGTCAGCACATGCTACCAAACGTAACAGGTTGAAGCGTAACACGGAGCACGAATGCCTCATTATCTCCCAAAAAAGAAAGAAACGAGGCAAGTCAGCCAAGCCGGGTAATTCATCCCTTCCCCTGCCGACTCCACTCCCTCGACATGTCGCCCAAAACGGACAAGCACCCAAAGAAGCGTTATCGACACAAGTCAAGCGTAGCAAACCACAACCACAAAGCAGCCGAAGACGAAACGCGCCAACAACGACTGAGCCCAACCTCCAACACTCCACAACCAATCATCCCCGAAGCCATCATGTGAAAGCCATAGGTATGGTATGAGGGAGGAAGAGGATGGATCGCTGGGCCAAATTTCACCGTCTGGATTGCAGCGCGGTGCGTTGCTCGAGGGGCGGTTCTCCGAAGAGATCATTGAATGGATTGACTCGTTGTCATCATAAAAAGGGAACGCGATGGGTGTAGGGCACTGCTGTGCCTTGAGTAGTGCTCTCTTACCTCTTGATGAATGAATAATCTTGAGCTGACCGGTATCAAGGCAGCCTGAATACTATCTTGCTGTTAGTCTCTTTTTCAAAACTCGAGATGGCAGATGACAATTGAGAAGAGTCGAGGATATCAGAGGATTTGGTAAGGTATTTTGTTATCTTCAATAAATTTGCAGAAGCAGAACTGAAAAATTTTTTTCATCATAAAATGTGACTCGGCTCGTAGGGAAAAAGGAGGGGAGAAAAAGAGAGGGGGGAAAAGAACATACCCATCCACTTTTCCCGTCCAAGAGCACGAAGCTGGCGACGATTACACTGTCTACACTGTCTGATGGCACGTTAGCAATGTGCACAAGGCAAGCAATTGAGTGCAATAAAGCAAAATGAAAGCTCGAAATGTCTTCAGATGGTGATGCATGTTTTGTTCATGGCTCATCTTGCGTCGCCGGAACAGAGTTTGGATAGTTTTCCATCATGCAGACAGGTGTGTTCATGGGGAGAAGAGGGAAAGACTCACGTTACAATCTGTTAGTACTGAATCGATTGAGATATCAAAATAGCAAATTCCTTCATCATAAGAAGGAATGTTGACAGAAAGCGAGGGAGCTCTGTATTTAAAGGAGGGAAAAGTGGGAAAGAAGAAAAATCAACAAGCGAAGCGAAGAAAAAGAGCGCTTCACCGCCTAGCGTCAACCAAACAATGCAAACAACCTTCCAAGATTTCCGTTTATGGACTTTGACGACGACTCTTTTGCTCGTCAGTTCTAAAGCTCTCCTGGTGGATTAAGACATATTACTACAATATGGACAGACGAAGAATCAATGGGCCGCCCAGCGGCACACGGCCTGCTGTTTTTGCCTCTACCATTAAATCCGCATCAGGCGCTGCGACAGAAAGACCAAAACGTCAAAGGCAGTCGAACGAGCTGCGCAAGATATGTAAGGATATATATTCCTCCCATTGAAGGAACCGAGTTACCATACTAACGAGCTTCTTCAATCTAGTCCTGAAAACCGGCATCATTCCCACGGCCTCCGGCTCCAGCTATGTTGAATTTGAACCATCAGCCTCTCTCGCCGCTGCGCGCTCGTCTCCTCAGTCTTTGATTCCCCCATCGTCTTCCCTTAAACTGGCCTGCACAGTCCACGGCCCCAAACCCCTCCCACGATCTGCTACATTCTCGCCGAACATCGTTCTTACAACACATGTCAAATACGCCCCGTTTGCCGCCCGCAAGAGGAAGGGCCATATCCGCGACACGAGCGAACGTGACCTCGGCGTACACCTGGAAACTGCGCTGCGCGGCGTGATTGTCGCTGAGCGATGGCCAAAGAGTGGACTGGATATCACAATTACGGTGCTAGAAGCGGAGGACGACCGTTGGTGGAGTGATGCGGCAGATTCGCACGATGCGTCCTGGGGCATGATGAACGTTCTGGCTGGATGTATTACGGCGGCATCTGCTGCTATTGCAGACGCGCGCATTGATTGTCTTGACCTGGTAGCGGGTGGTGTGGCGGCTCTTGTTTTTGATGAGTCGACGAAGGACGAGGAAGGGCCAAAATTGATGCTGGATGCGGACCCGGCAGAACACCGGTCGATTCAATCTGCTTGTGTGGTGGCGTATATGCCTGGGCGGGACGAGATTACGGAACTTTGGCTTAAGGGTGATAGTTCGAAGGCGTCGTTAGGCGATGGTGACCAGCGTGCCGGGCACGAGGCTCTGATAGACGGCGCGGTGGATGCGGCTCGAGGAGCTCATACGGTTCTGGCAGATGCAGTCAAGGAGTCCGCAGAGCGGTTCATCCGTCAGGCTATGGGGTGAAAGTCTACTCTATGGTGGTTGATATGTCAAATAATGAGAATATAATGTCATTGAATTCTTAAGTCATTGCAAATGGCCTTGTTTGGGTCAACCCTAAAGGGAAGAACAGTGAATGGCAGCACACCAGCAGGCCTTTCACTGAATGAAAACACACATATAAGCACATCAATCTTCTTAAAATCGCACATCAACGACCCCACATCTTATATTCTTGCTCATAACATTTTTAACTTCCTTGATCCTGTTACCTTCTCTTCGAGATGTCCGAATACACCCAAGAGAGGCTCAGATCCTTACTTTATAGGACTCAGAAGAAGAAAGGACCCTTCATGCCACCACCGGTTTATCCTGTCACTATCGACGACAATCTCGTCTTCCTCTGGAGAGCTATTCAGCACTCGAACTACACGAAGGTAGGTCGATCCTTGTTTCCGTCACTTTCAGGACGATAAGACGCGTCTCTGTTTCGAATAATTATCAGAAACACGATATACCCAGTGCCCTATGTTCTATACTAACTGGTTTAACTGCTCCAGATCGACTTCAACCTCCTCGGAAACGATTTCCAACTGAACCGCGAAGAAGCACTCGAATGCTTCAGAGAACTGAGACGAGCCATCGAAGACGCAGTCTACAATAACTACATGGAAAAGTCCAACGATCGACGCGAGAGCGCTGGCCCCACGAATATACTTGGGCTTGCTGTTCGTCGTCGAAAGGAAGCTGCCGAAGCTGAGGTTGCTACTGCCGCCGCTGCTGAAGAAGATGCTGCGTACGAAGAGGATGAAGAGTATTACTACGAGGGGTACGATGAGGAATACACTGAGGATGAAGCTCCTCATGTTGCTTCGGCGAATGGTGATGCCTCGGCTGCTGGATCATCTAGGGCTGGTGCTTCGAAAGCTGGAACTTCCAATGTCGGCTCTTCTAGCGTTACTTCTTTGCCTGCTGGTACCTCGAAAGCTGGCCTTTCCAACGCCAATACACCCAACGCTGGTTCTTCGCGTGTCAGTACTCCAGTTGCTGGTAATTCAAAGACTGGCTCTTCTAGTGCTGGTACTTCCAAAACTGGTCCTACGAACACTGGTCATCAGAGTGCTGGTTCGTCGAAGCAGGTCTCTTCAGCTTCTAGCCAGCCTGCTTCTGGGACTGGTCCTCTCAACCCTGATCATTCGAACACTGGTCCTTCTAACGCGGGTGCTTCGCAAGCCAGTGCTCGCCCTTCCAGCGCTGGACATCCGAATGCCAGTCGCCCCAGTGCTCCGTCTTCCAACGTTGGTCCATCCAACGCGAACATTAGTGCCTCGAGAGTTGCGCCTTTCAATTCTGCACCTTTCAACGTTTCTTTGAACACTGGTCATCAGAGCACTGGCCACACCAATGCGTCCAAGGCCGTCAATAATCTAACAGTGAACTCGGAGGCTGGACAGGCTTCACAAGGCGTCAAGTTGGCACCCATAAGGGCTGGTCAGTCCCTTAACCTGCCCCTTCCACGTCTCACCAACCTCGCTGGCCCTCCAACTGCCCAACCTCCAAATGTTGGCTCTTTAAGCACCTTCTCTCCCAGCGCCATTCCAGCTCCTGGAGCCAACAGTTCTGTTCTTCAAATCATTCGACCTCCAACCGTTCCCGCCATGAGTTACTTCCATCCAAGCGCTGCTACAGCTTCTGCCGCCACAGTTTCCGCAGCCACCAGCCTCACATCCATAATGATACCCCAAGTCCCCCAACCCTCCAACCCCACCCCGAGCCAGACCGAGGACGGACCCGTGGTTCTCGACATAACCAGTCTCAGATGCTTCTTTGGCGTCGTAGACCAAGGCGTCGGCCCAACTTCGCTTAACGACAAACTTTTCTCCCGGCCAGATTTCTTCTTTCCTGCCAGAACCCCGACATTCCCTACGCCGTATGGCCTAGACACCACCGGAGCGAACGAGTCACAGACACAGGCGCCCAGGCTCTCTTTGCCTTCTTTGTCGTCATTGTACACTGTGCCGTCTATGTTGGCTGGGCGCCCCTCTAGCCCCGCTACGGTGGACAAAGGGAAGAAGCGGAAGAGGGCGTCTGGATCGGGGGGTGGGATGGAGGAAGATAAGTCTGACAAGGATAAGGATCCTGCGGAGTAGGTCGGTTACGATATTTGGTTGCGGATTATGTTTATGGGTATGGAGTAATACATGTGCATTCGGTAGGGAAGGACGGGGCTGAATATGACAGGTGACAGCATGTACGTATGCTATGGTTTACAGGATCGACGGAATAGTCTACAAAGATGATGTATGTGTACGCATAATCCAATCGAGTACTTTTTAACGTATTGGCACTATGCGACTACCGAGGGATGACCATGTGTAGATCGAGCGATCTGAATGTATATTTATTTTTCGCGGCAAGGATGGATGAGATCAATAAGGGGGATGTGCCATGCTATCCCGCCATGCTTTGTATTGCAAGAATCTTTTCTTAGCATGTTGCTCTACAAGTACTTTGCCCCGTACGGAGTATTTATTGTCAATAATGGTTCCGAGCAGGGTACCCCTGTAAAACTATCCGTGCTCTTTGTTCGTGATCTGCCGTGCGTTAGATGCCAAAGACAAACTCTACAGGGATACGGATACGCGAGTCACATCTGCATCGCCTATTCGTACTCGATATCCAGACAGTTCAAACAGAGTTTAAAGTCGGCCGTTATGAACCATAGTTCAAGGATGTCACTGTCAATTGTGATAGTAGCCGCTAGAGACAAAGGCGCAAAGACCAAGTCACATTCGAACTAACCAAATAGAGAAAGAGCATACGATATGGAGACCGAAATATCAATCAGTCTCCAAATCAATGGCATTTGGCACTGCTCCGGTCTTCCGCGGGACTGCTTATCCTCCTTTTTTTTTTGTCTTATAAAAGTACGGACGGAGTGCGTACGTACCCGACAGGGCACGTCCCGGGATTTTGGATATCGTAAATAGATCAGAGCAGGCATTGCTTCGCTCTAGTACCAAATAGACCAAGTCCCAAGAGCTGACCCGGTAATTAGGCGCGGCGATTAGGATCTGTTGGTCGAGATTCCGGATTTGCGGCATCCACAAATAGAATTCAAGAGATTTGAGCCCAATTTACTTGACTTCATGATGGGCAAAATGAACGAGTGGAATGTTTATTATTATGCACTTTTATTTTTGCACATCCCATGGAAGTGATCGCAAAGGATAACTTTTCGGGGCAGCCGGTCACAGTAGTGAGGCGTATACTGACTCACATAACACCCCATCACTATGAACGGACCAATATCCTGTCACGGCTGTCAGCTTGCCGGAAACTTCAATATTCAGACTTGACTATCCATCCTCGAGTGGGAATATGGACTAATACTATTCTGGTGCTCCGTACTTTGTACTCCCGGTGATTCTCCGTGGATAGTCTGCCCCGTCCGACTAGTATCCGGCTGTACTCCGTAGGATTGACGGGAATCTAACAGTTCGTCTCGTCTGTATGGAACAGACGGACCAGAGGATTGATCAATAGTTCAACCTTGAGATGGGGTGAATTAGTCGTGAAGAGGAATGACTCGTGTGTTCATACTTTTTGCTTTCGGAAGTGTTTCAGGGGAACGAAGCCGATGACATCGGCAGTGGCGTTTACGGTAATTTTACCGCGGAGACGGCCCGGGACTCTGTCCAGCCCCGGACAAACATTGGAGCGACGGGCAGTTGGGATGATCGCCGAGTCCAATTGCTCGTTCTTCATGCTGCATTATTATGCTAAAGTGGCGATGAACGAGAATACGGTGCTTGAAAGCTAGTAATGGAGAATAGCTGAAGATCAATTGCTGCAGTATCAACGGAAAAGCAAGCAATCCCTCGTTACTGTTGAAGGAAGGGACTCTCCCGAAATTGCCCGTTAACTGACGGCCCCATATGTTGGTCTTCATTTATCGTCCCCAAGAAGAACCACAATCACCCACTAACGCCGTCAATAGATAGGTCTCATAGTAAAATCCAGCCTCTTGGCTCTTCCTTCTTACAAAGGCTGAGGGGCCAACCGTTCGAAATGATCAAATAAGAAAAGACGCCGCTGGATCAGTCACCAACGCTAATTTGGTAGCAAGCTCGGGGCGCACGTTCATCTCACGAAATAGCCAACGGAATTCTCTGTTGTGGGACGATCGATAGTCTGGCTGTGCCAATTGCACGTTCACTTCGTGGGCTCTTCATTTCGAGGCAGTTCGTGGGCCCCAGACTGCAATTTCCCGCAACTTGATTTTTTTTTTTTTTTTTTGCTTCTTCTCCAATGGCATCCGAATGCCAGTACGCGGAGTGTTCCGAGCGGACTCACCCCTTTTTGTGGACTCGCCTCTCTTTGTTTCTTTTCTTTTTCCCACCATCACGAGCTGTCCGGTAATCCAGTACGGGATACGCAGTTTTGCCGTATGAATTCTTCCTCCAATGAGCATCGGTACCATTGCTGATTCCCATCATATTGCGCGGTGATTTTGGATGAATGAAAACCGCAGATCGAATCCAATAGCAGCGTGTCAAAGTGGAGCCCGGATGTTACGACCGTGCACATGTAATCCATCCTTTGGGTACTGCCCAATACTCGACGGAGCAGTGCTCTCTGTACTCTGTACGGAGTATGGCAGTGAGGACGTTAGGGCCAGGCTGCACGTTTCATCAGGAGTGTTCATAATACTCGTCGGAGCACACACTGATTTCAGGCCTCGGAGCATCGGAATTAGAAAAGACACGCATGCATAAGCTTTGTGAATTCGGGCATTTCCCGTCTAGAGTACTTCGTCAAGTGTGCTCCGCGGCCACTAGGGGCCCGTCTAGACTAACCTTTACGGTTGATGTGCCTGTACATCACTTTTTCCCCTCTCAGCTTCTGTCTCCATCGGTTCGGCCTTCAGGCTTTCTTTTTTCTCGCCCGTGATCCCATCACAATGGATCACGGAAGACGGACCAATTCTCAAGCCCCATTTGTGCCCCCCTGATCCAGATGCGACTGTTGGATCTACGAAGCCGGTCCAGGCAGATAGTTTTGAAAGTTAAACTCGTCGTCTCCCTCTTTTTGTTAAAAAAAAATTTGATGGCGCTCTTCTCGACCCGAGTTTTTGAATTTACTATTTTCTTATCTTTGTTTTCACGAATGACACTCGACGTATAACGGTTAACACAGACCACATTTGACGGGATCATGACATTGCATTGCATTTAAGAAGACTGCGAATCGCCTGGCTTAAGCTTCTGAGTTTTCGTCATTTTTTAACCTAAAAAGTCCACACCTGATATTCAAATATCCCGCTTTCCCAACGGCTTTCCGCATTTCAACAACCCGCAATACTTCTGGATAATACCACTCCCCCAGACCCTCAGACCAACCATGGTCGTCTTTAGAAAGCTTTTCCTAGCGGAGAAATATCCGTTGCAGGCTCCTGGTCAAGGAGCTGCACCGTGTGACGTTGGTCTTAGTACAACTGACAGTCACTACTCCGAGCTGCACGACACACAGACTCGCCCTCCTCTATCACCTCACATTAAGATTGTGAAGCCATCGGATTCGCAATTAGAAGTGGACCGCCACTTCGAGAGAATCGAAAAGCAGCTCCAAGAATTGCAAGGCAATCTGCAAAAACGTCCTATGTCTCCAAAACGCCCTATTTCTCCCAAATCCCAAGTACCTTCTCGTGCTCCGAGTCAACGCACAACACAACAAAGTCCTCGACATGTCGACCTCTTAGAAGCTGTTGCTTCCTCGCAGCGGCAGCAAGCACAGCAACCGGGCCAAACATCACCGCTGTCCCCGTATAACGAAGATGTCGCGGAACGGAACATGACGCGGTTTCTGCAACAACAACAACAACAACAAAAACCTCGCAAACGAAGCATCTACTCCCGTTTTAGGTCGGTTCTATCTCAGGACGATGTGACGGACAGGAGTGGTGGAAAAAACAAAGACGATTTCCGTCCTCGGTCTCGAGCCACAAGCATGCGATTTCGGAATGTTTCGGGTGGCTCTGCCAAAACCAACGCAAAGGGCCACAAGCGTGCCAGCAGTGGTCGTTCGGATATTGGACCGAAGGAGAACAAGACGGCAAATCCGGGCGCACAGGAAGCTTCCCAGCCTGTCACATCCCCGAGGGAAACCCAGACACGTGACAGACCTCGTCTGCGGACGCAGAGATCAGCACCGAATTTGTCAGCTGAACAGCCCGGATCATCGCCGAAGGGACCTGCTCCTAGCCCTGGTGGACACCTGAGCGTTCCTCCAGCTCATAAGCAAGGTGATAGCTGGAGCAACACACCCATCCCAGACAGCCCAACACTGCCGACCCCAGCGAAAAGCGTGAAGGAACCGAGTCCGGACCGGGGAACACCATCCACGGCGGACCGGCGTCCATCATCGACATCCCGCAACTATTCCCTGCCAGCCGGCCCTACTCCTTCGCGAAAGAACACCCTGAATCTCTCGATTGACACCGATTTGGCCACTCGCGGGAGACAGGGCAAAGCCTCGCACCGGGCCATCCAACCACCAACCCCCAGCAGCAACGATATGAAATGCAACCCTAGCATTGCTGAGGTCATGAACAGCCCTCTGCCATCAGCTACACCTACCTCTATGTCTCCTCTCCCCTCTGCAAACCCAAAGGTCGCGGAGATTATGGACATGTTTAGACAAGCATACACCTCCACCAAAGCCATCAGCCCCCACCCTACTTTCGAGACATTGCAGGATGCAATAGTTCGCGAGATCAACTCCCACGAAGCCTTTCAGCGCGTACCTGTTCCCGAGCAGGGACCAGCTTTCACTCCCTCCCCAAGACGGGAATCGTTCGACAGAGTGCCCAAGCCTCCTAAGACTGCTGCTTCCGGAAAGGACAGCCAATTCTCTAAATTCAAACCGGCTTCCTTCATAAAGCACCGCAGAAGCTCCGACGCGCGCACCAGCATTTCCACGAGCGTTCCTTCGAAGGTCCTGGGCCGGGTTTCTACATCTGGCAGCCGACGCAGACACACAGACGCTCCCCCACCATCTCCTTCCCTCCTCGACACACCAGACCTACCCCAGGAACTCAGCAACGAAATGCCTCCGGCTTACACAGACATCCCTCTCCGATGTCAAACCGCCTCCCCTAGCATTTCTAACAAGAAGCGTTCAGTCTCCATCTCCAAGAGCCTCGCTCCCTCCCAATCGGCGAACACGCTCTCTTCACACGGATCATCATCCAACACAGCGCCTTCGGTCTACTGCCTCCGTGCACAAACATCCGCATCCTCCAGCGAGGACCGGAACAGTTACTTCTCCGACGATGGCGATGACGATGTTCTTCATCTTCCTAGTCCTGGTTTCGCGGAGCCTCGCATGCAGAACTATGGCGCCAATGCGTACAGACTGCCCACTCGGAATGTCATCTCTCCCTGCTCGTCTAACAGTGGATACTGGGCTCGCGAGATGCGTTCCGTGGAGACTTATTGATTTATGAACTGGATAGAAACGGTTCGATTTTGATTTCTCATGTTTTTATACATGCGAACACACACTCTCTATCTCGCGTCTTCTTTTTATGTTTTACATATGCATACAAGCGCTCCTTGCTTCTTTCCTTTTGCATCTATACACGGACTTCATTCCTTTTTCCTTTACGTCTCTGCACTACATTGCATATCATGCTACTTTACTTTTCCTATATTGTCTCAGAACCACCGTCGTCAATCATCCACGAGATTTACTCTCCTTTTCCTTTCAAATTGTTTTCATCCTGTCATTTAGCGAGTCATCGTTTCTATCTTGTATATATACTTGCACATCTGGCTACCCATCCCAGTGTGATCATCAAAACTACAAGAATAAAAATTTACAATCATTATACTTAAGAAAGTTGGTTACAGTCTGCTTCTTGCATTGGTAAATCCATAAGGTATCAAACACATCTCACATCATCGTCAAACTCATCAGGAAAACAAATTTTTTTTGACGCCTCCGGTTTTCTCATTCTCTTTTAAGGACATATAATCCATGACAACCCTTGTCGTAGTATGAACAGAAGAGGGTTCAACATGTATACGTGCGGCTCCGACGCGGTAGATAGCTTAATAGGAACCTGTAGTGAACGTTAGTCGTTATCCATTTTCCAGCAGAAGAGGCAGAAAAGTAATTGAAAGGAAAGTGAACAGGGGGCACTTACGGCCGAACAGACACCACTTCTCAGCCGTACGGTTGCAGTGGGGGTTTGTGCACTTGGTGACACCAGCCTCAATACCCTCCGGCTGGTCGAAGGGAATGCACAGCGACTTAGCGCCCATGCTGGGAGCCTTGGCGTCCTGGGCGACACCAGAGTCCTCCTCGTGCTTGCGAGCACTCAAATCCTTGATCTGGTCCTCACACTCCTCAGTGAGACAGTGAGGGATGAGGCAGACGTTCTTGTCGTTGAGGGCAGGGACGAATTCATCCCAGTTGGTGATGCTCTTGCGGTGGGTGCGGTACTCGTTGTCTGCGCGGTTGAAGAGGTCCTTCTGGATGGTCTCCAGCATGGCCGGGACGGCGGTGGAGAGTTCGGGGATGGGGATGGAGGACTTGCCGTCCTTGCCGGGGACGTCACGGCGGGCGGCGGTGACGAAGTGGCCCTTAGACTCGCCAGGACCGAACTCGATACGGAGAGGGACACCGCGGAGTTCCCATTCGTTGAACTTCCAGCCGGGGGAGTAACCCTCACGCATGTCGCTGACGGCGCGAATACCGGCAGCAGTGAGGACAGCGACAAGGCCGTCGATTTCGGAGTAGAGCTTCTGGCGCTCTTCTTCGGAGGTCTTGGCGGTGATACCGACAGGGACGACGACGGTTTGAGTCTCAGCAACGCGAGGAGGGAGAACCAAGCCACGGTTGTCACTGTGGATCATGACCATGACACCCAGGGTACGGGTCGACAGACCCCACGAGTTCTGCCAGACGTGGAGAGGAGGTTTCTTCTCGTCACCCTTGACCGAAGGATCCTCAACGGTGATGTTGAACATCTTACTGAAGTTCTGGCCAAGACCGTGCGAAGTACCACCCTGAATACCACGACCAGTAGACGGGATATAACCCTCGACAGTCGTGGTGTAAGCACCACCAGCGAACTTCTCCTTCTCGGTCTTCTTACCCTTGACGACAGGAACAGCCAGGAGTTCCTCGTAGATACGAGCGTAAAGGTCAAGGATGTGCAGAACTTCGTCATCGGCAGCTTCTTGAGTCAAGTGAGCAGTGTGACCTTCCTGCCAAAGGAACTCCCTGGTTCTGAGGAAAGGCTGAGGGTGCTTAAACTCCCACCGGACGACGGAGTTCCACTGGTTGAGCTTCAGAGGCAAGTCACGGTGGCTGCGAATCCACTTGGCATAGTAGGGGTACATGACAGTTTCCGATGTGGGACGGATGGCAATCTTTCTATCGAGAGGAGTCGAGCCTCTTTAAAGATATCGTCAGTATAACCATCGAGTAGAAACGAAGGAAGAAATTTCATACGCATGAGTGACCCAAGCGACTTCAGCAGCAAAACCCTCGATGTGGTCCTTCTCTTTTTCAAGCACATCCTCGGAGACGAACAGCGGGAACGAGCAGTTCTTGACGCCAATCTTCTTGATGTGCACGTTGAACCAATTTTGGATTTCCTCCCAGATGCAGTACGAAGCGGGCTAGCAGTATATCAGTAACGATGCGAAGAAGGAATTCACTGAGCGCATGGTATCCTACCTTGAGAACGAAGCATCCCGAGACGTTGTAGTAGTCCAGCATGTCACCCTTGGTGAGAACCTGCTGATACCATCCGGGGAAGTCCTCCTCCTTGGTCACATCGATACCGATCAAAGCAGGGCCATCGCTCTTCTTGCCCTGAGCCTTGGATGTGGGCTTCTTGGCCTCCGACTTTCCAATACCCTTGTTCACATTCTTGTCGGCCTTGTCAGATGCCTGCTTGGCCAGCTTAGCGGCCTTCTTAGCAGCATTCTTGGAGACTTCACCCTGAGGAGCGGCGTTATCGGCGGTGCGGTCAGGGAGGGTAGGGTTGGTAGCGACCGGGTTATCGGCGGGAGTCTCGCTGGCCATTGTGTCGATGAGGTTCTCGAGAGCGAGAGAATGAGAGAGATGAACAAAAACGAGGGTCGCTGAAGGGTCACAAAGCGCAAAGACAGAGCGTTGACTCTTCCCCTCGTCAAAAAGTGGGATGCATCTCGAAAAACTTCACCGCCCGGGGCCGGCAGAACTTTTAGCGCAACCCGCACGCCTCAACGAACCAGAGGCTACTGAGTGTCGAGCAATCCTAAAAAGTCCCAGCAGTCGGAGCTTTTGATATCCTTTTGACTACGTTTTCTCCGTCTGTTTCGCAGTTATGGCAGGTATCTTCGAGGCGCCGCGGAATGCGGACACTCTCTGTGAGTTCTCACTTCGCCAGGTGTTGGCTCCGAATCTATCAAACTGACCAACTCGCACAGTCTTGGGTGGGCAGAAAATCACCGGTGCGGACGTCCGCGAGCAGAACGGTATGTAACGATGATATTGCCTGAATCGCTCGATCGTTGAATTGACTCGTGATAGTGCTCGCAACCCAGGCCATTGCAAATGTCGTCAAGAGTTCTTTCGGTCCCTCGGGCTTGGACAAGATGATGGTGGATGATATAGGTGTAAGGACCTTCGAGCCCCTGGCTCTATATTGGACATTTTGGATCTTTCCTGACATGTGGAATCCTTCTAGGATGTTACCGTGACCAACGACGGGGCGACTATCCTCAGTCTTCTCGACATCGAGCATCCAGCTGGCAAGATCCTCGTTGATCTGGCCCAGCAGCAGGATAAGGAGGTGGGTTTCAATAGATGGTTTTCTTGGATATATAAGTCTAATTGGATGGCTAGGTCGGAGATGGAACCACGTCTGTTGTTCTGATCGCTGCCGAACTTCTACGACGCGCGAACGAGCTGATGAAGAACCGGATACACCCTACGACCATCATCAATGGCTACCGGTTAGCCCTCAGAGAAGCAGTCAAGTACATGAACGAAAACGTCACTGCAAAGGTCGAGGCCCTCGGAAGAGACAGTTTAATTAGTATTGCCAAAACGTCGATGTCCAGCAAGATCATTGGGGCCGATTCTGGCTTCTTCGCAGACATGGTGGTGGATGCTATGCTTTTGGTGAAGTCAACGAACCAGAAGAACGAAATTAAATACCCCGTCAAGGCAGTCAACCTCCTCAAGGCGCACGGAAAGAGTGGGACTGAATCGGTCCTCGTCAACGGCTACGCCCTCAACTGTACTGTTGCTTCCCAAGCCATGACGACCCGGGTTACCGATGCGAAGATTGCCTGTTTGGATATGAACCTGCAGAAGGAGCGGATGAAGCTTGGTGTTCAGATTACCGTGGATGACCCCGACCAATTAGAAAAGATCCGTGAGAGAGAATCTGGTATCGTCTTGGAGCGGGTTGATATGATCCTCAAGTCGGGAGCCAATGTTGTCATGACCACTAAGGGTATCGATGACATGGTTCTCAAGCTCTTTGTCGAGCGGGGTGCTATGGCCGTGCGGAGATGCAAGAAGGAGGACCTTCGACGGATAGCCAAGGCTACCGGTGCTACTCTTGTGAGCACCCTCTCCGATCTCAACGGAGATGAGAAGTTCGAGGCATCCAACTTGGGACATGCAGAGGAAGTCGTCCAGGAGCGGGTATCGGATGATGAGTGTATCCTTGTGAAGGGAACCAAGGTTCACACAGCAGCTTCCATCATCCTCCGTGGACCTAACGACTTCAGCTTGGACGAGATGGAGCGTTCAGTTCACGACTCTCTGTGCGCCGTCAAGCGTACTCTTGAGAGCGGCAGCATCGTCCCTGGCGGTGGTGCCGTCGAGACAGCACTTCACATCTACCTTGAAGAATTTGCCGTCACAGTGGTACGTATAACAATGGCCTTTTTCCCTATATGTACGTTGCTAACAGGGAATCTCACAGGGCTCCCGCGAGCAACTCGCCATCGGCGAATTCGCCCAATCCCTCCTCGTCGTCCCCAAGACCCTGGCTGTCAACGCAGCCAAGGACTCCTCCGAACTCGTCGCTCAGCTCCGTGTCCGCCACGCCCTCTCGCAGCGCGTACAGGAAGGCGATGCCAACGAGGAAGAGAAGGCCATCGCCAAGAAGAAGACCTACAAGAACTACGGTCTCGACTTGATGAAGGGACGGGTCCACGACAGCCTTAAGGCTGGTGTGCTCGAACCTAGCATGGGCAAGATCAAACAGCTCAAGAGTGCTGTCGAGGCTTGCATTTCCATCATGCGTATCGATACGATTATTAAGCTGGACCCAGAGCCGCAGCAGGATGACGGACATGGACACCACTAAGGAGAGGGGAGACTGTGTGTGCATGTGCATTTTTTGGTTGATGATTACTTTGTTTTAATCATGCTGTGGGTTAGGGGAGGCGACCATAGAAGAGATGGAAGGGTTAATAAGAAAAGAAATTTTATTCACGAGTATACATTTGAATTTGATATACAAGGCCTGTACGTACTTTGGAGCTGGCAGTAATTCAACCCTACAACAGTGAACACTACAAACCATGTCTCTCGAGGTCAAGCTTATACGAATTTTGGCCAACAGTAATTGCTTCCAATGTTCATGTATTGAACCAAAACTAAGTAGACATCTGTATGTGTATTTCCATCTCATGCATCGAGTACCTTCAACATGCAATGTATCCCGCTTGAACAATAGCACAAAACTCCCACGAATAACTAAACGCCCTGCTAAATATAAAATAAAATAAAACCATGCCCTAGCGCCCCAAATGCTCACAAGTATAAACCCGAACCCGAAATTAGTCGGAACAAATCACCCGAAAACAAAACAAGAGATCCCAATCCCTGGGGGTATTTGTGTTTATTCATCAGCTTCATCGTCATTTGAATCTTTAGTATCAGCCCACCCGCAATGCCACCGTCTACCCTCTGTCTCACCTCCCGTACGGAGGTCACGCGCATCAGACCCTTCACGCCAGCATCTGGCGCTGCAGTCATCGCTGACAGTTACCAGTTCACCGTCTGCTGTCCACGAGACGCCGGAGACTTCTTTCTTGTGGCCTTCAACGAGTGGTGTTCCGGATTTGTAGATCGGCACTGTATCTTCCAGCTTTGCGTACGGGCCAGTTCCGGAGAAGCTGCGACGGAGAGCTGAGCGAGGGGTGGAGAAACGAGGTGTGGGTGGAAGGGAGTCGCAGTCCTCGGTATCTGCGTTCTGGGTGGAGGAGGAATGGAGGAAACGCTCGTCGGTGGGGAATAGGACGGCGCAATTATCGCTGCTTCCAACGGCCAGCATCTCTGGCTTGTCGCCCATGGGTTTTCGGACTCCAACTTTCAGGTAGAAAGAAGCCACTTGTAGGCGTGGGTGTCGAAAGCCGTACAGAGGACCAAGACCTTCCTTGTCTGAGCCGCCTGAGCGCCGTGGACGAGTGTTGTTCAGAGAGAGCTCGGGTGCATGTCCTACAATGAGATGCGATGTCGAGTGCGCGTAAACTGTGCCATCCCGGCATAATGTGTAAAGTCTCGAGCCATCTCCGTTAAATGCCATTGAGGTAAGTCCAAAGCGCCTGTACTTGACATGGCTGTCCGGTTCTTGAGTAGTAGAAACCGGAAGGACGCCACGCCCACGACGGTTGCTATGAGCAGTACGGATATCCCATAACCTGACAGATGCATTGGCTTCGGAAGCCGTGACGAAAAGGTTCTCGCGGCCTGGAGGGAGGAACGCGAGGGAGGTCACAGTAATGTCGGAACGGCCAAGCTGAAGTTCTGATTTGTCGGAAGCAGACCCTTGAGACATCCCAGAATGGGCACCATGGATTGTATTCAGAACCTGGGGATAAATCATTTTGGACGTGGGAGTGGCGTGGTATTCCGAGTCGGAATCGAGTGAGCACTGAACTTGCAAAGAGGGCTTTTCGAAGCCCTTGCACCGCAAATCCCAGATGTTGACATTGCCATCGCGACTGCAGGTGGCAAGAACTTTGTTGTTGGAAGCTGGTTGAAATTGCACTCGTTTAACCGAAGAGATGTGGTTCGATAAACAGTATATCGGCTTCTGTGTAGCCATGTCGATAACCAGTCCCGTCTGATCCCCTGAGGCGGTTGCCAATAACATGTCATCCGAGGAAAATTCGAGGTCCATCAGTGCGTTCATGTGTGGGCGGAATGTAAGGTATGCGTTAGAGAATCCGTCTTTGTCGTCTTTCGCAGAATCCAGCAAGCGGACACCCCCTTCTTCATAACCGACTGCAACGAGGGAATTCGCTGGTAGGGTCAGTTAAAGAGCCCTAAATGGTGACTCAATAAGATACTCACTATTGCAAGATGCAGTACATAACGGAAGGGCGAGCCGATCGCCGGCGTAGTTGGCGCACGCATGGATGTCGTCTGGGCGAGAATAGAAGTCTGATGTCAAATCCTGCCAACCTGGAACACAGTTAGAATGATATGCCTGATTCGTGCGTATGGAGTTAACTAACCAGCTCCAGCATTGGCTCTCATGGTCACTCGATTCGCCCGTGGTCCCAACACACTTCGCATGTACAACCCCCCAGATGTTTGTAAGGCCTGCGATCGACGGATAGGAGCAATTGGTTTGGGAGGATCCTCTTCCGCAACGACAGAAGTCGTCTCATCATCCTGCACTTCACCACCAGCCTCCAATTCCTTGACTGATACACCAATCTCTTCTTCCTGAACCGGTGCACTGATCCGAACTCTTCTCAGCGGCGACGACTGGAGCGGCGACCCGATGGACGAAAAGGAGAGTTTTCGTTTCGTGCTAGGCGTTCGTGTTAGACCTGAAGGTGCTGGTGCTGGTGCTGGTGCTGGTTCGTTCGGAGTTGATCGGCTGGCAGTCGTCTTGGATGCCCTTGCAAAGGCTGGACCCAGGCGGTTGATCGCCGGAGAGCTCAGCGTCTTCAATGCCTGACGATTCGTCTTCACACTTCCATTGTTTCCGCTGCTGAGGATCGAACGAGGCGTGAAGAACTTCCGAAATGACCGAGGGGTGACCGGAGGCGGTTTCTTTGGTTTGCGTCGGATACCGACATCTGAAGCTATCGAGGGTGGTGAGGACGGGGGCTCTTGCGAAGATGGAGGAAAGACAGGTTCAGATTGAGGGATTTGAGGGAGATCATGGCCGGTATACATGGTGTGCCGCGAATAGCAAGACCTTCAAGAGCATCATAGAGGCAAGAGTGAATAGGAGAGAAGTTCAAGATTCTTGGGGCGCCAGTGGGCCTTTTTCGCGTGGGATCGCGTGCGGACGCGAACTTCGCGCGCAAGTACTGTAATGAGACGGGTATGGGAGAATGTTGGCCCGAGACAGAACTTCCGTTTTAATTAAGCCCAATTTGTCAACTCATTCTTTTTCTATCTTGCCTACGGAGCACGAAGTACAGAGTAGAGCATATAAAAGTGATAGGTCTGAAAGGTACCTCTAACTCGGTAATCTTTGTTGAGATGGGCACGTTGAGTGAGGCGCGGATCCGAGTCTACAAAGCCAATAATACTACTTTCTAGGTCAATTCCAAAGCCATTGTTATAAGTACGCGAAGTATGGTCTTTCATACATAGAAAGATGGACGGAAGAGGACTGAACTAAGGTACATGAAGAAAGGTGGTTATGCAGATGTATATTCGAGACATACATAATTCTAAAGAGCGTTTATCGATAAGGATCACGTGAATAACAATGTGGGTCTCATGTGCGGGCGGTAACATTTTTTTTCCTCATTTCTCTTCGAACGCTTCTTTGCGCCTGTACATAAAACCATTCAACATTGGAGCTCTGGAGCAGCTCAAAGAGTCTGCGCTAGAGTCTCGAATTTCTTAAACTTGAATTATCATGGCGCCCATCAAGCGCAAGGGCAATGTTGCCGAGGAAGCAACAACCCAGAAGCGCGCACGTTTCGGAGCAGACAAGAAGGACAACAAGAAGCAAAAGACCAACGATTCGGACGATACCAAGTCGAAATCGGAGGAGGATTCGAAGCCAACGGATCTTTCTGTTCTGCGCGACGACGAACCGGCTTTCCCTCGTGGTGGATCGAGCGTCTTGACGCCTCTTGAACGCAAGCAGATTCAAATTCAAGCACAGAAGGATGTTCTGTTTGAGCAGAGAGGTTCGAAGAAATCGCACAATGTCGAGGATGATGACGATGAAGGAAATGATGATGTCGACATGGGTGACGCAGATGATGCTGCGAAGAAGCCTCGCAAGCAACGTAAGACCAAGGCGGCAAAGAAGAAGGCAGACAAGGAAGCTTCCGAGAAGAAGGGTGTTCGAGTTGAAGGATTGAACTTCAAGGTATGCCCACGAAACAATGCTCGGTTCCATAATTGAAGCTAATTTGAAAAGCGTATCGTCCCTGGGTCTATGATCTTGGGTCAGGTCTCGAGTATTAATGCCCACGACATCGCTCTCTCGCTCCCTAATAACCTTACCGGCTATGTTCCCTTGACATCTGTCTCGAAAGGATTGGAACAGAAGATTGAGAAGCTTCTCAACGAGGACGACAACGAGGACGATTCCGACGACGACTCCGACGAGGACTCTTTGGATTTGAAGAATTACTTCTACCTGGGACAATACCTGCGGGCTCACGTTGTATCTATCGGGAGCAACCCGACGGATCCTAGTTCTCGGAATAAGAAGCGCATTGAGCTTGCAGTCGACCCAAGGCAAGCGAACTCCGGGCTGTCCAAGTCAGATCTCGTCGAGAACACTGCCGTTCAAGCATCGGTTGTGAGTGTGGAAGACCACGGTCTGATCATGGATCTGGGTATTGAGGGCTCTGATGTCAAGGGTTTCATGTCCTCCAAGGAGATTGACCGCAAGTTGGAGTACTCGAGCATCAAAGAAGGAGCGGTTTTCTTGTGTATGGTGACTGGCCAGAACGCTAGCGGGAATGTTTTCAAGCTATCCGCCAACCTCCGGAATACGGGGTCCATCACCAAGTCGCATTATCTCAGCACTGCGCCTACGATCAACTCTTTCCTTCCCGGTACCGCAGCTGAAATTCTTGTGATGGATGTCACACCCACCGGGCTGGTGGGCAAGATCATGGGCATGTTGGATGCAACAGTGGATTTGGTCCAGTCTGGAGGAAATTCGCTGAAGGAAGACCTTACGAAGAAATACCGCACTGGCGCAAAGGTCAAGGGACGTCTTGTCTGTACTTTCCCCGCATCCGAGCCATTCAAGGTTGGATTCTCGCTGCTCGATCATGTCATCAAGTTCTCCTCCGATGACCAAGGACCTGGCTCGTCTGAGGATGCGCCGGCTATCTCGGCAATTGTGCCCGAAGCAACAGTGGTGAAGGTGGACCCCGGCCTTGGTGTCTACGTGAAGATTGGGTCTACGAAGCACACGGGATTTATTCACATCTCACGTCTGTCAGACGGCAACACAGAAAGCGTCTCCGCTGAAAAAGGACCATTCAAGCTCGGCACCACGCACGAGGCAAGAGTAGTCGGCTATAATACTCTCGACAACCTTTACCTGCTTTCGTTTGAACGCAAGGTTATTGACCAGCCGTTCCTTCGTCTCGAAGATGTGACCATTGGCGCTGTCGTGAAAGGCAAGGTCGAGAAGCTATTGATTGGCCCTAACGGAATTGATGGATTGATTGTGTCCTTGGCTGATGGTGTCACGGGTCTCGTCCCGTCTATGCATCTCGCGGATGCTGCCCTTCAGTTCCCCGAAAAGAAATTCCGTGAGGGTATGACTATCTCGGCTAGGATTCTGTCCGTCAACCTGGAAAAACGCCAGATCCGGTTGACTCTGAAGAAGAGTCTGTTGAACAGCGAGTCTGCCATTTGGAAGGACTACAAGGATATCGTCCCTGGTGCCCAGTCTCCTGGAACCATCGTGAACATTCAGCCCCACGGTGCTGTTGTTCAATTCTATGGCTCCGTCCGGGCTTTCCTCCCTGTCTCTGAAATGAGTGAAGCCTATATCAAGGACCCTTCCCAGCATTTCCGATTGGGCCAGGTGCTCAGCGTTCATGCTTTAAGTGTCGACGTGTCTCTTGGCAGATTGACAGTATCGTGCAAGGATCCCTCCACATTCACGGAAACTTACAAGAAGGCATTTGAAAACATTCGCCCGGGATTGCTTGTTACAGGTACTGTTTTCGAGAAGTCCAGTGACGATGCCCTTCTCAAACTTGACGAGTTTGGTCTTGTGGCTCGGTTGGACCTTCACCATGTCTCTGACGGATCTACCTCCAAGCAGAGCTCGTTGCTTTCGAAGGTTCGCGTCGGCCAGAAGCTCAATGAGCTTCTTGTACTGGACATTCAACGGGCCCACCGGTTGATCAGAGTCACAAGCAAGGCTAGTCTGAAGAAGGCTGCCAAGCAAGGCAGTCTCCGTGAGGACTTCGAAGATCTCGAAGAAGGCACTGAAGTCACCGGTTTCATTCGGAATATTACCTTCGACGGTATCTTCGTTGAGATGCTGGGTGGCTTGGTTGGATTGGTCCCTAAGCGTCTTGTCAGTGAGGAGAATGTTACCAAGCCTGGGTTCGGCATGGCTGTCTCTCAGACCATTACGGCGACTGTTCACTCTATTGACACCGATTTCCGGAGATTCATTTTGAGCATGCGGCCGGATGAGGCGACTAGCGCTGGTCCCAAGAAGCCTACCCCTAAGAAAGCGAAGGAGCCTCGTGCTTCCGATGACAACGTTGCCGTCGCGAACGCCGTCGATGAGGGTCTTCAAACTATGTCTGACTTCACATTTGGTCGGATCGTCAAGTGCAAGGTCCAGTCGGTCAAAGCAACGCAGGTCAACGTTCAACTCGCGGAAAACATCCAGGGTCGTATTGACGTCTCCGAGGTCTTCGACAAGTGGGAGGACATCAAGGACCACAAGCAGCCATTGCGAAACTTCCGCCAGAAGGAAGTCATCTCCGCTCGAATTCTCGGTGTTCACGACGCTCGGAACCACAAGTTCCTCCCCGTCAGCCACCGTACCGGCAAATATCCCGTCTACGAACTCTCCACCAAGCCCAGTTTCTTACAAGCCGCCAACCCTCAGCCGCTCAACTTGGAGCAAGTTCAAGTTGGCTCTTCATGGTTTGGTTTCATCAACAACATTGCCGACGACTCGCTCTGGATTAACCTGTCGCCGAACGTACGCGGTAGAATGCGTTTGATGGATGCATCCGACGACCTGTCGCTTGTGGCAGATATCGACAAGCATTTCCCTATCGGGTCTGCTATTGAGGCTCACGTCACAGCCGTTGACACCGAGAAGGGCCGTTTGGATCTTTCTGCCAGAAAGAGCTCTGACAAGCTCTCGCTTGACGATCTGTCTGTGGGCATGGTTGTTCCAGGCAGAGTCACCAAGACTACCGAGAAGCAGGTTATCATGCAGCTCAGTGACACGGTGGTTGGAGCAATCAACCTGGTCGATATGGCCGATGACTACGAGAAGGCCAACCCAACCGTTTACCGCAAGAACGAGGTGCTCCGCGCATGTGTTGTCGGAGTCGACAAGGCTAACAAGAGGGTCTCTCTGTCTCTCCGGCCATCGAGAGTTCTCAGCTCGTCGCTGCCGGTCCAGGACCGTGAACTCGCATCGATGAAGGAACTCAAGGTGAACGACGTCGTTCGTGGTTTTATCCGCAGAGTTGCAGACAACGGATTGTTCGTGGCATTGAGCCACGACGTTACTGCTTACGTCCGTATCTCTGACCTGTCTGACTCCTACCTCAAGGAGTGGAAGGAGGCTTTCCAGGTCGACCAGCTTGTCAAGGGTCGTATCACGCTCGTTGACCCCGAGCAGAACAAACTGCAAATCAGTCTGAAGGACTCTGTCCTGGACCCCAACTACAAGGCCCCCGTTACGCTTCGCGATCTTAAGCCTGGCCAGATTGTCACCGGTAAAGTCCGCAAGGTCGAGGAATTCGGTGCATTTATCGATATCGACAACTCCGCCAGAATCAGCGGTCTTTGCCACCGCAGCGAGATGGCTGAGAAGCGGGTGGAGGATGCTCGGTCTCTGTACGAGGAGGGTGATGTTGTGAAGGCCAAGATCCTCAAGATCGACCGTGCGAAGGAGAAAATCTCATTCGGCCTGAAGGCTTCGTACTTCAAGGATGCTGAGGATGCTGAGAGCAGCGAAGAGGAAGAGGACGACTCTGAGGATGGCGTGAGTCTCGATGGCTTCGGCGGCGCTGGGGTGGAAGGAAGCGACGACGAAAGTGACGAGGACGAGGACGAGGAAGATGATGTCTCGATGGGAGGTGTCGATCTTGAAGATGGCAGTGAGGGCTCTGACTCCGAGGAGAGTGAAGGAGACGATGACGAAGAAATGGAGGACGCCCCGTCGAAGAAGACAGGCGGCCTCGGAGACGGCGGCTTTGACTGGAGCGGCAACGTCAACAACGACGAAGATGAAGCAGCTGCATCCGACTCAGAAGGCGAAGACGACAGCTCGCGGAAGAAGAAGAAGTCTCGCAAGCCCGAAATCCAGGTTGACCGTACCGGCGAACTCGACGCAAATGGACCGCAGTCCGTAGCCGACTACGAACGACTTCTGCTTGGTGAGCCTAACTCGTCGCTCTTGTGGCTGAGGTATATGGCTTTCCAGCTGGAGTTGGGTGAGATTGAGAAGGCAAAGGAAATTGCCGAACGGGCCCTTCGCACCATTACCATCGGACAGGACACTGAGAAGCTGAACATCTGGGTGGCACTGCTGAACTTGGAGAACACCTATGGTGATAATGATACCCTCGACGACGTTTTCAAGCGTGCTTGCCAGTACAACGATACCCAGGAGATCTACGAGCGGATGACGAGCATCTACATCCAGTCTGGAAAGATCGAGGTAATATACCCTGTATATGTGATTTGCAAAGTATCAAATTCTAACAGATTGTCCTACAGAAAGCGGAAGACCTCTTCCAGATCGCTCTCAAGAAGAAGATCTCTCCTACTCCCAAGTTCTTCGTCAACTACGCTTCCTTCCTCTTCGACTCCATGGCCGCCCCTGACCGTGGCCGTGCTCTCCTCCCCCGCGCTCTCCAGTCCCTTCCTTCCCACACTCACGTCGAAACGACCTCCAAGTTCGGACAACTCGAGTTCCGCTCTCAGAACGGCGATATCGAGCGAGGCCGCACCGTCTTCGAAGGTCTCCTGTCCTCGTTCCCCAAGAAGATCGACCTGTGGAACATCCTCTTGGATCTGGAGATCAAGAACGGCGATACTGAGCAGGTGAGACGGTTGTTCGAGCGTGTTCTTGGTATCCAGAAGGGCGCTGTTGCGGCTGGTACGGGCAAGAAGCTCCGGGCCAAGCAGGCGAAGTTCTTCTTCAAGAAGTGGCTTGATTTCGAGGAGAAGGGTGGTGATGAGAAGATGGTTGAGGAGATTAAGGCTAAGGCTGCGGACTATGTTAAGTCTTTGCAGAAAGAGTAAGGGTTGTGTTGTGATTTTTTGATATAGCAGAAAAGTCCTCTTTAATTTGGGACCTGGTGTTATGGGGTATTAGGTACATTGTATATAAAAAGCAGCATAAATACTTTTTCTTTCCTGCATAGAAATTAAGAGATGCAAATGTACTCTTCTCAACATGCGCCCAAAAACAAAACAAGAAAAAAGGAAGGAAGGGAAGCGCTATTGTCGTTTCTCGGCCATAAGTCGTCTATACTCCTCCACAATATTCTTTCTCTCATCGGCCAACTCTTCTCTTCGCCTTAAACTTCCCATAGCAGTCGGTACGTTGGCAACATTGACCTTGGCACCACCACGGACCTTGAAGATCTCTCTGGGTTTCGTCAACTGTGGCGGCGCCTGCGCGACATCCTGAGGGTTTGTCTGCCTATTCATGCGCTCCGGGTTGTTCAATTTAGCCCAAGGATCTGCACCATCATAGTCGTCGTCCGAATTATCATCACCGGCAGTGGCATTTCCCTTGTTCTTCTTTTTCTTCTGTGCCTCAGCCTTCTTCTTCGCCTTGGTCTTCCCAGCCTCGGTCTCCCACTGCTTCCACAATTCAAGCTGGTCCTCCATTTCCGCCTCCCGTTCCTCGCGCTCTTCCTGTTCGCGCTCGCGGATCTTCACATCATCCTCGCGCCATTGTGCCTGCAGCCGGCGCAGACGCTTGTCGTGCTTGGTCAAACGCTGTTCGCGGACCTTGGGATTGTCGCCTGCGGGGGCTTTTTCGGACCGCTTCATCAGGGATAACGGCATCTCACGATCAACTCGTGCAGAGAAGTCGGACAATTTCTCACCAGGGAGGATTTTCGGGCCGGCTTGGATATCAGACTTTGCGGCGGTTGCGCTGGCATCCGTAGCAGTAGCAGTAGCAGTAGCAGTAGCAGCAGCAGCCGCACCAGACTTCTTCTTCGGTGTCGAATCTTCCTTTCTATCCTCTGTACCCCTCTTTCTCTTCTTCTTGCCGCCCTCTGCGTTGTCTGTCTTGGTGCTGGCCGGTTGTTGCTTCTGCTTCGCGCGTTCTTGGATTTGCATCAAGTGACGGAATGCTCGCGGGGTATCATCTTGACCGGCCTTCTGCTTGGTTTCATATTTCCGTTTTAGCTTTTCTTGTTCCTCCTTCTTCTTTTTTCCGGTGGCTTTGGATTTGGCGCTGGGGTCTCGGGCTGGGAGAGGTTTTGCGACTAGTGACGGGGGGAGGTCGTGGAGGCTGCGGGAGGTGGGATGCGTGTTAATAAAAAGCATGCGCAGATATATACTGGATTAGATTGCAGCTTACTACTTGTCATTTTGGCGTCTCTTGTGCTTGTGAGGCATTGTGGTGGTTGTGGTGTTGTGTGCTTAGAGGTGGTCGTTGTTGGAAGGCTTTTTTCTTTTTTCTTTTTTTTTTTTTTCTGCGGTCGCAGATCTAATCGTATCTGATAAGGACAGGGACCTATAGTCCGTATTTCAACGTCGTTTTTATAGGAAGGAAATAAAGAAGAGAATATTTAATAAGAAGGAGGAATATAATCAGTTTCAACTGTCTTGTCTTTTCTTTTCTTCTGTTCTGGTCTGATAGTGTCTTCTGAGTGCTCATACAACATGCCGTACAGACGAGTCGCTACAACACTACGGAGTATACTACTTCGTGCCCCAGTTACATCTCCGTGTTCTAGATTGCTCAAGCTCCAATATAAATCCCTAATCTTTGCACGCGCTCGAATGCATTGGCTGTTTCCTGCCCTTTCCAGAAACGGAAACCTCCGACTGATCCATGGGAGTTGACGAATCCTTTGCCTCTCCGACTACTCGAGGAGATGGAGAAGCATTCAGCAAGGGGATTGACTGGGGATCCTCTCTTCTCTCGCAGACATTGAAATAAAAGAGTTGCTCCGAGAGAAATCTCTGACTCGACGACTCACTACGCCATCATTGAATATCATGGCCCGGGATGCCTCGCCGTCGTTCACTTTCCGACAACCCCAGCAGCTCATTGTCGCACGCGACGTTTTCCAATAATATCCGAAAAATAGACGATTTTCAGGATCGCGAGGACATTGCGGGTCTCGATAAACCGGCATTTATGGCGGATTCGCCTGTGGGCGACGAGCCGAAAAGATCGGATTTGCGCTGGTCCGGTCGTCAACCGACTCCTTGGATGAGGATCAGAGGGATCTTCGCGCCGTTTTCTTCACGAGGCAAGAGCTTAGAATCTGACACTGACGATGCTCTTCCTTTGTTGTCGTCCTCTGACTCCTCTGAGCGGTTGATTGAACGTCCGCGGAGACGAGTCGGGAAATTTAGAGTACTCCGCTGGTTTCTGTCCCTCCTCGTGGGTATTTTCGTCATGCTGTGAGTTCTCCCCTGCCAGAATACATGCGAACCTAGGCTAATACATAGGACATAAATGTAGAGGAATCGTCCAATTCGTGTCAATCCTCTTTGGCCTCGCCTACTCGTTCTTCCCCGACGAATTCGACCGCGCCGCCACCAACTGGCTAAACCCAGACCACCACCCCAACACAGACGCACCCGGATCGTATTACCCGACAGACATCTCGCGCGACATAACCCCCGTCGGCTGCCACTCCCACAATGACTATTGGCGCCGCGTCCCCCTCTTCTCAGCCCTACAAGCAGGCTGCATCGGCGTCGAAGCAGACGTCTGGTTCATTGACCAAAACGACCACCAAGACCTCTACGTCGGGCACACAACGTCCTCACTCACGCCCGAGCGCACACTGAGGAGCATGTACGTCGATCCGCTAGTGAAGATCCTCGACCGGCAGAATCCGATTACGGGTTTCCATGAGAGTGTCGATCAGCCGCGGAATGGGGTTTTTGATACGGATCCCGGGCAGACGCTTATTTTGCTTGTTGATTTTAAGACGGATGGGGCGCTTACTTGGCCACGTGTGGTTGAGGGGTTGCAGCCGTTGAGGGAGCGGGGGTATCTTACTTATTTTAATGGGGAGGAGGTTGTTAATGGACCTGTTACTGTTGTTGGGACGGGAAATGCGCCGTTTGATCTCGTGAGCGCGAATTCGAGCTATCGCGATATATTCTTCGATGCGCCACTCGACTTTCTAGCTGAGGATAGCATCACCAAGGACAGGAAGAGGCAAGCCGTCCAAGACGGCAATAACCTTGGCCAAGGCCTCTCTAGTACACCATCCGATATCACGCCCGACGCATTCAACTACACAAACAGCTTCTACGCTTCCACATCCTTCAAGGACACAATCGGGTTCCCGCGACCCTTCCACCTTACCGCGCAGCAGATGGACTCCATCCGGGCTCAGATTCGTGGTGCGCACCGTCGCGGGCTGAAGGTGCGGTATTGGGGACTGCCTAGCTGGCCTCGAGGCTTGAGGAATCATATCTGGAGGGTTCTAGTTCATGAGGGTGTGGATATCTTGAACGTTGATGATCTGCAGAGTGCGACGAAGAAGGAGTGGACGCCTAAAGTGGGTGATTGGTGGTGATTGCTGGGTCTAGTTGCTTAGATTTGGCTGTACAGATTTACTAGCTTTTTGTATATATATGGTAAAGATATGATAATGATGCATTGCTCAATCGAGTCTGATGCTATGTTGAAACGACATGGGGTATGATGAGTTCCGTCACTCGTAGCCACAGTTCCATCTCCATCCGGGAGAATGGTTAAAAAAAAAAAAAAAAAAAAAAAATAATAAAAAAAGGTTATTAAAAAGACAAGAAAGAAGAGAATCCTAGCCCATCCATCATAAGCAAATCAACGCCTCTTCCCCAAACTCCCTAACCACACTACCCTCCTCCCGCAGGAGGTCACCAAGCCAGGTTTTAGCAGCTTCGAAGTCAGCCGCTCCAAACTTCACCAGCGTAAATCCTGCCCTCACACGGGCCGCCGTCCAGGTGGCATTCGTGTTGGTAGTATTCGAATACGACTCTGTGGCACTCTTGGCTGGCGACACAGACGTTGACCAATTGCGCGCTCCAATCCGCGGCTGTGTTGTAAAGCGGTGCAAGATGAATGACGCTAGTTTTTCATAGACGGGGCCGTACAGGATCAGCGTCCCCACGATACCATGGGGATGCGTGCGTTCCCGAATCAGATTGGGATGGCTATTGTCGGCATCTCGCTCCGCATCGTCGCACTCGTCGTCCAGGATGATCGAGTCCCGCAGCAGCAGTTTTTTCGACCCAGACCCGTCATCTGACCATACTTCATTCTTCCCTTTCCAGAAATGGAAATCCCAGGTCTCACCTCTCGAGCTGCGGCCCTCCGTCACCCAATCTAGGACACATAGACTGCCCCTCTTGCTATCCGGGGCCGTCCCGTCTACGGTGAAGGTCTGGACCTGCTCGTAGCGACTGTCTTTGTAAGGTACCGCAGGATCCGGTAAGTAGCAAATTGCAGCTTCATTGTCAATCCGGACATCTAGCATCTGTCGGCTCATGTCTGTTGCTATGTGTGCTGGTGTCCCCCGTTGCCCCTTGACGCTCGCCGTAGGTTCTGTCTTGAAAATCTTGGTGCTTCCTTGTGGTGTGCTGACAACCATCCTTGTCCGCTCCTTCAATGTTATCGATACATCGATGTGGTCCCCCGGGAGCAGTCCGCCACCGTATGTGAGGAGGTATAGATGGACCGGTCGAGAAGGGCATGTTTGCGCGGAGGTTCGAGGCACGAAGCCCGGTGTGCGGGCAAGCAATTTGAGAGGGTATTTGTAGGTTAAGGTGGTCAAAGTCGGTATCGACGGAGGAAGAAGGTCCAGAATGACCTCTCCATGCCCGGCCTTAGCGATATCTGTCTCGAAGGGTGATTTTATCGGCATACTGGGCGGTAAATCAGTTCGGTACTTGTTCGCAGATAAATCTGATCGTATTTGCACAATTCGAGGAAAAAGGATTAACGAAAGACAGAATTGGGCCGTGGCTAATATATAGTTCGTTCTGCAGCAACATAACGCTCAATATTGAGGATCAACCGAAATAGCAAATTGCTGTATAAAAGGACGTCATGAGCGCCACTTTTTTTTGCCCTCGCACCGCTGACCGAACAACGCACTTCCACAGCGCACAAACTCAGCAGACGGTGAATGAGTGGTCCAGAATGCGTCAAAAAAAGAAATTGACCTGCTCTGAGCGGGGATGCGACTGTGGCCGTGAAACGCTTTAGAGACTTGGCTGTGAGTCTTGATCTTTTCCATGCCGTAATGGGAAACATGGTTTTGCTGCATCGGCGTGGGGTTTTCCCGATTCCGGAAGGTCCTTCTCCGCATACTATTTAGGGCCGGTCTTGGCAAAGCGGACTTGGCAACAGTCAGATGATCAGTCATCGTTACACTTGTATTGTACTCTCTTACAGCGTAAATTACAGTCCCGTGATCTGCTGCCTAATCACGCCTCAGGCATCAGGCGCGTCCCAGCGGAGCCCGTTCCAAGCAAGTATCTCCCCTCTTCGAAGTCCCGCCTTGACGCCGCTGTCAGAGTCATTTGTTGACGCTCGGGTTAGTAATTGACTCTAAGTATTGTCGAGGGTCTTTTACTTGACTGCTGCTCTTTTCAATTACCAGTCGAGTCACACAAGACGCGCGCACACAGTAGAGCCTCGAGTCGGCTCTTTGCGTCGCGTTGTTTGCATTGAAAAGGAAAAGAAAAGGTAACTACTCGAACACATGACATAATCTACTGATAATGATGTTGAATACTGACAGATAGCTTCTATTAGGGATTTATGTACCTTTAGAATTCAACTGCACGACCATCTCGCGATACTAGAAAATGGAGGATGAATCGCGTCCCTCCAGTTCCCAAGCGGACATGACCCAAGATCCCACTTCCACACAAACAACAGACAGAAGAAAATCCGGTCGAGCGACGCGAAAGCCCGAGTTACTATCCCAAAGTTATACAGATGGAACCGGATCTAAGCGCAAGCGTGATGCTGCCGGGGAAGACGAAGATGCGGGCGAAGAGGAGGAAGACCAAGAGGTAGACGACGCGTCGGAATCCGAAAGCAACGAGGAAGATGCAGACGAGGAGGAACTCCGTGAAAAGAAACGCGCCGCGCGCAAGAAGTCGACCAAGAAAGCGTCTACCACACCGAAGACGAAAGCGAAACCTCGGACAACGAAGAAGGTCAAGGTAGCTGGTAATGGGATTGGTGGCCAGTTGGCACTACGGCCGGCTGCTGCCAACGGGAAACGGACAGTGTCACGTCCCAGGAAGCCGAAGGTGCGACCCAGTCTGGCTGCTGGTGAGCGCGGTTTATACGGTATGCTGCTTTCTTGCATTGCGTGGGTTGTATCCTTACTAACTATCTATCAGCGGAGGTCTTTGGTAAAGGAAACTCGTCCGATACGGTCGCCGCGAACTGGCTCTCCCGCTACCAACGCGATCAGTCGACTGCTATGCGTGATATGGTCAACTTGATGCTTAGGTGCACCGGAACCGACTTGGAGATCGACACATCCGAAGTCGAAGATGTTGACAATGCACCAATGCGCATTGATGATTTGCAGACTCAATATCACCAACTTGGAATTTCGGAGTATCCTCTGATATCTAAAGCCAAGAAGTTCAGGGCATTCCAGCCGGTGTTGGAAGAGTTTTTCGCCGCTCTGGTCCAGACATTGCACCATTCGTCGGTTCTATACAGCGATGAGAACCTATTCGAGAACATTCAAATTTGGATTTCTGCTCTGTCCACGTCCTCATGCCGGCCCTTCAGACACACATCGACCGTTATTTCCCTTGCAATCATGAACACCTTGTGCGATGTTGCCCGCGAGACTATGACTAGCGTCTCGACTTCGCGCAAACAGGTCGAGAGTGAAAAGAAGAAGAAGTCAGTGAACCAAGGTCGGGTTGACGCCATCCAGACGTCCGTCGAAGAGGGTGAGAAGAAACTCGAGATGGTTGACGAGTTCCTCAAGGACGGCGTTAACATTGTCTTCGTCCATCGTTACCGGGATATCGACCCGCGCATCCGTTGCGAATGCATGTCAGCCTTGGGACAGTGGATACGCAACTACAGAGAATATTTCTTTGAGGGCCAATTCCTGCGATACTTGGGCTGGATTCTATCTGACCCAGTTGCGCAGACGCGTGCCGTGGTCGTGGAGCAGTTGCGGACTCTTTACGAAAATAAAGACAATATTGCTGGTCTGCGTTCGTTTACGGAACGCTTCCGCCAGCGCATGGTGGAGATGGCGGCACAGGATGCGGATGTCGTGGTGCGCGCATCAGCAGTGGAACTGCTTGATCTCATTCGGGACGCCGGTCTGATTGAGCCTGGTGATGTTGATGTCGTGGGTAGACTTGTATTTGACGCAGAACCGCGAGTTCGGAAGGCAGCTGGTCGTTTCTTCGTCGCGAATGTCCATGATGTGTTCGATTCCACCACCGAAGAACTTGGCGACGAAATTAATGAGTTGTTTGGTGATGAAGATGAAGATGATTTTGCATCCCCGAAACGCTCATGGGTCAAGTTCAAGTGCTTGGTCGATATGCTTCAAAGCTACGATAGCCAGGAGAACGACCAGAAGCCGGATCGGCTTGTAGTAACATCACGAGACGCATTATCAGGTACCTCGATAGATTCGCGCTCTGTGCTCGCAACCGAAGCCATCTATCCTCACCTGGAAGAGCTGGCTCAGTGGCAGTCTTTGGCCGGTTACCTTCTCTACGACCACTCGCAGATCGCAGAGGCAACGGACGATGACGCTGCTGGCACAGTACGAAGCCTGTACAAGATGGAGGAAGGGCAGGAGGTGATCCTGCTGGAGGTTCTATGCTGCGTGGTCAAACTCCGGGTCGTTGACGTCTCCAAGTCCGATATCGACAAGAGAGGACGGAAGGTCAAGGCGCTGACTGAGAAGATACCCGAGTTGCAAGAGGAGATTGCACACAACCTTGCGCAGATCATTCCGCAGCTTCTGAACAAATTCGGTTCAGTGCCAGAGGCTGCTTCAGCTGTTTTGCGACTAGAGCACCTCGTTGATCTCGACAAGATCCAGGACCTGCAAAAGGACGCTACTGCCTACACCGCTTTACTGAATGATATCAACAAGCAGTTCCTCACACATTCAGACCAAGATGTCCTGACCGAAGCCAGCGTTGCGTTCTTGCATGCGAAAAGCTCCGATGACATGAAGGAAGCGCTGGAGAGCAAGGTCCAGGAGCTGTGGGACGATATTATTGATGCACTTAGTACCCTATCCCAGAACGAAGAAGTTCAAGATGAAAGTTCTCTTCCATCTGGTACTCTCACTGAACTCATCAACACAGTCACCAGAGTCTCGAATCTTGCCAGCGTAACTGATTGCACGCAAATACTGGAAACAGCACCATCTTCTCGTTCTAAGGGCAAGAAGAAATCTACCCTGGAGGCACCTTTCAACACCCTCATCCACCTTGCTAAGCGTGGTCTCCGCGGCCAAGAGGAAGACGAGGACGCTGCAAAGGCTGAGACTGAGTTGGTAATCAACAGCATCCGCACCCTACTGTTCTTCTTCATGTGGAAGGTGCAGTCATTAGCAACCGCCTTGAACGCCGGGAAAGTATCATTTACAACAGCCTACTTCGAAGCCCTGGCAAAGAGCCGCGAAGTATTCGCCGAAACCCTCGTCTCCATCATGCAGAAGCGCACGAGCCTAGACGACATCCGCTTCACAGCAACCACAAGCCTCCTCGACCTCCAAACCCTCTTCGGCACCCTCCGCCATGCCGGCCAAACCGCCGAAAACGACGAAGACACCCTCACCCAAACCCAAGGCCTCGTCCACGAAATCAACACCGACACCCAAAAACTCATCGCCAAGATCCACGGGATAGCAGAACGCACCTACGCCAAGAAAATCCGCAAACCCCTCGAACCCGCCGAAGACGACCTGCCGACCTCAGACGAAGACGTCGAGAAGGAGCCTTCCGACGACGAGGAGAACGAGTCCAACGCTGATGAAGATGAAGAATCGGTGGACAGTGAGCGTCTGCGGTCGACTATCCTTGCTGAACAGCGTCTGTGCGAGTTGACCGGCAAGATCGTCCTGGCGATTATTGGCCGCGTTATTGATGCGTCGGGGTCGCAGCAGGGACAGTTGAAGAAGAAATTGGTGCAGCATAAGTCCCGGCTGGGCCCTAATTACCGTGAAGTCCTGTCGTTCCTTGGTGAGCGTAAGCCAAGGGGTGGTGCTGGGTCTCGGAATTCGAAGAGCAAGAAGACTGCCGGAACCAAGAACGGGAACGCGGGTTCGAACGAGCAGAAATCCGCTGAACGGATAGAAGATGACGAGGAAGATGAGGAAGACGGTGCTGCTGGACGTAATGAGATGGAGGAGGACGAGGAGGAAGATCTGCGGGCAAAAGAGCTCGTTGAAGATGAAAATGCAGACCAAGAAAACGGTGACGAGGATGACAACAATACCGCTGCTCCTGATCCAGATGAGGATGAGGTTATGGGTGATTGATTGGAGTTGGAGTAAGACAGAACACTTGATGCCTTTCTTTTCCCCTTTCTCGTTTAAGGGCGGTCTTTCTTTTCGATCAAAACATTCTCCCCAACTGGACTGTAAGCTGCCCTGGCTCGGTGTCATACACGGATTGTTGCTAACAGTTTCCCCTGGTATAGATCAGCTGTCCTTGATGACTTATGTTTTTATTTTTCTTCTACTCCTCGCTCTTCAATGGCACATTTCGTTTATTTCGTTTCATGTTTTCTTAATCGCTGTTCTTAATTTTTCACGGGTGTTGGTTTGCGTCGTTTATGTATGGGTATTGTAGGCTGATTCCCTGTATATATCCACGGACTTGCTTCAATTTGTTGATGACTTGCTTACTACTCTTTCTGATGATCCATGTATACGTGACTGGTAAATAGTAAAAGCAATGATCGTGGAGCATTTGGACTTTTATTTATTTGCTTCATAGACACCGAACCAAGCAACTTCCAGGGACAGCCATTAATAACAGTCCCTTAACGAGTAAAAGGCAGAGGACAACAGACGCCAGGGCTCGAGAAAACAGACTACCGCAACGACCAATAAAGCAAAGGGGTTAGGGAAACTAACAATTACGCCAGTGTATGAGGGATGATGCTACGGGGCAGATGGCGTGATGAGGGGAATGGGGAGATACATGATGGGCATGATACACGAATCTATCGTCATAAGGGGGGAAATGATCTCATGGCATAATGGGGACGAAGGAAGCAATTATAGATTGATCTCAAAAGTCAGGGCAGAGAATCAGGGGTTTGACCACGAATAAGAATAACGTATCAAAAGACGCCGAGACTGGATGTGCGAAACCATCTCTGTAATCGGTCAGATATTCACGAGATGGAGTCGAGTGCCAGAGCCTCCACGAATCCGGAGGTTGAGGAAACTTTCTCAAGTGACGGCACCGCCAGAATAGATATAGCAGAGGGAAGAGCATACTGAAAGCAGCAAGTCAACGGCAAGAGTTGAACGTTGAAATTAAATTGTGATTGAGAATCCCAATTTTACATATCCATCGAATCACCGCCGTTGGCAAAGTTGAATCCGCCAGGCTGTTGCTGAGCAGTTCCAAGGGTGAACCCTGCTTGTGTCTGCTGAGGAGCAATCTCATCAATATCACCACCAGCTTCTTCCTCATCAGAGAAGTACTTCTCGATGATGTTGTATGCCTTCATGTAGATCTCCTCGTTGGCGTTGTTCTGGCAATCGTGGATCTTCTCCATACCGCCTGCCTCTTCAATAAACAGGGCGTAGCGGTTGACACGGGCGTCGCCAGTCTGGGCAGTCTCCTTGTCCATCTCGCCAACCTTGAGAATGTTCTCCAAGCCGTCGAGAGCAACCTGGATGATCTTGTTGTCAGGGCAAGCAAGAAGGTCGCAGAGGGGCTTGATGCATCCTTGAGAGACAAGGTAGCGGATCTGGTCGGGCTTTTGCAGACCACCGGAGGTGGCGTTGGAGATAGCCCAGCAGGCCTCTTTGCGGGTCTTGAAGTCACCGTTGGCAAGCAAGTTGATCAATGGGGGGATGATTCCAGCGTCGACGACCGCCTGGATCTGGCTAGAGTTACCGGCAGTCACGTTGGAAATGGTCCAGCATGCCTCCTTGCGGATACCGTCCTTTGTCGAGCTCAAGAGAGAGAGAAGGGCAGGGAGAGAACCGCAGTTGATGATCACCTGAGTCTGGACATCGTCACCGGTCACAATGTTACCAACGGAACGGAGGGCGGGAGTCTGGACAGAGGTAGAGGCGTGCATGAGGAGTTCTACCAGGCGACGAGGAATGCCGGCTTCGATAACGGCCTGGATCTTGTCGTTGGCACCATCAGACAGGTAGGAGATAGCCCAGCATGCGTCGATCAACACTTCATCGTCAAGCATGTAAATGAGTTTGGCAAGAACGGGGAGGGCAGGAGCAATCTGTGCAGACATATCATGTTAGCAATAGACCCTCTTTTCTAGGCGAGAAGATTCTCATAAGGTGTAGGTATACGCACAGTGTTCCAGTCGGGCTGCGGTGTCTTTCCACGGCAGAAGTTGCTCAGAGTCCATGTCGCGTTGCGAAGCATGCTCAGCTTGCGGCCATCGCTGATGAGGGTCAACAAAGGACGGAGGGCGCCGGCACCAAGAACGAAGTCACGGCATTGAGGGCTGTCACCAGCAATGTTACCCAATGCCCAAACTGCCTGTTCCCTAACATCGGGTTCAGGACTGCTCAGAAGCTCGACGAAGATAGGCACAGCACCAGCTTCGATAACAACCTGGGTCTGCTGGGCAGAACCGGAGGCAATGTTGGTCAAGGCCCAAGCAGCCTCGAACTGAACCAAAGTATGCGCGGACCGGAGGAATTCCACGAAACGGCTTACGACACCTGTCTCGATAACACGCTCGATGGGAGGGTTGCGCTCCTTGGAGAGCAGCTTCCTGAACTTGGTTGTGCAGGCAATCTGTGACTCAATCTGGTTGGAGAAAACACCCTTGACCATCTCCGGAAGTTCCACATTGAGCTACAAAACATATAATTAGCCAGTCTATCCTTGTAAACATGTTTGCCCGACACGACGGATCCCCCGGATGATCGCGTGCCTTCATGACGCGAACAAACTGGGATATGCAGGGGAAAAAAAGCAAGAGGGCGGTGAAAAAGTTCGTTGTTGGGGGCATGGTAAACAACTCGCAGATTCCCTTGGAAAAGAAGGGCAATAGGACACAGGGAAGAGAACAAGATCACCAGAGTAGGGGAAAATAGCACATACCTCACTCTCGATGGCACTGGCTTCATCGTCGCTCTCAGTGGCGGCCACGCCGCCCCCAACACCAATTCCACCATCCCGGGTCTGAATACCTCTCCTCTTGGACAGGTTCTCCTCTCTCTTCTGCTTCCGAATCTCAACCTGCTGTTCCTCACGACGACGACGGAGTTCTTCGGGCCGGAACTGGTTTCTGGCCTTGAACTGGGTGCGACGATGCTCGGGGATGTAACGCTCCGCCATGGTTGCTTAGGACAGAGGGGTGGAAAACAAAGCTTTTTTAAGTAGCGGTAAAACGAAGGGAGTGGCAGGGAAGGTAAAAGAATAAGCAACAAGTCAACCCAGCCAGTAAAAGGAAGGCCAACAGAAAAGTATGCGATGACAGGGGAAAGAAAACGCGAAGGTCTCGCTCTGTCTGGGCTGAAGCGAGCTCAAAGGAGGGGAAAAAATCATGTGGGATTTCCGCCGGTCACGGGATATATCCCCGCTGATTGGCTGCTTGCGGTAGACGCCACACCCGCCCAAGCGATTGGCGCCAAACGCGTTTTGGTCGATCGTATATGGTAGGTCCTTACTTTCCACGACAACAACGCTGGGAAGATTTATTTTGAGAGTGTCGTGCTGCTGTGTTGTTAGATACACCGTGAAATGGGCTCTGATCAATAATTGTCGATCAAATTGACCCTGGTTCGGGAAGCTACACGTGATATTCCTGTTCGCGGACACCACTCTGGATCTCGGGGTGATTACTACGATTTGCCAATATCCAGTCAGGAAAGGGCGTGTTCTTATGCTCTTTTAAATGCATCCCTGGCCGTTTGCATCACTATCCCATATCTTCCGAATGTGAGCAATGGTGCCGCCAGGCTACGTGGATATTACCACGGCCCTATACTCCAGAGGTTCCGTGAACGTGATTGGGGTTGTTGTCGATGTCTTTGGGGATGTCTTCAGAACAGGTGGTTCGTCCGTATGTATTACGTTTACTTTGAAAGACACAAATCTGGAAAACGGGCATTCTTGGGACGGACTGAAAATCAAGTATTTCAACGATGATCGAGCATCATTACCTCCGGTCAAGGAGCGCGACGTTGTACTCTTACAAGATCTCCGGGTAAGCTGATGCTCATAATCACTTTGTTATTACACATGCTGACTCTTTGCTCATAGGTAAGGACATTCAACGGGAAGACGATCGCAGTTGCTTCCCAGCATGAGACGGTTCCGTGGGCCATTTACCGGCAAGAGTCAGACGCAAGAACCACAGCGGCACCAATCTCTGGCCCGGATCCTTTTGAACCATCTCATTTGGAAAAGAAATATGCATTAGCGCTGCTGAAACGTGCCTCTTCGGTTGATGCCACCGGGCATCTGCGTGCCGTGGAGGCTTATAAGAGCTCTCAAGTGGTTCAAGCTTCCGTGCCCACTCGAAAACCTGGCGGAAAACAGTTTTCTCTTATCAAGGACATCGAGGAGCGCACATATGTGATCCTCGTCTGCGAAGTACTCAACATCAGCGTAAATGATAGTGAAAAGCTTATCATCGATGTCACTGATTACACTTCTAATGAGAGTTTGTCGAATGACGAGGCAGATGATGACGACGGCCGTGAAGGAGACAGCTTCAACTACTTAGCACCACGCCCGAAGAGGAAGCGAAACGGGCCTTTGGGACGAATGACGCTTCGGATAACGCTTTGGGACCCGCATGCTGCCTTTGCTCGCGTAAATATCCGACCAAACCATTTTGTACACTTGAACAATGTGCACATTAAACGGGGCCGTATCTATAAAAATTTGGAAGCCAGTATCCATACTGACCGTCATTACCCGGACAAAATCTGCATCACGAAAGTGAACCCTTCAAACGACGAACGAGCGCGTGCATTGCTAGATCGCAGGAAGGAGTATTGGGCAAAACACTACAGCAAAGAAGATGCTCAGGAAGAAAATACGGAAAAGCCTGCGAACTTTAAGAAGACCAAGCAGACCAAACCGCAGAAAAAGCAGGAAAAGAAAAATGAAGAAGGCCAAAATCCGCTTGAGATTAGCAAAAGAACTCGCTTAAACGTGCATAGTAAGCTCTCAAAACCCCTCTGTCTCGATCCTGAAGGGAAAGAGCTAATAAACCGCGTATTACAGTTAAAGCCATGAATGTTTCCATCAAATGCAAGCGACTGGAGGACATCTTGACCAATGAATCCCACGAATATAAGACCCCCGAGGGCATCGAATACCGTCTTCCATTCCAAAACATCTGCTACCGATCGGATATCCGCGTGGTCGACTTTTTCCCTCCCAACCTGGAAGACTTCGCTGTGCCCGAGGAGCCCGATAGCAATAGATTAACTGCGTCTGATGGTGAACTCGATATTTCCAGTCACCCAAAAAGCTTCACAAGGTGGGAATGGCGATTCTGTCTTCTCGTCGAAAACTCCACCCCTCCAGGCCCAGGCGTCCCCAAGGAGAGGATACGCCTTTATGTCTCCGGACCAGATGCCGAGTGTCTACTGGGTTTAGATCCCGTCGAGTGAGTATTTACCACTAGTCATATCTGCAGGCAATACTAACCTCTTCCGGTTTAGTCTACGAAAGAAAAAGGCTTCATTGCGTGAGCTAAAGGAAAAGCTCTTCATCCTATGGGGCGATCTCGAAGAACGGAAGTCACAAGCTGCCGCTGAGGGTAAAACAGACCCCCAGAGCTGGGGCCCTGTGTCCTCAGTTCCATTTACGTGCTGTATCAAAGAGTACGGTGTGAGATGCTCGCATGTTGATGATGCAGATGATTCCAATCTTGGTTGTGAGAATGAGGGCTGTTTCGGCTGGGAGAGACGGTTGGGAATGTTTCAGACGACAATTCATTCGTAGGCGGTTTGGTTTTGTGGTATATATACGATTTTCATTGTGTCTTCGCTCCTAGGGTATGTTGAATATCTTAATTCTTACGGGTCAGTGTATTTCAGGAACTGTTTGTTATGGTTTGTGCTATTTTCGAGATACCATATATAGTTTCTTCTATTTCGACTTTCTTTAATCGATCCACATTTACGACAACTTTGAGAACAATATGTATATTGTATCTTTGAAGGTAGTTATGGCACGTGGATGTCAGTTGCCCATGGGCAGAACGCAAGCCACAATATATGGATATGGACACGAACATGTAATATATGCAAGTATTCGAGCATGATGCAAGCGGTGCAAGTTGAGAAGATACGACGTCACGGATGAAACAGAAAGATAGCATCTCACTCCCTGACCGTGGTCATTGCACAAGCACTTGACTAAACTTTGGTCAGTTTGACGATAGTTGTATCAATTCCATGAGTTTCCGGTTCGAATCGACAGCTCGAGCCCCAATAGCAATCCTTTTTGCCAGGTTCGCTCTGCGGACAGCGGTGTCCGTACATACACTCCGCATCTTCACATTCAAGTCCGAAGCGACATGGAGTCATGCGAGCAATGGCGGACAATATGAAGTAATCATTCTTGCTCAGTTTGCGCGTGTGATCATGGTGGCAATTCTCGTTGGGGCATTCGCCTTGCAGGTAGTAAAAGTTACAGAGTTTCAGTTTCTTAAGGCGATTCAGGTCTTCTCGCGGAATGCTCTTGAAATCAAGCCGGTCAACGCGTTGGCCGTATCTATTTCGTTCCACTGTCTTTGAACGGGTCGAATTGGTCGCCTTTGGACGCACAACCTGGAACTCGTCTATGCTAAGTATGTTTGCGGAATTCGTAAACGATGTAGGTACGGTGATAGGCGTGCTATTGCTGGCCAAGGTTGTATTGGTTGATGTCCTCGAAAGGGGCACTGTGTGTTGAATTGGCGATGGTGTGAACAGGGAACGAGGCTTTGCGGTTACAGCTGCCTTGTAAGGTGCCAAAGCAGGGGTAATCTTTGCAGTTCGGAAGATATCTGGAAAATTAGTGACCCGGTAGGAAGGCTTTAATGATTCCAAATCCCTATCGAATGTGATTCCTTCAATCAATGACACTCGTCCGATGAGATCCCTGTCTGCTAGTATATCTTCCAATTTCTCAGAATATCCGACTTCGGGCGAGCATCCCAGCAAGATCTGGTGGCAGTGGCAGTTGTAAATATACAAGTCGAGCATCTCTGGGGGAAGCCAGCAAGTTAGCTCATGGACTGAAGTGGCGAGTGAAGAGAGAACCGCCATGTTGCGGACATTGCCATTTCGAATCACAAAGGATCTTCCAGCAACGAGGGCCATTTCAATAATATAGAAAGAGAGAGGTCAACTTCCAGGCCGCATACCTCTTATCTTGTCGTACGGTTTCCTTTTTCCAGTATCCACCAGGTCTAATAGTGGCATAGATCCATTGAAGCCACGAACAAAATCGTCGAGAACGGACTGCTCGTTTATGATCTGCCCACGCATACAGATGTCGCTTAATCCGTTCATATTTGCATATATCTTGGTCATTATTTTCGGGGCGGAGATGCCGGGGAAATTGTCTTCGACATAAGCTTGTAAGGCCGATGAGAGTTGCGACGCTGCATTTCGTCCACCTTGTCCTCCTTGTTGTAGAAACTCGTCTTTGAATATCATACCGTCTCCGTCGAGTAGCACGGCTACAAAGGGTTCACGGTCCTAGATGGGAATAACAGGTACGATTAGTTCTGGTCTTCGTCGGGGAAGAAGAAGACGGGGACATAACAAGCACACCATAATCGTTTTGACCCTCGATAGCTTATCCATCAACTCGATTTCGTGAATCTGGATGTCTCGATTAAAGCGCATTTCCCGTTCATGGTCGAGTTTTTCTCTTGAAAAGGCTTCTTCGAGGTCCGTCACGCGTTGCAGAAGTTCCTAAGCAGAGAGAGCTTGAATTAAGCAAAGCTGACAGCTGACAACTGAAGTCAAAACAGGAGAGCTACCTCGATAAGATTATTCTTTCTCTGTTCTATGGACACTATCTTCTGATAGCGTTCGAAATAAGCCGAGACTTCCATGGTTGTAAGGCTGGATTTCCGGGGTAAACTAGCTCGCGGAGACGGACGGCAAATCGTAGTTCAAATAATATGGGATGTAGGAGGGGTGTCGGAATGAGGAGGAATCAGGGAATCAGGATGGCTGAGATGGTGGGCGTAAGATGAATAATATATATGTACAGGGCGTCAACATGAATGCACTTTTCTCGGCGCTTGCTTTTTATATCGAGTTCTTGGTTCCCCGATTTTCTTCCTGTCCCGTTTTGGAAACACCCACGCAGCGCTCGGAGTCGGCTGACTAAGAATCTAAACACCTACGTGGAGAAAAAGGTCCGAGATTCCCCTTCATCAACAGCTCCGACTCTCTTTCTCTCTTCTTCCCATTGGGTTCTCTTCCTCCTTCCTGTCCTTTTCCTTTTTGTCCCTCGTCCTTTGCTTCGGCTCTGTTTCGCAATGGCTCGCTTCGGTTTCCTCTCGTTGGCTCTGCTCTCTCTCCAGGCCTTGATCGGCACCAGCTTCGCAGCAGTATGCTCACCCCCGGTTTTGTCTCATTTTGAATGCCAATTGTTTTGCTAACATAATTTCCACTCAATTAGGAGGCTGCCGAGAATGCCGGAGAAGAAGTGGAAGCGCGAAAGCTGTCTGTCTCGGCGCAGGCGTCCTTCCCTGATGCTGAGATCTTCGGCGTGAAGCTCATCAATGGCCACCCGACTCGGGCGCTTATCTCCGTCACCAATGAGGAATCCTCTCCTGTGACGCTGAACTTCATCGGTGGTACTTTGTCGACTCCGGGCGAGGAGCAGAGCGCCATCATCCGCAACTTGACCACCACGCGATACGGCGTCGAGATTCCTGCTGGTCAGAAGGAGGAATTGAGCTACAGCTTCGTGAATGAAATGCATCCGCAGGACTTGAGGCTGAGCTTGTCTTCTATTGTGTCTGACGCCGAGGGAAGTTTCTTCACCGTCTCCGCGTACAATGGAACTGTCAGCGTTGTTGAGCCGGAAACCAGCATCTTCGACCCTCACATGTGAGTATTATGTTACTGAGGTTGTAAAACGCAAGGCTAACTTTTATGAACAGCCTCTTCCTTTACTTCGTCCTCCTGACCGGTTTCGCTGGTGTCGTCTACTTCTTTTACACCGTTTGGATCGCGCCGTACTTCCCCCAGAAGCGCAAGTCTGGAAAGACCGACTTCTCCAAGAAGTCATCTGGTGCATCCAAGAAGGAAGAGGCCGCCCCCGTTGAGACCGCCGCTAGCCCCGTTGCCTCTGCCACCACTTACAACGCCGATTGGATCCCGGCTCACCACATCAACCGCCCTGAGGCCCGGAAGGTGAAGGGTACCGCGCGTTCTATTAAGACTCGTGTCTAAAGTGCGTTGAAGGAGGAATATGTTGTCGCAAGAGGACATGTTGAAGGAAGGAGACTCCTGGTCATGGCTACCGCTCAGTTCTGAAAAGGGCCTTGGTACATGGTTTTGACCGGAAGACTCGGGGTTGGCTAGCTGGTCTTGGGCAATGGATCGCTGAGAATGTGATCAGTTGGACAAGGCCACTGGCATATTATATTCGAAACGTGTATATTACGATTACTTGAGGGTTTCCGTTGTGGTACCCAGTAATAGATTATGTTGGGTCACTAACCAGCTAAGACCAATCAAGAATAATGCTTCCCATGTATTCATTCTCTGAGGTAAAAGTCTCCCAACGACTAGTTCATTGTCGTTTCCATTCGTTGAATTCCTCCTCCAAGTGCCCCTTCAATTCAGCAAACTTGTTGCCAAAATTTCTTCCACAGCGCCAGCAAATATAATCCCATTGTAGGTAACCTTGTCTCTTAAAATGTCTCCTTGGATCGTCTTTTGGCAGAGGAAAATCATCAATATCAACGAAAAACGGCGTAGAAAAGCTATTGTAATGCTTCTTACTCTTCATCCGCTCGCTATACCGATCCACAGACATGACATGAATATGCAAGTGGTTCATCGACGGGCCCGAATGTATCCCGCACATAATCTCCTTCCCCCAGTCCCTCCCCGACGGCAGCTCATCCGGCGGAGGATCCGCATCAAGCGCATCGTATCTCCTCTTCTCCTGCGCAGACTCCTTCCCGTACATTCTCCTCAATTCAGCCGCCGCTAGGGCGCGGATTTTCTTCGCCTCCATCCTGACATTTTGCAGGAACTCGGGATCGTCAAAGGCATCGAATGGGTGGAGACGGGTTTTGGAGAGATCACGCGGGAGAAGGAGGAGGTGGAGCGTGGATTTGGGGTATCGATCGTGGATAGCCACGAAGTTCTGATTATGGTATACGACGACATTGGAGGAAAAGGATTCGGGGTTTTCGATGTATGCGCCTAGAGCATCTCGTGGGCCTCCGGGGGCTCGTTTCTCGCTCTGTAGGTAATCGTACCATGCGTGCTGGGCCTTGTGCTTCTGTTGCTTATTCTTGGGGGAGAGGAGCTCTGTGACTTTATAATTGAGAGTCAGTAAGTAGGCGCATGTAAAGCAGTCCATAATCAATCTCACTAGCAGCGTACAAGCATCTCTTTTCTCTGCTTTCTGGGGTCGCGACATGGTGACGTCCGCAGTCCGCGCGCTCTTTCCCACTTCAGAGCCAGGTGCTTTGGACGTTAGGAATAGTATGTTGATCAAGATGTAGCAATAATTGATTTGAAGGAGTATCAATTTTCCAAGTTGTTGCTTAGAACTAGATTTCTGTAGTCTTGCTTATGCGGAGAGCACTATGACTCCCCACAGTCGGCCGCCCAAAGAGGCATAGCGCGGACGGCCATTTTCATCGGCGACAGTCGTCATTTTTTGCCTTGGCCGGCACTTGTATAGTCCACTCCACGGGCGTCATTTTGGATATACTTACAATTATATACACCAATTCTTTTGGATATACTGCATAATGCCCCCCAAGAAAAAGGGAGACGCCCGTGGAGGGCCCAAGCCCGGCACGAAGCAAGCAAAAGCCACGGCTGAGCGAACGGCGGAAAGCGCAAAGGCGCAACAACCTCCAGCACAAGAGCAGAAGAAACCCTCAGTGAAGGAGGTCATTGGAGGCGCATCATGGACCGGGAAATTGCCTGTCAATATGCTGTCGGAGCATTGCCAGAAGCAGAAGTGGGAGAAACCGGAGTATACCATGGTATTATTGCAATTGATAGACTTGCCTGCACCTACTAGTAGCATTTACTGATTGAGCCATTGTTTCGCTGCAGAATAAAAATCGGGATGGATTATTCTCATCGACCGTTATTCTGAAGAAAGTCGATCTCAAGACTCGAGAGACAATTACCCTTCCTCCAATGGAGCTCCCTCGATCTCATAAACCTTTCTCGGCCCAACCGACGGCGCTCGAAGCTCGCCATTTCGCTGCTACATATGCCCTATATCGTGTTTGCAATATGCGGAATCTGCACATGATGATGCCTCCTAACTATAGGAAGTTATGGAAAGAGGACTTCTCGGATCTCAGAACTGCGGATATAAAAGAAGGGAAATCTTGGATGTACGAAGCAGATCCCTTTTTGGCTAAGCAGGAGAGAGAGAGCGCAGCAGCAGATATGGAAAAGAAGCGAAAGGATCGCGCGGCCGCGCAGTCGAAAGAGAAAGAAAGCACAGTGCAATTGGGACTCGGGCCCTCCGGTGGACAAACCCAGGGCAAGAGATTCTGGTCAAACGCGCCGAAGGTCGAGATGGGAAGTAAAGTGCGACGGGATATCGAGACGCTACTGCGACAACATACTATTTGGAATCCTTATAACGTGCAAATATCCGAGAAAGAGCGGAAAACCATTGTTGAGGAATTTGCGCAGTTGGGTTTCCGACGTAGCCACGTTGAAGAGGCAGCTGCGGCATGCAAAGACCGTGAAGAAGTGCTCGAATGGCTTCTAATCTATGTCCCAGAGGATGATCTTCCCCAATGGTGTCTACCAGAGGGTTATTCCGCTGGTGTAAGCCTGGCCAGTGATGACCTTGCACGGGAGGGTAAAATCAAACGACTCGCGTCTGCTGGGTATCCAGCTGATCTTTGCTCATATACGTTGGATAGTAAAAAGGGAGACGAGGTTGCGACAGCAGAGTCCTTACAAAACACATTAGTGCACGGAACAAATCGCCCTTCAGAGCCCGCATCCGAGGATGAGGATGCCTGGGCAGAGGAACAAGATACCTTGGAAGCCATCTTTGGAGAGCGCCACGTTCGGTCTTCGCCCAAGGTTTGTGAGATCAAAAGTGAAACTCCAGGCTTGGAGGGATCAGTATCTTTTCGATTTCAGAGACCTTCTGGACATTATCCCTCTGTGCCCCCGATCATATCCATTATGGCAAAGGGCATTCCTTCTTATATACGGCTCAGTGCGATTCGTCAAGCAGTAAAATATGCCGAGGAGATATTTGTCGGTGAACCAATGATATTCAATATCATGGACTGGCTGGAAGCGCAATTACCAGAGATCATAGAGAATCCAGGGAAGCTACGGGACATCTCGACAGTCACAGCGTCTCCATCCACTACCGAGAGAACCTCAGAGCTTCCAATTCGACAGTCAAGAAAGTCACGCAAAGGAGTCGACTGGCAACCGGGCACGCCGCAAAGCGTTTCGATCCGAGAAGCGTGGGAATCCAAGAGATCAACCAAGGCCCAACGTGAGATGCTTCAGAAACGAGAATCGCTCCCTGCCTGGAATACACAGGATGCCATCATACACGCTGTGAATACTCACCAGGTGACCATCGTCTCTGGTGAGACAGGTAGCGGTAAGAGTACTCAATCTGTCCAGTTCTTGCTGGACGACATGATCAAGCGTGACCTGGGTGGTGCGGCTAGCATCATCTGTACGCAACCTCGAAGGATTTCGGCTCTTGGTCTTGCGGATCGAGTAAGCGATGAGCGATGCGGCACTGTTGGTGACGAAGTTGGATACGTGATTCGAGGAGAATCCAAGATAAAATCCGGGGCGACCAAGATCACCTTTGTCACCACCGGTGTTTTGCTTCGCCGCATGCAAACTGGCAGTGGACCAGACGGCAACGTCGCAAGCTCTCTCGCGGACATCACACATGTCGTGGTCGATGAAGTTCACGAACGGAGTCTTGATACCGATTTCCTTTTGGCGCTTCTTAGGGACGTTCTTCGCTACCGCAAGGACATCAAGGTCATCTTGATGAGTGCAACTCTTGATGCGGATATTTTCATCAACTACTTTGGCGGACGCCAAAATGTTGGATTAGTGAACATTCCCGGGCGAACGTTCCCGGTCGAAGACTACTATATGGACGATATTGTCCGTGATACTGGATTTTCGTCGGAGCTGACTGAGCGCGACTTCGATGATGATTCAGCCGTTGGTATAACAAATGACGACTCGCTAGGCAAGGTTCTTCGTAAGGTTGGCATGGGCATCAACTACGAATTGATTTCCGCCACCGTTCAATACATTGATAGACAGCTTGGAGATAACCCTGGAGGAATCCTGATTTTCCTTCCGGGTACACTTGAAATCGACAGGTGTTTAGCCGCTGTGAGCAGACTTCCCGGCGTACATCCGCTACCATTGCATGCATCTCTTCTTCCAGCAGAGCAGCGGCGTGTTTTCCTGGCTCCACCCAAGGGAAAACGCAAGGTCATTGCAGCCACCAATGTCGCAGAGACATCCATCACTATCGAGGATATTGTAGCGGTCATCGACACTGGCCGCGTGAAGGAGACCAGCTTCGATCCCAAGGACAACATGGTCAGACTTCAGGAGGTGTGGGCATCGCAAGCTGCTTGCAAGCAACGGCGAGGACGTGCTGGTCGTGTTAGGGCTGGTACCTGCTACAAGCTTTACACGCGCAAGGCCGAGGCCAACATGGCGCAGCGGCCGGACCCTGAAATTCGCAGAGTTCCGTTGGAACAACTGTGTCTATCAGTCAAAGCAATGAAGGGCATTGATGATGTTGCCAATTTCCTGTTTAACACGATTACACCGCCAGAGAGCATTGCTGTTGAGGGAGCGCTGAGCTTCTTGCATCGCGTGGGTGCTTTGGATCATGACCGTTTGACGGCTCTCGGACGTTATCTGTCGTTGATCCCTGCCGACTTGCGATGCGCAAAGCTCATGGTGTACGGCTCTATCTTCGGCTGTATAGACGCCTGCGTCACCATTGCCTCTATTTTGACCGTGAAAAGCCCGTTCGTCTCGCCACGGGAGAAACGCGAGGAAGCCAATGCCGCCAGAGCAAGCTTCTCACGGGGAGATGGGGATCTTTTGACGGACTTCGCAGCTTACCATCAGTGGTCTGAGCGCGTAAAGACCAATGGCTACTGGCAGACTCAATCCTGGTGCTCAGTGAACTTCCTCTCCCATCAAACACTGCGCGACATCTCGTCCAACAGAGCCCAATTCTTCACTTCACTAAAGGACTCCGGAATCCTCCCCGTCAATTACTCTGAAAACAGTAACAACGACACTTCATCCCGCTTGAACCGCAACTTCAAGAATTCGAACCTTCTCCGCGCCCTCGTTGCAGGCTCCTTCCACCCCCAAGTCGCCCAAATCTCATTTCCAGACAAGAAATTCGCCAGCTCCGTCACGGGTACTGTGGAACTTGACCCTGACGCCCGAACGATCAAATACTTCAACCAGGAGAATGGCCGCGTCTTCATACACCCGAGCTCCATCCTCTTCTCCGCCCAAGGCTACACCGGCGCAGCCGCCTATATCAGTTACTTCACGAAAATGGCTACAAGCAAGGTTTTCATGCGTGACTTGACTCGTAAGTAAGCCCTATTCGGCATCGAAATGAGCCGCTCTCTAACTGTATTCTCTAGCATTCAACGTCTACGCCCTCCTCCTCTTCTGCGGCTCCATTACCCTTGACACCGCGGGCCGCGGCCTAATCGTCGACGGCTGGCTTCGTCTACGCGGATGGGCCCGTATCGGAGTCCTTGTTTCCCGTCTGCGCATGGTGTTGGATGATATGTTGGCTGCGAGAATTGATAACCCCAACAGTGGCAGTACCAGTACTACCACTACTTCCTCCGATCGTCCGGATGAGAAGGTCATTGAAATAGTGAAGCGTTTGGCTGAGTTTAATGGGTTGGATCAGTGATTGTTGGATGCATTTTGGTGTGACGGAATGGCAAATTTCCCGAGGGGATTGGAAGTCCCCATGATATATAAAAATGATTATTTTAGAAGCCATAGAGACCAAAGGATAGAAGCTTCATCATGTACTTGATTGCTGTATCAGGGCGGTTTATGCGTTTAGCGTGCCCTATCAGTCACGGGACTCTGGATACGACCTTCCATTTCTCAGTCTCCCCGTCAATGCAAACATTGCATACACTTCGACTTCTGACTCACAAGCTCCCTTCATTGGATCAACACTGAAACACATCACCGACCTTAGAAGAGAGTAGAGACAACAATGGGCAACCGTGGGCCAGTCACAATCATCTATTGAGCGTCAGAAGAAGATTGAGGAGCTTAAACAATCCCTCCTCCGATCCAGACCCGCGGTACCTATGCCCTCTTTCTATGTTTCTTCTGAATATCAGACCATTATCCAGATGAGCTGCTCCAGAGTTATGCCAAAAAAACAAGATAGAGTACAGGACGAGTATCAGGGACGCTGGTTTGATCAAGTGTTCGATATTTTCTGTACCCAAACAGAGTCAGCAAAATGTGAGTTCGTAAAGGACATTAGATGATTAGGAAGTGATAAAGCCATTTAGTCTGGTCAGAGCAGAACCTTGCCGATTTTATGCAGGGCATATTCCCCTCAGAATTGACACTGATTCTCACGGACGCGATTCCAATCATGCATCGATGTCTATTGCGTCTGGGTTCGCATCCCTGCCAAAATGATCCGGAGAGCTTCTTACGCACGACGTTCTGCGCACGGCTTTCAACGAGATTTACTGTTTATATGGTCATACAGATTATGGCGACCCATTTCCCAATAGGACGAAGATGGTTGCTTTCCAGTGTTTGGCCAGTCTGGACTCCAGAAAGCCCCGGAACGAAGAGCATAGAAGCGAGGAAGATGACTATGGTCTAAAATCAGTTTTAGATGGATTTAGAGCTAGACGTCGAGATCCAGATTATCCAAAACAGGTGTATATTGGTCCATCCAATCCACCGCCATCCCACTTCCCCTCTTCATGGTCCGGAGATTTGGACCAAACAATCCCTACAGGCGAATTTCGATCCTTTTTACGACTCATGATGGTCCTGAATCTATATAACAGTGGTATTGATGCTGCGCGTTTCTCGGCCTGCCTGACACAGGTAGAGAAGACCACCGACTGCTTGCTGGCTGCATTTCAGCCCAGCCTGAATCATGGTATGCTTTCATGGGAGAATGTATGATGCGACTCTTGGGCCCGTTGGTCTGTCCCAGAATCTTGCCTCAAGGCAGTCTACCTGCATTCGTGATGGAGACGCAAGATTTTTTCCGAAAGGCCTACGTTCCGTCAATTCAACGCGAGGTACCGCCCCCGGGTTACATACTCAACCTTCCTCTTCTCAGCCAGCTAGACCTCATGTTACCCCGCTGGATTCTCTACGAGGGAATGTCTGTCGCTTGTTCTGCCACCATAGATCAGATAAACTTAAGGGATTTGAGAGACCACATTACTCAAGATCCACCGGTGTTGCTCCTCGTTTCTGGTCGCAGCAATAACAACCAACAACATGTTACCTTTGGTTTATTCTATCCAAATGGATTCCTCCTAGACGGCTATGATGAGGAACTAGGGGCGCGCATGTTCCAGTTTGAACCCGTGCAGCGATATTTTGGTACTCATGTCAGTAGGGACTATTCGATCCAGTTCGACTTGGAAGGAGAGAATCCAACCATGACGGGTCAGGTTACCTGGCAAACCAAAGTTTGGTTAAAGGAGGAGAGTAACACCGCGCCAACAGATAGATCCATTGCCAAAGACAATGCCATGAGTCTTACGGTGAGCAGTAAAGGTCTTGGTCACTTCATGGTACAGGCGCATAGATTTCCCCAGGGTTAATGAGTGTTTCGACGTGGATGCCGTGGAACTGTTCAAGTGCGATAACCAGCGCATTTTCGTGGCTGATTATGAGTATGATGAGTGTTATTATTATCTTGACGATGATTGAGGAATTGCACTTCCATATTCAAGTACAAACCAGAAGCACAGTCCTTTACTTCAAGTCAACATTTGTACTTATCAGAGATGTGCCCTAGTTAATGACAGCTCTTTTGCAGCTAGAAGTGAAGAGGCATTCACTATCTTGCATTTGCTTTCTCGCCTTGCGTATTTGCTACACTGTATGGAAATTAGAATAGCCTCTCGTCTCCCCTTTTCTTCTCTCCCATAATCTTCCCGCCCTCTATCATCGCAATCATTGATACAGTTAGTTTCTCACTAAATTTTCACGATTTCTGACTCAACTTCTCTGAAGCAAGGCGAATCCAACGAGGGTAAAAGAAAGCTAAAAACTTTTCAAGGGTCTTACGAAAGGCACAAAATGAAAGAGTCAACTTAGCCCACAAAGCATATAGTCCTAGAGAAATGGGAAGCGCAATCTCGGACAGAGGAAGTCCTCGCCAGGACTCCAACTCCCGAGCCTTTGATCAAGAAAAAGTGAAGGGAGCCACCGGTCCCGTCAAGTACGCTGACACTAAACGGGCCACATGCGATAAGGCCTTCTGGGTCAATCGTTACATGATGGACCCTGATGGTCCGGAGAATAGCCTAATAAAACTGGCGTAAAACCAGCCTCCCCAACACTTATGAATATGTTGGGCAAGTCAAGCGCGCAGGGAAATCAGCAAGCCAAACAAGTACAAATACATTGGAAAGGTGAAGCCCGGCGTAGCAAAAGAGCCGGGGGCTCATGACGCGCTGGACCAGGCAAATGCCTACCTGAAAGAGAAAGGTATGAGTCCCCTCCTTTCCCTCCTCAAAAGAGAAAAGAAAAGAAAGCTAAAAAGAAATCTGTAGCGACGATGCTCGAAAGAACCGGATAACCCTACAATATCACGGGAAGGGGAATTGGAAACAACTGTGTGTCATTTGCGACGAAGCCTACCACATTGTCTTAAAAACGTGGCAGGCCAATTTTCGGGTCAAAGAATACCTTGCTGGTACCCCGACTTGTCGCTGGTCTGTTTCAATACAAGAACCGACAATATTACAACGCCAGAGCCTTTGACCTAGTTACCACCGGTGCAGCCTTACAATGCAACTGGTCAACTTATCGACCACAACTGTATTACTTTTGTGGAGGCTTTGGCCAAGGCAATCAAAGAGGACAAGGAGAAGGAGTAATAATGTATATCTGTTAACACATTTTATATATTTAGATCCACATTCTCATAAGAGAAAAGAAGAGAGACTTTGGAGGGATTAGATGACTGGCTTGTATTTCACAACATGGCGATCTATGAGGAGCCCTAATTCGTCCGGGGCGACATGTGATTATAAAGCCATGTTTTTACTGCGGCCATAAAATAACGAGAATATAATAAATAACTATTATCTTTATTGATTTTCATAGCATGCATAAGTCTTTCAAGTAATAACTCATAAGCAACAATAGAGGAAATCATCAGTCCAAAACGGGGGAAATCGACACGGGGGAGGATAACCGATATTAAGAAAGGGAGCGTGCGCAGTATGTATGGAGACAGGTCGAACATAGTAAGAACAAATAGACTAAACAGAGGATGGAGAAGAGATGAGGGGTGCGAGTAACATAACATAGTTGATTAATCCATACAAAAATGTTCTTCGACCATAACTCCTCGAGAAGCCGGATCGACAAGGTGTAGTAGTACTCCGTAACAAAAAATTCACCCATGACAAAAATATAGAATCTGATTCACTGTCCCGTCATGATATTCCTCGTGCCTCCATAATTCAGATTCGAATTGGGCAATAACAGACACAGGCGAAACATGCAGCCGCCACTTGATGGTAAAGTGAAGTTAGAGACGGCATATTGCGATGACGAAGTAATATTCAAACTAGCCAAAGTCGCGTGTTCTTTTTGTCTTTTTTTTTATTAAGTCGAGCCAGCCGATCAAAGGTCAAGATATCTCATTTGCTCACTTGCGAGGCGCCAGACGATGTCGTCAAAAGCCGACTGATACAGGCAAGAAGCGCTGAGTTAGAAACGGAAATCATCGGTAGGCTGAGTGCAGTAGAAAAATGAAAGGGGTATCAAAATTTAAACAAAGAAAAAGGAGTATTAAGAAAATGAAAAGGAAATAAACAAGCCGCGGGCATAATTACACACTCCTAATAGTGTGTGGCGCCAAAAAGCCCGTTGCGCTTGTAGACGGAACTGTCTCTCGATACTTGGGGAAGGCGAAAATATTGCATTTCCGCCTGGACGAAGAGAGACGCTCGCTTGTATCGTTTGTCCGCGTATTTCTCGAAGATGAAGGCATGGTGCCCGCCGGGGTTCTCACAGCACTCCAACAACACGGAGACGAGAGGCAGGAGTTGAGAATAGGTATAACCCGAGTAATGGATATGAGCCGCAGACCAGTCTCCTTTGCCAAGCATCAAGCGTGCCAGACAGTGAGCGCCTGCAGCGAGGAAGCTTGGAGGGCTACTGACAAACCGCTCATCCATGATGGTGAGTTCCAAGAAATACTTGGCCATAGTGCGAGTTTCCAAGTCATAGTCGTCAGCCTTGCTGATCCTCCGCAGGAAACTCATAGGGCCAGGCCATCCCAGCTCAAACCGCAGCACGTACAGCATTAACCGCTCGGCCTCGATAATCCTCTCCGCGGTATAACGTTGCTCAACCATGAAGACAACTTCCCAGACGGATGGGCAGTTAATTTCTTCGTACTTGGCTGCGATAAACAGCGCGGTTGCACCCACAAGCTGAATTCTGTCCAACGAGATGATCTTGCTAGATAGGAAACGATCGACGTAATTGACACACAAGTAGAGGGTTTCTGGAAGGAGCCCAAAGCGATGGTGGACCTGCACCAGCCAATCCATGAGAATAGACCGCATCGACCATTGGATTTCAACCTGGTAGTCCATGTAATGGGCGTTCGGAAGCATTTTAAGCTGTCAAGGAAATTGATTAGCAAGGACGCATAAAACATGTGACTCCTTGAAGGTAGTGCTTACCTCTTGTTCCTTCATAAAGTCGAAGATTTCGTCACTATACTCAGCAACCATGCTAGTATCCCAGAACTCGTCTTCAACATCCTCCTCCGGACGGGTAGCCTCGACAATCTCCTTTGCCAGGGCCAATTCCCGCCTCACTTGTTGATTGTACTTGGGGAAAAGTACAGCAGTTATTCCGCCGGTAGTGTTGTCTCCCCGGGAGCGATAGGAGCGCGCAGTAACATATCCGTCATCCTCCTCATTCTCGTCCTCTTCGTCGTTCCAGTATTCCTCCGGTTCCTGTTCATGCTCCGGTGGAGGCATTGAATGGGGGTGACTGTGCACGACTGCATGAGACTCATGAAGCTTGGGCTCTTCGAGCTCTTGTGCTTTACAATCATTTTCGTCAGCTGTAGAAGATGTTTCCGCTTCAGCGCCAATTGCGTCTGACTTCATAACCGCACAGTCGTCGGCGTCATAGTGTTCGTGCAGATTTTCAAGCGGCTCTTGAACCGCGTTATCTTCTTCCACCTTGTCCTCAAGTGACAGTACGGTTGACGGACGCAAAATGCCCTCCGTGCTAACGTCCAACACGTCGGGTTTGGCTTCCTTGGATGCAGTAACTTCGTCTTTGATTTCGTTCATGGACTGAGCGGGGTCCTTGAAAATGGCAGTTCCTCGTTTGTTCAGCGTCTTGCGCGTGTTGGCAGTCTGTTGCAATAGGGTTGTCTGTTTGCCAGCCAGTTCAAGGGGCTTCTGTTGAGCCTTGGGCTGGTTGAGAATGCCCTTCAAGTTCGACACGGACGTGGGACGCTGAGGCGGCTGGGCCAGCACATTAGACTTCCTTTCGGGGATCTTCACTGTGGGCTTTGCTGCGCCTTTGGTGATCTGTTTCTTGCCCGCCAAAGCGGCGCCATCGCGACTTCCGTGGACCGGGTTAGCGGTATTGCTGACATCCCCAAACGCAGCGCGACGCGGGCCATTATTCTTGGGCGCTCCATTCTGAAAGGTGCCGGCGAGAGCAGTGGCAGATTTGTTTCGCTCGTGAAGTGTTTTGTTGGCCGCGAAGGCCATCGGGGCGTTCTCGTCGCCGCGAACGCGAATACGTTGTGGCTGTAGTTTCAGAACAAGCATGTCAGTTTCACGTTTTCATCGTGGCATATGGAAAACGTGATGAGATCAAGGCAATAAGTTGAGTCACTTCGCGTCCATTGTGGTTGAGCCATGGTAGGCACCACTCAACCATACACCAGGCAATCAACCGTCGGATATCCAAAAAAGGGAGAAGCCACGTACCTTTGCGTCCATAGTGAAGATGCGTCCAGCAGAGTATGTCTGAAAATGGTAGACACCTGTCTGGCTGCAGAAGACGACTTGCTTTTTCTCTCGTTAAACCAAATAAACAATGGCCGCGCCAGGAAGAATCAGACGAGAAATCAATTCAATTGAAGCCCCAGCACCGTTAAACACCAAACCCGAAGGGAGAGCAGGATGGAAGGAAGTAAGAACGAGGCGATGAAGACGAGACCTGCTCAAGGGGTGTTTATTATGGTTGCCATTGGGGCCTTCATCTCTGAATGAATGCAGCTGCTTCCCTTACTTTTTGCCTTCTTACCGCTTTCGTTACCGTAAACAACGGCCGCGCTAAGCTGCTTTGGGCGTTGTCGTGGCATGCTTATGTCACCCGTCCTGATCAGGAAGTGTTTGTAGTGTTTGTGCAATATCGGAACAAATGACGTCAGGCGGCGCGTCTCCCGCCGGCACTTCCAAACGCCATCGAAGTGGTTAACACCACCACAACGACATAAAAGCTTCGCGAAAATCGGCTTTAGATGCGCTGTGAGCATGCAATTTGATCTTTGTCTTTCTCTCCCGGTTATTGTCGCAAAAATGTGGTGGAAATCGAGTTGAACCAAAACCCATTTCGGACGCGCGGTATCACACGCGATCAGCGCCAATTAAACACGAAAGCACGTGACCCACGACGGCCGCATTTCGCCGTCAAGACCGGAGCAAACGCCATATCGCAGAGTCGATATTGGATGGTAGATGAGATCTCTCCAAGAAAAGGTTCGAGTCTAAAAGTCGCTGGCAAAGGAATTGCTGGGCAGGGATGGTCTGCGACGAGACTATTGACTCCGTTCCTTTTTTTTTTTTTTTCTCTTCAACTCTCGCCGGCTGTCTGGTCTCCGTTTGCACCCGTCGTCGCAAGATAGCCACTCGCTTTTTGCTCTTTCTGAGTGGGACACCGGATGCTAGCGGTTGTCCATAATGAATCGCATTGGCTTGTCCTTCGGTCCCGAAATTTGAGAAGAAAAGAGAAAAGAGGGAACCTCTTCGTTTTTGGGTTCACTTCACTCTTTTCTTTAAATATCTTGAATTCTTTTGAAGAAAAAGAAAGAAATTTACATTACAACTGCCCTGCGCAGGAAAAGTGTCGCATTTCATTCCATCCAATTCGAAGATGCGCAAAGTTTCGGTGTGTGTGTTGTCTGTCTCCAGTCCGGCGACCAGTCATGATGATTCCTCGGAAGACGAGGCGACGCTGAACTATGATGGGGAAAGTTCAATTCTGCAACACACCAAATTACCCGGCCATACAAGCAAGAATCACTTTACTCATTACTGCTACTCATTTCCGGATGATATGGATCAATGACCTTTGCGATGAGCAGTCCTAATCCTGTCTGACTGGTTGCAATGCACGCAAGATACCTCCCCCACCGCAAAACAAAGCAGGGCGGACTGCCATTGATCGGATAGACTGCCAGCTGTTCAACGGAGGGGCGTTTGATTCTTTTGTTTCCGTTTTTACCTTTCTCCTCCGCAGGCACCTTGTCGCGCTATCTTGCTCCCTTGCGACCGGTCTCGAGTCGCCACTCACCGATGAATTATCTGTCGCAATCGCTGGTTTTCCGTGTTTTGTGCTCTACCGGGACATATCTGGAGATTTTCCATGCTCATAACGAGAACCCGGGAGATATTCGCCGGGGCTCGGTGTTCTGTGTGGGATTTCCCATCCCCGCCCCAAACAGGTAGATCGCACAAGTACCGGAGGATGTCACTTGTGCCCGAAAGACATTGCGCATCCTTGCGCATGTACGGAGGGACAATACGAGTCAGTTAATTAGCTAGTTACTAGTCGTCAGAATCCGGGTGTCTGCCTGTCTGCCTGTCTGCCTGCCTGTTGTCCATCGTGGCCGAGGAGGGGTAACAGAAAGCGACCAAGAGTCTGGACGCAGATCATCGAAACGAAGGCCGCATCGGGCGCTGTCGCAAACTTGTGCAGTGGCCATTGAGCCGATGGAAAGTCATCAGTATGATTTTCCGGATAGAAAAGCACTGTCCATTTGATAATTACAGAAATAGAGAGTGTAGCTCCCCCCGTAAACTCTTTTATCGCATCCCCGGAAATCAAATGGGCGAGATTCGGGGTCCCGCAGACAATCGGTCTGAAAAGACATATCTCTTTTTCGTTATTATCTAGCTACAGGATCTGTTCTCGAATTAACAGAGTGATTCGCATGACTGCTCCTATTCCAACCCGCACTGGGGTTCAATAATTGGCCTTGGTTTCTCGCATGGGACGTTGGGCGCCATTCGACGTGGCCGCGCTGGGACCAAACCCGTCCGTCGCAGCCACTCATACATCTGTGAATTTGTGGGTTCTTATGCTATCTGCTGGAGAGGAGAAACAAGGGAATAAGAGGGGATTCGAATGAAATGCAGAATTAGCAAAATGAAGAGTCCAAGGGTGGTCTGCTTCATTTGCGCCAACTCGAGCATCGCCATCCGCAATCATGAAATGGGGATCTTTCTCCCCTCTCCAGAGCGCTCAACGTATGTAGAATTCAGATAGAAACTAAATACGCATAATGTGAAATGGTTTTCTCATCTAATAAGCCTAAAATTAATGAGCAGTAGGCCGTAGACCAGGATGCGCATCCGATTTGCGACCAGATGAATTCCGGCGCAAATGCGACAAAGACAACCCGATGCAGTAATTCGAGTTCTGGTCGAGAAAGAGACTGATGGATTCGCAGGCTTTGATTTGTTCATTTGGATAATATTACAATCAGCGACTCGTTGGCACTTACTTTTAAAGTAGGTGCGACCATTTATCGGCCATTTCTGCTGTCTTGTTCCCTCGCTCTCTTCCTCTTCCTCTCTCACCACCACCAAGCATCAACGCAATCGATTTCTCCAATATCTCTACATTCTACAAAAGCAATTATCTGGTAAGTAGAACTATTTCTCCCTTTTTATAGCCAATGCAATTTAGATGGTTGTTCTTCTTCTTTTGTCCCCCTGAACTTGTCGCTTCGGCTCTGACCACCTGCTGTGATGCCACCGCTGACATATAATATAAAGCCATTTCCCAGCGCTTCGTCTTTCTTCCCTCTTCCTCCCACCCCTCAACCACCAACCTCGACACAATCGCCCATCAACAGTTCATTGCTATTCCTCTTCGAGTCTATCTTGGATGAGTGCGACTGGGAATTTCTAGACTGGGTTTGTTATTAGGTGCGTATTCGCTCATTGCTGTTCCGTCATCTCCCACTCCCACTACCACCCACCAACACACTCTGGCACAACGCACACCACTTGTCTGCGTCGGATTTGACCAGTCATCATCCCGTATCCTCCCTATGCTTCTTCTCATCCATCTGGCTGATGGATTGAATGTCTTTGGGACCGATTGTGCTAACTTGTGGTCGTCGCTCTTCGCCCCAGGTCCTCTCTCTCAAGCCAATTTTTCCCTTTCTGGTCGCTTCTCCCAGCTGTAGCGACTCCTCCTCATCCCAGACCCAGTCCCCCTTTCTACCATCGAATATCTTCAAGAGAATAATCGCGGGTGGTTTGTCTATCCATCAGAGTCCTTTCTGGTTTCTTTTTTGTGGTAGGTAGAATTGGATTTACCCTCTTCCCTGGCCTCCCGCTCAGCCGTCGGGTTCCTTTCCCACGCACACACATACCACACCTATACCCATCCATTCATCCATATATTACAGAACAAGCTTAACTGACGCATTTTATCTTTACACAGCAGTCAAATTGCGGTCGTTAATACCTCATCCGGACCGTCCTCCCTCCCTCGAAGATGCAAATTGCTCAGTACGGACGGCCTCAGGAATCTACTTCCTATGTTGCCGCTTCGCCAGAGCAGATTCACACGACCCCTGTGCCTAAAAACGTCGCCTTTGAGCTGCTTCTTGATGAAGAGTCCAAGGTTCGAGCACGGATACCCATGCGAGTACAGATCTATCCACATGACACTACCGACTCCATCGTGACAACCGTTAAGAACTTCTATGGGATTTACGACAAGCAAGCGAGCGGTGTCAGCTTTGAGGATGAGAATGGCATCACTCTCATCGCAAGGTATGAGAATTTGAGAAATAACATGACGGTCTACGTTCGGGTTATCCCCGCCCAGGCATATGGTGAGGGCTATAGTGAGCGCTTCTATGGCTCCTATCCCGTCGAGGCCCGTAAACGCCCTAGTCTAGGGGAGCCTTTCCAGATGCCGGCCATGCCGCCTACGCATGTCTCGGATCATGCTCAACCACCATCTCGTCCTGCTTCGAGATTGGCCAGGAAGCGCAGCACGTCGCCTTCATCCCGGAGCCGTCGTAGCGCTTCCCAGAACAAGCACTCTAAGGCGGGAGTCAAAGGCAGAAATCCCACCAACGGCGTCCAAGACGATTATGATGATGATGATAATACCGATAGCGACGACGGCTACGGGTCCGCCAATGGTACCAAAAAGGAAATATTTGCCAGTTCCGACATCAGCATGGAGAACATCCTCCATGACGGTCGTCGGAAACGGCCAAAATTTGAAAGTTCGGTGAGTTTTATAGTAGATCCTTTTCTTCTTCCCTTTGATTCTCTAACCGTATGGAAATTATAGGAATTGCCCTTGTTCGCTCCCCCTCAGGTGCCTCTAACTACCTCTACCTCCTCAATCTCACCGCAGCGTCAGTCTCTCGGTCAAGAGGGGGCTGGTTCGCCCTTCGCTCGTCCCACCCAGCGGCCCTATACATATCCACCCCTGCCATCGCCACAGAGCTATGGTCACAATGAACAAGCGTACAGCTCTCGAAATGTGTATGCTACTCCCATGGTCCAGGAACATGGTCATCGCCTGCGCGACCGGACCACTACCCAATCGTCGGGACAATTTAGCAATGGCCGGACCAACGGGCCCGGCATTTTACCCACCCCAGACCCTACTATTGCCAGCTGTATCTCTGATGAGGATGTCGCAATGCAGCTGATTCGTCTGGGCGATGCGTCCAACTTCTCCCATGGCCGCACGTCCACGTCAACTTTGGACGATGCCTTCAGCGGCGCAGCGGATGCTGCTTCCTCTGCAGGTGCGACCAGCGATGGAGAAGACTTCAGTGAAGACGATGACGAACTCCCCGCACGGTCGAGACAGCGGTTGGACTCGAGCCCGATGCTGCCCCCAGGCACCACCAAGCGCACTCACAAGCGTCTGGACGACATCCTTCCCAGCTTTGACAGTTCGGATGCCAGCTGGGATGAGGATGACTATCGGAACGACGATCCCGCTGACAGTGTGATCAAGAGCGAGGTGGATTATGACGTTCCCAAGACGAAAAAGGCCAAGACCCGTGCCATCAGCACGACCTCAAACAACAACAGCACTAAGTCCCGGGGACCCAAGTCGGCAACTGCGCGCCCCAAGAGCGGCAAGGCTTCCTCTACTGGCAACCCTCGCAAGAAGTCGTCATCGTCTACCAACGGCATCCACAAGGCTAATATCGCCCCTATTACCACTACTGTCACTGCCTCTCCTGGGATGGTCAGTCCTGCCCCAACCCGCAAGACCTCAATGTCGTCGGTCAACTTTCAGCATCAGCTCGCTGCCGATGAGGAAGACTTGTCGACCAAGCCGCGGTGCCAGCGCTGTCGGAAGAGCAAGAAGGGTTGTGATCGTCAGCGCCCTTGCGGACGATGCAAGGATGCTGGTATTGGTGCCGAAGGGTGCATCAGCGAGGACGAAGGGAATGGTCGCAAAGGCCGTTACGGTCGTCACATGGGCGTCCCGGTTAAGAAATCTATTGATTTCTCTGATGCGAGTGAGACACATGCCGCCATCGTTGCTGTTTCTGCCTCGATGGCAGACAAGAACAAGAAGCGGAAGCGGTAGAAAATTTGCTCCATAGGACTGACTGGATCTTTTTGTTATCATTGACGTCCCTCCTTTGCATTACCATTCGTCGCATCATCTTCCTCTCCTTGAACATCTGGCATGGACCCTCCCTTCCTTCTCGAACCCTCCCCTTGATGGATCCTTGCCATCCACATTTCACATCGCGGTCAATGGACCTTGACTTGCGGTTCTTCACTCCTTTCTTCCATGCACCCATCGCATCCAGCAGTCCTCGTCCCATTGCGCATTTGAGTTTACTTATTCATCGTTTACTCTAGCGATCGAATTGAGCGGGTTGTTTATCTCTGATTTTCTCTTTTGGCGTTTGAGATGTTACTCCTATCTACTGTCTACCTCTGCTGTCTACCCTCCACACTCGATCCTCTTCCCATACATACATACACTCTTGATGAAAATGCGCTTGGCCCCTGTCTGTGCTCCCCCATTTTATATTGCAGTCCAATTTCTTCCTGTTTCATATTTCACTGCCCAGTGATGAACTCTTATACTATAGCTTGTGTGAGGTAGCGACAGCAAGTAGAAAATATATATTGACATATGATTGAACTTTGTGCATTTTCTAATTTTCTGCGAACCTGATCGACTAGAGGTCTTTTGTACTTGTGCTTGGTACATTATATAGAGACATAACTTTTATTCGTCACCTCACACAACTTTTATCCAGATTTGCACTCTTTGTTCCTGTATGTTGTGTCCAATTAGGTTTAGCGTAATTGCCCCGCAGTTGCATTTTCCCGCAATACACGCGCGTTTGCGCTTCTTTTACCCGCCGGATCCAGAGAAAAAGAAAATGTGAGTCGACGGTTTTTGTAGCGACGTTGTCCGAGACTTTTCTCTTTTGTCTTGAATTCAATATTCCCTTTTCCCTTGAAGACCTCTGATCCTCTGTTAGAGACGTCGTCTGACTAGCCTCACGGGATAGTGGTGGTTCCGCAATCTGACCCATGCAGTCATAACTTTTTTTTTTCTCAACCACCGAGCACCGAATACCACACCACACCAACACAGCATATCACCATGCCACCAAAAGCTGCACCCCGTAGAGGGGCAGCAAGCGCATCCTCCTCAACGCGCCCACAAACAGAAAATCCAAATCCATCCGCACCAAATGCCTCACGACCAACCCCCGCCCCGAGTGCGGGCAGAACAGCCGCCGGCGCAGCACCCCGCGCACCCGTCCAACGCTTGCAAACCCTCAACAAACGCACCCCAACAGGCAGCATAGCCCCCGCCGCCCGAACCTCCGCAACGCCCGGCCCCAGCGGCGCCCCGGGCGAGCCCGCGAAACCAACATTAAAATACAAGCCGCGCGCCGTCGGCCGCCGAAGCAAAGAAGAGCGCGAGGCGATTGAGAAACTCGAAGCGGAGCGGCACCGCGAGAGACTTAAGGAAGCTGCTGCTATCCAGCGCGGACGGGGAGGTTCGCGCGGGGGACCGTTTGGGCGCGGACGAGGCGGTGGTGTTGGTGGTGCGGGGGTTGGGGGGCCGTTGGGGGCTGGGACTGGTGGTGGGGGTGGGAGACGGGGTAGGGGAGGACGGTTTGGGGGTGATGGGGGGAGGGGAGATTCGCGGGCATCGTCGATGGGGCATCGGAGTCGGACGAGGTCTGTTATTGATATTGGGAGTGCGGCGGCGAGTCGGGATGTGTCGTCTGATGAGAGTGATTCGGGGAATTTGGTCGATATTGATCAGATTAACCTTGATAGTGATGAGGAAGGGTTTGTTCCTGATGAGGAGCCGAAGAAGGGGAAGGGGAAGATGGCGATGGCGGATGATGCCGATGAGAGGGGGCTGCGGCCGATTCGGGTGGAAAGACATGAGCATGCGGAGCGGGTTGTCAGTGTGAACATGGAGTCTAGCTCGGGCAAATCGGCAGAGCTAAGGGAGCAGGCTAAGGCCAAGACTGAGGATGATGATGATGATGATGCCCTGTTTGTGCCGCAGGAGGACCAAGTGGAAGAGGTGCGCGTGAAGGAGGAGCCTACGGACGAGGGCGACCAGGTTATGAAGGATGTCCCTACCACCGCGGCAGATGATACAGCTGCGGATGTGGATGATGAATTCCTTCCAGCGCAAAAGGTCAAGGTACGACGGAACTTGAGCAAGGAACCGACGAGCAAAGAGGCGACACCGGCACCGGCGCCGACGCCAGCACCCACCAAGGACCCGAAGAGTTTGCTACGGACTAAGGAGGATATTGAGGAATACGAGCGCCATGAGCAGGATCTAGTGGCGATCAAGGATCTGCTGATCACGGAGCCCAAATCGCCCAAGGAGAAGGAGCCTCAGCCGGAAGAACCTACCACTGTGGAGGGCGAGGGCGATAAGCCTGAGACCGCGGCGGAAGAAAAAGAGGGAGAGGAAGAGAAGCCAGAGGAAGAGGAGATCGACGACAAACTTTCTGGGCAGCTATTCCTCGTCCAGTTCCCACCTATGACGCCGAACCTTGTCGTTCCCTCTGCTACCGACGGTGAAGGCGAAGCGCCCACCGAACCCACCACCACCAACCCCGAACCTCAACCAACCGAACCCACCGTCAAACACGAAGACACCAACGACCCCGAACTCATCACCGACACCACCATCCAACACCCCAAACTCGTCACCGCCAGCGACCAACAACTCCCCGCTGGCCGCGTGGGCAAACTCAATGTCCACGCATCCGGCAAAGTGACACTGGACTGGGGCGGAATAAGCTTCGAACTGGACAAAGCCACAGACGTAGACTTCTTGCAGGAGGCGCTGATCTTGTCAACCCCGCCAACTCAGGCGGGGATGACGGCGGAGGAGATCAAGGCGTCGGAAGAGGAGGAGAAGAGAGTTTGGGCGATGGGGCAGTTGAGTGGGAAGTTTACGGTGACGCCGGATTGGGCGAAGATACTGTGATTGCATACTTGTACATAGAACAGCATAAATCAGGTGGTTTGATGTTGCATGATCACGAATGCCGGTGTGTTCTGTATGTGCGAAGAAGCAGGGACCTGATATGTCACCTGTTGGTGACGCGGTTTCAGTATGTCGGACTTGTATACCGCATACTTGTAGTAGTACGTGGTACGGTACCTGTCGATGAACCGCTGTAAGTGCTTGTACCAGCCGATCTGCTATATATAGCTCAGATCCGAAACTCTCATAACAACCAGCCTTATTAAATGCGCCAATCAACATCATTAACAGCCACATTATTTTCTGCAGGTTTTCAGAAGTTACATCATCAGCCACAAATAACTAGTTACCGGGTTCAGTAAGATAATGCCCTGGGCATTTACCCAAAAGGGAAGCACCGAGGGTCGATGAGCCGTCTTTAATTGGGTCCAGCCACCGGATAAGCTTTGGCTCGCAGCCACGAGTCCCTGACACGGCACATTTCACCCAATTAACATCCAGAAAACATAATAAAGACCCACTAAGGGGCTGGTGTGGGCACGCTAGTTCCTGGCCTAAAACGGGTTAGTCCACGCGGTTCTGGCCTGTCAAATACTGCACCAAGACGATTATCGCCCAATAGGAGGCTCGGGTTGTTCACCGGTGGACACGGCACGGGGTTTTTCCTCTTCGTTTCGCTTTCCGCGGGCCTTTCTTCCTCTTCTTCTCGTCTTCTTTGTTTCTTTCCTTCTGTCACCCTCGTTTTCTTGACTGTTACTGGTGTGTTTTTGTTTGGTATTACCTGGTTACTGTTCGTTTTTCTGTGTTGCTGTTGGGACTCGTGGCTTGTCGCATTGCATTACACCTGCGCTACATTGCCTCTCGTATAAACGTGCTGCCTCCTGAACCTTCTCCTGTACGGAGGATTACCCCGGACAACGTCGCTTCAGTCCGCTGCACAGCCAGCGCTTCATATAATAATAATAACAACAACGTCAGTCGTCCTTCCAATTCCCTACAACGGACGACTTTTCCTTATTGCCTCTATCTGCCGCTATCGCATTCCGACAACATGAGACCCTCCACCGTTCTTCTCTGCCTTGCGCCCACCGTGGCTCTCGCAACGCAACAACCTTCCGCAGTGCAACCCTCCCCCTCGGTACCAAACGTTACTCCTCCCGCACCATTACCTGAACTCCAACAACACCAATACCAGTACCAGTACCAACAATCACCAGAATCCGTCCAAGAAGCCGGTGTCGATGCCGCCGCCGCGCAACCCACAGATGCGTTTGACCTGGGGAAAGCAACGTCAACAAAATCGTTGCAGGCACGGAGTGAAGGGACACTGGGCCAGTCACCTTGGATCGGAATGGCCATTGGGCTGACATGTACGGCTTTTGCGGCGGTCATGCTGGGATAACACCAGTCCACCAACTCTATGGTTATGCATATCCATGGCGGCTTGATGCGAGCCATGGATTGGGTCGAATGCTCGACTTGCCCTGCATTTTCATCGTTATTTGAGCGCTCTTAAGACTTTTCGATTCTCTTCGCCATTTCTTTCTGCGAAAGCGTATTGATACCTTCGATTCTTCTTGAGGCATCGATTCTGCCTCGCGACGCTTTTATTGTGATATATTACTTTTTTATTACCCGACCTTTTTTTTTTTTTTTTTTTTTGCATCGTCATCGACTCGACTCCGACTTCGACATACCCAGCACCGAGAGTGAACTCGACTGCTACGTGTACATGATTATACCTTGAGCGCCCTTTTCACCTTTATTTTTCTACTTATATACACTCTTACACTTTTGCATTTCTTGTGGATCTTGTTATTTTGATTTCTTGATGTATTTAATATTAATTCAGACTTGAGGCTTTATACTCATTCTTTGCGATACAGCTTTTCCGCTTGATTAACTACACATCTACACGACGATCTCAGACGACCAATACCTTATCTAGCCAATCACCATCACCCATACCCTCAAACCATATCCACAATTATCCCTCAGCAGAAAACAGTCCCAATCGTGCGCAGATCAGGTGGTTCATATTCAACAACACCCTACCAGTACGAATATCATGAATGTGTAGTCGATGATGTTGTTGTATCAGTATTGATATCAGGACAAGAAAGAAGGAGGACGAGACCTGCAGTATCATCCTCCCAGTCGTAGCGGAGCGGGGGAAACTGGGGTGGTGGTCGAATAAGGAGAAACCTCGTTGTCGCTCGCAGCAAAGACACCTCAGCCAAAAGACTTTCCCATAGTGCGGAAACTAGCCCCTTGAACAGGAGCAATGTCTCTACCAATAAAATAAACCTCATCTTCTGGAGGCGGCGGATCAGGACGATTTTGGCCTTTCACGACCGGCTGTCTCCAGATACCAAATGCAACAACATCCAGACTGTCCCTGTTGATGACACGGGACCATTTGTCGTTGGTATCAGTGAAAGTCATGAATGTATAGTCAATGATGTACCTATAATAGTATCCATTAATATTAATATCAAGGAGTGTTGGGTCTGAATGAAGAGAAAGACGTACACTCTATTGTTTTCCTCATCATACCGTAGGAAGCCAGAGTGGTGCTCGGACAGAGAAAAGCATCGTTGTCGCATGTGTCTGTCATAAAAGCAAGTCAGCAGCTATATAGAATAGTAGCCCTTGCCCGTCGCCAGACAGCTTCCTGTGCAAGGGAAGGAAGGGAGAGGGGGGAGGGGTTGCAAGAACGTACTCAAATATATAAGCGATTTGCCGTCGAATACTCTCAAGTTGTTTATCTCAAACCCATAACCAAACTGAATAAATGCTGGCTGGATTCTCCCATGTCTGGTTTGTTGTTGGGGTCTTCATGAATAAGGGCCGCTGTATTGATTTCAAGGCTTGTGCATGGGACATGGCCAAAGAGGAGGAAACTACTGGCACCGCCCAATATTCCAGCGGTAATGGGGAGCTGCAAGCTTCGCCTTTTGGACTGATCACCACCTAATCAGCAACAAGGCGATGAAGATGTGAAAGACAGCTGGACGCAGGTCAGCACCCCAAGCGCCTACTACTACATCGGACATGTAAAGTCAGGCATAATTACCAAACAAGATCCCCATGAGGAGGTAAAATGCCTAGCTGATGAAACGAGGTATGAGCTCCCTCCCTTTTCTCTTCCCGAAGGGGGAGAGGGGGGGTGGCGTATGGCGAGGCTAACACGCGCTGCCATAAACCGACTGCAGCACATCCGATCTGGTATTCCCGAAAACTATCGGGTACTCTTCACAGATGCCAGGGCGGCGCACAAAGGACAGAGGATGCCAGGTGATGACGAACCCGTTATGGACGAAGAGTTGACTATTGCTGGATTGGAAAGAAGCAGTGGAGGACTACCGGTCCCTTTGTTACTGCGCATCGAAGGGGCGAAACAAGAAGTTGGGACAAGTGAGGGGACTGGTTTTGTATGGCGAGACGGAAGAGAACAGATGTTGCTGCGCCTCAAACTTTATGAACTATTGCTGAATATGCGCCGATGTTGATGTATGCGGATTATATTTTCTCATTATGCCTGAGAAACAGGCGTTCAGGTCTATATGTAACTGCCATAGAGCAGCTTCTTCCCTGCCGTCGTCGTTGTTTTGCCTCTTCACCTATGATGAGATCGTATTCCATCATCCCGGGCCAACGGTAGTATAAGATTGACGGGCATGAACGAGCCGTACCTTGATACTTAGACCTGAGAAGCCAGATGTGGTCTCCGTTGCCGTGCCTTCGTATAAGGCCAGGAAGACACACACACTGGCCAAACGACTCCCCGCACCGACTCACGCCCTCGCAGGTAGAACATTAGGAAGGGTTCGAAGAGATCGTGATCGATAGGGTCAAGCCATTGGGCGTCCCATCCAGAAACTTCAACCCGACGCTAATGAAGAAATACTACGGCACTGGCAATGAGACAGGTGAACAAGGAAGATACGCGGAGCAGCTCACTCGGTTTCTGAGCTCCATCTGGGTGCAACTGGGTGTTGGTATCTACATGGCCGACAGATCCGAGAAGTCCAAGGCGCCCGAGGAAAAGGAAAAGGCTCGTAAGGGCAAGAAAGCTGCAAAGAAGAAAGAGGAGGAGTACAACTCAGGCGACAACAGTCCCGTGCCGGACTTGATTATGTTTGACTGACGATGATGAGGGCACCATCTGCATAGTGGGCGAAATGAAATTTCACCTCACCTTTAAGCCCCATAAAAATGAGACAGAGATGGAACTCTTCACCCGCAACCTAGGTACATGACATGGCCTCTAGTTCCTCGACGACGTTGAAGCACCCTCGGACCAAGAAAAAGCGGACGATTGAGCATGCATCTCCGTGGAGGTATGCGCATTGTTATGGTCAGTTTGGCAGATCTTTCTCATTTGTGTTCTTTCTCCCTGTTCAGGGGGGAACTACCAGCTTTGTACAGAAATGTGCGGCTGCGTTTTCGCAGTCTCACCCCTTGCTCACGCGCCATTGCTCAAGACTTGACTAATTGACCATTGTAGTAAGCCAACGCAGTCCAGATGGTTTTCCGGCTGGTGCCATTGGACATCATCAAATACCGAAAGCATAGGAGCGCCATTTAGATATCGAGGGATCCAGGAACATATGGATATATGCATAAATAGTAATATAAATCGATCAAGCGGTCAATGCCATATGCTTTGATAGTCGAATATAAGAGTAAGCTATAACGCAGATTACAGACCCCGAAAAGCAGGCGGTAAAACAAGCTAGCAAATCATACCTTAAGTCATTCATCATTCATATCAATCAATCTAACCCATCACCACTCCGTACGCTCACTTCCCAACAGCAACAAACAACCGATCCCCAATATCCCCCAACCCAGGCACAATCATTCCCCTCTCATCACACCTAACATCAACCCCGGCAACCCAAACCTCAACACCCCCCTCCCAACTCTCCTGCACCCTCTTAACCCCTTCCTCCGACGCAAGCACACTAATCATAATCACCCGCTTCACGCCCCATTCGTGCAGCAGATGGATGGCCGCTTCGGCAGTGGCGCCCGTGGCAATGACGGGGTCCAGCAGGATGGCGGTCTCGGCGGCGGCGGTGTTGGTTGCTGCTGGGGTGGGAGTTGTGATGGAGGAGGTGTCGCGGTGGTAGGGGAGGTTGTTGTAGTATTCGACGGGTTGGAGGGTGGAGCGTTCGCGGAAGAGGCCGAGGTGGTAAATTGGGACGGGGGTGGGGAGGAGGGAGTTGATTGCTTTGGTTATTAGCCTGAGATATGCTTTATAGAAGATAGGGGAGACATACCATCGGTCATGCCCAATCCCGACCTGAGAATCGGGACGATGGCCAGGTTGGTGGGGACCTCGCGAGTTTCATATTCAATTCCCAGAGGGGTTTTGTCCTGCTCTATTAGCTTCTTCAATGAAATCAAATCAAGTAGAGCTAGCTCACTGTCTTCCCCGACACAGCAGATAAGCTGGCTAGAGCTTCAACGCCCAAGATGGTGGAGATCTCGGTGACCAGATTGCCGGTTTCACGGGTGGAAGTGGTGTGGGAGCGCAACTGGGAGAGCTTTGCCTGGAGGCAGGGATGGCTGGAGATGTGGATGGTCATGATGGAGAGCGAGAGAGAATTAGTAGAGCGATGGTGTATAGAGTGCGGAGAAGTGGATAGAGAAATGGTGGTGAGTTGTAGAGGTGAGGTTGGACAGCTGCAGTTGGGGAGAGAGGGGTTTTATAAGACCACGTGCAGCATCCCTTGTCTACAGCTTACTACTACTGTCCAGCTATGCTGTACTGTACAAGCACCAGGATATTCAGTATTACTCTGTATCCTCTATCAATGGTCTATTTAACCCCTCCCTATCTATTTACTCTCTATCTTATCAGATATCTTCGGAACCGCCCGATTGCCTGTCTGACTAATCATATCCATCTTGAATTCTTCTTTCCCCAACTTCTCCTCATGTCTCTACAGGCCTACAGGACACACGTCCACCGGCAACATGCCACACCACGATTATGACCATAACCATAAAGAACAAGAAGAATCCGACATCCCCCTCTCCGAATCCACCGCACCCCCTCCAATCGAACCCGAACCTCACCAACGCACCCCCCAACCCCCGGAGCCCGAACTCGAACTCCAACCCAAGACCAAAGAGACCATCAAACCCCTCTCCCAACACCCCTCCACCCACCTCTACACCCTCTCCTACCTAATCTTCTTCGCCATCTTCGGCACCCTCGCCCGCCTCGGCCTCCAATCGCTCACCTTCTACACGGGCGCGCCAATCGTCACGGGTGTACTATGGGCGAACGCAAGCGGCTCGCTACTCATGGGCTTCTTCCTAGAAGACAAGAATCTCTTCCGCGAAGAGTGGGGCAACGACCCAACATGTCAGCGAACACACGACGGAAACGTAATTGAAGAACACAAAGCGCACAAAGCAACCAAGAAAACAATCCCGCTATACATCGGCCTGACAACCGGTTTCTGTGGCTGCTTTACTTCTTTCTCCTCGTTTATCAGGGATGTTTTTCTCGCGCTTGCGAATGATCTACCTGATCCATCGCGTGATCCTTTCTCGAGCCCTGTTTCGAGAAACGGGGGGTATAGTTTCATGGCGCTCATTGCGATTCTCCTCATCACCGTTTCCTTATCCCTCGCTGCGCTGGTCGCGGGTGCGCATCTAGCGCTTGCATGTGACCGGTTCACGCCCATCCTTCCATTCCGGTTTACGCGACGCATCCTCGACCCCGTTATCGTGGTCCTTGGCTGGGGATGCTGGCTCGGCGCAGTCTTCATGGCTATCTGGCCACCAGACCGGCACACCTCTGGGACCGAAACCTGGCGCGGAGCCGCGATCTTCGCGATCGTTTTCGCGCCGCTAGGATGTCTTCTCCGATTCTATCTCTCGCTATTCCTAAACGCCAAACTCCCCAGTTTCCCGCTGGGCACGTTTGCGGCGAATATCCTGGGGACTGGCATCCTGGGCATGTGTTATGATCTGCAGCATGTTAGTGGTATTGGTGCGTCGGTTGTTGTTAGTTGTCAGATGTTGCAGGGGGTTATGGATGGGTTTTGCGGGTCGTTGACGACGATTAGTACGTGGGTTGCTGAATTGAATGGGTTGGGGAAGCGGAGGTATGCGTATTTGTATGGGACGGTTAGTGTGGGTGTTGGGTTGGGGTTGTTGGTTGTTATTATGGGGAGTTTGCTTTGGACGAGGGGGTTTGATACTCCTGTTTGTTAGTTTTGTATAGTCTCAGTATCTGTATACCTGTAAAGTAGTTCTACGTAGTGTCTAATACTCACTCTGCTCTGTACTTAAGAGTGCTTAATATAATTGAACCTGAGTATCCCCGCGAATATTTTCATTGCTTCAATTACTAACTTATAGTACAAGGTACTACAACATGCATCGAAAAAAAAAAAAAAAAGATAAATAAACATAAACATTACCAAGAATCGAATCAAATCAATCAAATCAAATCCAAAAGCACAAGCATAACATAATAGTAGACAAAACATAACACATTGCGGGGACTGCATAAACACATAACATAACCAGAACAAAACACATTAAATAATCCAAATTGTCCAAAAATTGTAAGTTAAAGTGGTATAAAGGAGTGACTTGAAGTGTGAAAAGATGCATCGGAAGAAATGAAGATGATGAAATGTACAATGAAAAACAAAAGGTATCAATCAAACAAAATCGACAAGCAAAAAACACAACATACAACAAACATGCTGATGCGCGCAGATGAAGGAAAGCACTAGAAATTAAGTGGGCGTAAATGTCAACGAAATCGAAGAAGAAGCAACGGAACTCCGTCAAGTGCTAAGGGGAAAGACCACACAGGACCAGCCGGGTGTCGAGTTGTTGTTTTGGGGTGAAAACAGAAAATGACCACACCGGACTCCTGTGAGTTCTTGCAGAATAGAAACTCAAGCAAAGCAGAAAGCAGCAAAACGTTGCAAATGCAGGAATATCAGCACACAGCGTAACGGACGCCACATGCCAATGCTTCCTACCCTGAATCCAAATCCATCATTGACCAAATGCATGAAACGAGTGAAAGAAAAGAAAAAAAAAAAAAAAAGAATAGGCACTAATAAGCAGTGCCAACGCTGGCCAACGTCTTGGCCGGCATCGGATGGATTGGTTGATCCTTGGAAATGCGCAACGAGTCCTCGTAGCCAACCAAGGCTTGCGAATGCAATTTGAACGACTCGCCCATGAGCTTTGTAATTCTATTTTCGTTAGCATCCGATCAGACTAGCAAGGAAGAGGACAGAAACTTACCCCCAAACTACGACACCGTCCAGGATGTTACCCCATACACGGGCCACAGTAGAGCTGAGTTTACCAAAGGAGTCCACGGCTTCATTGTCAAACAGGTTGCGCACTTTGTTGTATAGGGCCAACTCATCCTCAGTCGCTGGCTCTTCGTCATGTTCCAGGCGGTAGAGCCAGAGACTTAGGATGACCATCAGATCCAATCCACACAGCGGATGCTCGATACTCCAGTTGGTCGCAGACGTCTTGGCTACCCAGTTGATACCCTGGACCGCGGCGATCTCGATACATTCGAAGCACGACTGGATGACCTTGTTCATTTCCTGTCCCCGCTTAACCTTGTCGCGCGCGACGGTCATGGCGGCAGCAACTTCGTAGGACGAGTGGTAGCGCATGGCCTCCTGGATCGACTTCAAGTCGACTTCCAAACGGGCGCGGGTGTTGCGGTAGACGGCCATCGAGTTGAAGATCAAGGGATGGCAGTTGTGCGGGGTGCTGAGGGGCACGACAACGGTCTCGGGTTCACACACATCCAGGGAACTCTCCCATGTCTCCAAAGCCAAGCGAAGCTTGAACTCGGTGACCACGTCCTGGAGAGCCTCGAAGCTTCTCTTGTGGTTCCAGACCTGCAAGAACAGGGCGTTGATCAACACACGAGTCGCAAAGGCACTGTAGCGCGTTTGCTCGCCCTGGAAGAGACAGTCGTGGGCCTCGCGAACAGTGAGCGATGGGCTGGCAGCCAAGTTGCGGCGCCAGGCCTCATAATCACCGCCCTCCCAGTTCCAAAGCGATTCCGACGACGGCAGTTCCATGGTGTCGAATTCATCGAAGCTCATCGCTGGGGTGTGGTTGTAAGTCAGCGTGAGCATACCGAAGAAGATGTAGACGGCGTAGTAAGTCCGACGGCACGACTCGTCATCGATCCACTCTTCGCGTGTGGGAACTGCTTCCCGCGCATCGCACCGCACCTTGAGTTGATAGCGGTTACCCGAGACCATGTTGGCCAGTAGACTCTTGATGGAGCAGGTCCATTCAAGACCCTTGGGATCACCACTCCAGCTTTCGAAAACCATGTTGAGGAGCGTGCTCTGCATGGCCCAGAGAGGGCATTTCCGCGAGTCAAAGTTGTCCTTGTGCTGCAAGAATTGGGTGACCAGCATCTTCGATCCCACGTGCATCATAAAAGCCTCCTCGCGCTCAAACGCATACAGCGCACCGATGGAGAGCACAGCAAGCAGGAGCGGCGGCGAGATGGACGTGGGCTTGAACGACTCTTGGTGCAGGAAGGGTAGGTGTGCGTGGTACAGGTTAAAGTAAGTGGAGAGGTACTTGTTCAAGGCGACCGTCGTGGGCAGCTGGAACGCGTTCGGCAACGCACCAAGGGAGTCAGCGTTTCGTATCCGCTCGACCAACATGTTGCGCTCGATATCGTTGGCGACCTGTGGGGCCTTGGGCAGCGTTAACATTTGGCTGGGGCCAGGGGACTTGCGATAGTTGACAGGGCTGATGGGACCAGTCATGGAGGGAAACGGCGACAGTGCGTTCGGGGTTGAGTTACCCGACACAGGCAGGGTGTTCATGAGCGAAGGTCCGAGCATGTCGCCGCCCATGTGCGACATGGGACGGTCCATCATGGAAGGCAAGGGCTGATGCGAGTCTACGATCGCGTCGGTGGTTGCGAAGCTGGAAGCCATGGACGAAGCGGGGTGCTTAACATCGAGGGAATCCCAGGGCATTTGCGGCAGCGTCGCGTTGCTCGACAGATACGACACGGGGGGATCAAGTATCGAACCGCGACCAGGCGAAAACGAACGGTCGGATTCCGCGCGTTCTTGGGTAGCAGCAGCAGTGTTGTTGTTGTTGTTGTTAGAGGGAACGCCCGCGGTCGCGGCGGTAGGTGTGGTGGTCTGGCCCGTTGCGGCAGCTGCGGCCTTATGTTGGAAATCTGTCATCAACATGGCTGCAGTTTCAAGGTCGACCATACCATCGCTGCTTGCCTCAAGCTGTTCTAGGGTGGTTGGGTCGATGGTGACGTTGGGCTTGGAAGGAGCTGCCGGAGCAGGGGAGGACTTCTGAACCCCGGCGTTACTATTCCCACCACGTCTGCGCCCTTCAGCCACCAAGGGAACCCCACCATCTTTGGCGTGAACAGTACGGTCATGACGGAGTAGGAGATCGCGACGGACGAAAGTACTGCGACATTTCATGCACTTGAAGGGTCTTTCTTTTGTGTCTTGGGAACTGTTAGCTTTCATCAACCGGATGGTATAGAGGACAGCGACTTACGAGAACGCTCATGTCTGCTGCGATGTTCACTTCTGCTGAATGCGCGATTGCAAAATTGGCACTTGTATTTCTTCTCTGGAGCGGATGTCTTTTTTGCCGGCGAGTTGGATGCCGGAGCAGCGTTTGGTGCCATTTCGATAGCGGAAAATACCAATTATTGCGTGAACAGTAGACGGAACTGCAGAGAAAGATGCAATATTGTTCCCTCGGTAAGTTCAGACCGGTTCTGGAGACGAGAAGACGACAGAAGTTCGGAAGGGAGTCTGATCATTCCTTGGGAGCGGGGAAGGCACAACAGCAGTAGTATTATCTAGGAGGTTGAATCCAAAGGGGGTAAGGTAGAGAAAGAGTCCAGCCACAGGCGGACAGAGATAATAGTAACAGTAAAATAGTAGAAACAGGAAAGAAAATAATTCTATCGTAGAGTAGAGAGGGGTATCCTTCGTAAAGCCGCGGGGAGAGAGGGGATACTATTGCGGCGGGATGTGTGCGTGAGGGAGGGAATAAAAAAAAAAAAAAAAAAGAGGAAATGAGGAGGGGAGAAGAAGAGGGGGGATGAGGGAGAAGAAGAGAGGGAAAAGAGGTGGTATTTCAGAGGTTAGAGAAAAAGAGAAAAGAAAAAAAAGAAGAAGGAAAGAAGAAGGAAAAAGGAAAAGAAGGGGGGGGGCTGATGGGATAAAAAGAGAGAAAAGAGAGAGAAAAAAAAAAAAAAAAAAAAAAAAAAAAAAGAGAGAGGGAAGAAAAAAAGTGGGAGATGATTCCTGGAGGGGGGAGAGGAAGTGGGCAGTGTGCGTGGATGTACTGTATTTGGTAGTGGTGATAAAAGTCCCTCGGGCGACGACGATCGGGGCGGTCGCGAACAAGTGAGGCGGGTGTGGAGTCCCCCTCGGTTACACTCGTTACCGTACGACGAGGGGCTGCCAAGATTACCACATACACGGTGGTGTATGGCCAATCCCGACGCGTTTATACGTACGTATGGTATTATTTGTATTTATACAAGTACATACCTGTATTCATACTTCGGATGTCTTCCTGAGTTTGTCTGCGTAAGGATGTGAGGGACTATTCACCCAAGTCTGAACAGTAAAACATAACCCCTCGGCCCCTCGCGCCCCTCGTTGCCCCTCGTCGAGTGGGTATGTTTACTCAATGGTCCTGTTTTCTAGCGTGTCATCTGACAGAACCACAACCTTGGTTCGGCGGGGCCGTACTTATCTATCAGATATCAGTACAAGTATAGAGTAGAGTGCTGTCTTGTACTTGTACAAGTATCTCTACTCCGGAGTATACAAGTATAAAGTAAGATGTATAGGTTCAATAGCAGGGATTCTACAAACACTACCCCTGTCTCCCGTATTCCTCTTCATTAATCTGTAAGAATGCAAAGGACAAACAAACAAAGTTAGGGCTCATCGGATCCGGCTTTCCATACGCTAGTCTCGATAGGGTTAGTTCTCCTTCATTAGATCTGTCTCGTACGAGTACAAGTACACCACTCATAAGACTTGACACAAAGTCAGTTGTTGATTCTATCAGTGACAAGTATGTGACTGGTCTCTTTTCTTTTTCTTCTACTTACTATGTGTCTTTTCTTATAGCCACGGCACCAATCTTCACATTCAGCTGTACCTGTACTCCGTACTGGGCTTACTAAGATTGACGTGACTGGTGCCCCTCGATCTTACGTATTCTTTCCATGCGCTCAGTGGACTGCATCGGCGAATAACCATCGCGCACGATCAATAATTCGATTAGCGGGTGATCTCATCCAGGATGATGTAGCTGCACGCTGCACAGCTGCCCATTGATGGGATACTTGTACCGCTGTTTATGGAGCGGTACGGAGTACTCTGTACTCTGTACACGTCTGTACTTGTACACCACGCTGTTGTGTACTTGTACATTGATGATATATACAGATCTGTTCTCTATATCTACCCAGATATTCATACTCAAATATCTACAATTCCTGTACTCTAACAATACTAAGTCTATAAGTCTACAAGTACAGTAAGCCGGATAAGACAAAAGACAGTCTGTGCGGTGGACCCATCCCCATTCCGTCCAACACGGTAGTTACTTGGGTAACCCAATTCACCGACATTATCCCTAGGCTTCACTTGCTTCACTTGCTTCACTTGCTTCACTTGCTTCACTTAAAACAACCGGCTATTAGGAGAATATGTGTCGCTGATTTATGCATCTCATTCCCAACATTCTGCACATGTACCTGAGTGTGTACACACCGATGTGGTTTTTGCTTCTCATTGGTGTATCTGTACGGTGACTCCGTGGTGGTAATGGTACAGGGTACTGTATCCGGTGTGGATGTTCAATCGGTCCGGAGTAGATAAGTGCATTTGTATCGTGCTCCGTAGGCTAGAGTCTAATCTCATGGTTATTCTAGACCTTTTTTTCGTGAATATCCACCGCAACGATATTTGTTCCGGAGTATGTACGGATTCTGCATCGTGTTGGTTGGATATATATTTCCGTCTCATGTACTTTACTCGTAATTGTGCCAACATGCAAAGTTCCTGTTTCCTGGTCATATGAACTACCATACAAGCACATCATAACATGGACATTTATATGCGTTGTCTGTCCCGTAAATCAGAATTGAACACATGGAGACCAATGAACGACAACTGAAACAACACCAAAACAGTACCTCATGGCTGCAACGTGAACCATGTTCCTGCCATCTCCTCTTTGCTTCTTCAATTCCAGGAATAAACTTCCTCTCATTTTAGTCAGGCACTCTACATAGTAAACAAGTGGGTATCTGAATTATGAAGACTTGTATTTGTATGGAGCTGCCAACGTTGATCAACGTGTGTTAGACTGTTTGATATGGTGTTCCATACTCCTGGGAGACAGTTTAATTATTGAGGGGCGTGTGGGCTATCGCCCACATACGTACAGAGTAGTATTGCATCGCTACCAAAAACCGGAAAGTATGAATACATCCGACCAGAGTCCCTCCTGTCTGTCGCCCATAAACCGGCCTCTCCGTATATAGACGCACTCATATAAAAAATAAAAAATAAAAAAGCTGCTGACTGTCCCTCACAGACAAGGGATAAGATAGTCAGTCGTAGATCCATGGGCAACTCTACGAGTCACCTACACTCTATCTATCTACTCTGGACTCCGTCATTCGCAAAAGCAAAAGGTACGGCCCCTCCCCCTTTTCATTGCTTTTTCTTTCTCGGACGGATTGTCGCAGATAAAACCCCACCCGGCCTTCGAGAATGTTTCTGGGCCAATCACGAGGGGTAGCGGGGTTATTTGACTCTGCTTGCGATTGTTGTGTTCCTGGAAGGAAGCCTGGAGGTCAAAAGTGGCTGGCTACGTATTATTGAGACGAGGGAGTGATCCGATTGAGTAGCCGGGCTGGGTTGATTATTCCGTTCGTAGAACAAGGTTGATGAGTCTGATTATTGAGGGTACGAGTGTTTCTGTACGGGTTAGTATTAAGATTTATTCACGAATATGCAGATTCTTCACGCAATTCGAGATTCGAGAACGGATCTTCGCATTCCATTCAGGTGGTCTGCCTTCCATGCGTATGGAGCATTTCTACGGTGTACTTGTACAGTCTGTATACACAGAACCATGGAACAGACCCGTCATCCAGGATAAGTCCCATGGTTCTTACTATCTAGAAGTCCCGGTGGAGTTCAATTGTTATCATAGTTATCATAGTTGTCAGCTATCATAGCCTTGCTCTAACGACTACAATTGTAAAAGATCAAAACAAAAAACACGTCCTAGCGACACGCGAAAAGGGAACTAAAACTTCCAAACAAACAAAGGGATAACTAGCCGTATCATACTATTACATACCATACACCACAAATACCAGCACTCTGTACTTATTACATACCGTACAAGTTTAGATACATAACTACACGCACAAAAAGCGGTCAATACATCCGCCAACCAACCTAGGTCCAAAGCAGAGCAGGCCGGCCAGGCATAGGGCAAGGCATAAGTAATAGCCGGGCCTCACCGACTCGAAGTCGTCGTCGACATGTGTGGATTTGGGCTCGGTCTTATGTCCACGTATTATTCATTCATAATTGGGATAATACTGTTTTTGAGTTTGCGGAACGGAGCCGCGGAAAGGGTTCCTGAGTTGACGGTGGGTAACAAGTACTTTGTGCGCTTAAGACATGCTTAGAGTACCATGGATACTCTGTATCCGTAGACCAGTGCAAAAGACTGTTATATTAATTGAACCCTGCACGATGGCGGTATGCCATAGCCATCACCCACCCACCATTCCCCTCCGTCCCCATCTGGTATCTCTTCGATTCTATTCTATTCACTTACTTACCTACATGTATGCAGTCAACGTTGCCCTGGGACGGACCGCTGCATGGTCCGGGAGAGTGGATCATCCCGACTTTTTCTTCTCGAAGAACGGAGTTTAGTAACAAAAACAAGTAGTTAACTAAAATAAGAGGGCTGGACGCGTTGAGAGACCAAGAAACCCGGCGGCGTCACCGCTTTTAGCTGAAAAACGTAACCTGGCCGAGTGTGCGCAAAAGGATTCCTTAGTGCGCGATACAAGAATAATTACGGAATACACGGACGGAGGTCTCGGAGGCTCGGAGCGGTCGGTCGGTTCGCGATTTTGTTTTGTTTGTCATTGGTTTATGGGGGTGGGTTTGCCCGTGACTGTGCGTGATTCTTGACTTGCCTTTTTGGGATGTCAGATGACTTTTCGGTGATGTCAGCATAAGCCTTGAGGGATTAGTTATGCATAACGTGTATATAATTTATGTTGGCAAGATGAGCTGGAACCTTAGTAGTTACACTGCTATGCTGTTTGCCGTGTTAGGACTATTTATACGATTTATTTGGCAGCAGGTAGACGGATAAAGACATTTCAGCCTATTGTTTGCTGGCTGTGTAACTTGGCTATAGGCACTATGGCCCTGTTCCGGTGTTTCTTTACCTGTATCCCAGTTGCTGCTGCGATGGCACTGTTGGTGTGACGGTCTCGAGCAATATGAATATATATTGGTAGACTATCTGACGAAATTCTAACATGAGGAAAGAAAGGAAAGAGGCAGGCCTGCCAGCGACGAGCTATCTAGTGTGCGCGAGGGGTTTAAGCGATGCTCAGTGAATGTTCTACACCAAACAGGCCAAAATAATCAAACATGCTGTGCAGCTCGCTAGTGTCCATGCTCCGTGACAGTTGGGACAATACCAGGATTGACCTCATATCTTCTGATGTTGGTAGGTTAACAGACAAACCAACGATTCCGAGTGGCGCTTGTGACAAAACAAACCTAGTAAGCTGTAGTGCTCGGGGTGACCAAGGAGCAGTGAGCTGTCATAGCTCTCCCTTTCTTGTTTCTCTCACACACCCCCCCGTTTCCGTTTCCACCCCCCGCTGCTTGAATAATTCCATCCAGCACCTTAGGATCGATGACCGGAACCGCCGCACGATCCCAGCTAGATATGACCATGTCGTTTTAGTTCGGAATCTGTTTGGTATTGATCATGGTGCTATAAACCACCCCAACCTTGCCCCTTTCGGGCTCGGATTATCAGCAATAATCCGCAACCCTAATTCAAAGCATTGGATCGCGGTTGGTGTAGTTGGTTGGAGCATACGGAACTCTCAAATCGGTTGTATCAACCATATGCATTGTGATGCTCGATAAATTATATATAATTGTTGACCCCTGCAGCAAATAACTCGGATACATGATTTCTTATTCACGCTGCCGCTGACTGGGTAACTCGGCACAATAATCCACTGGATCCGAGCCCGGCATTTCTTTTGGCGATGCCGAACCCGGTTGAAGCTGTTCCTGCTGTTGCATAGCAGGCCAGAAAGGATAAAGTGCTGTGTTTGGCACGGCACCAGGTATTTGTTGTGGTTGATTGGCTGGGGGTCGGCGCGCCTTGAGCCAGACCAATGCCGCCAATGCCGCAAGCACAGGGGCGCCGATGCCGATTCCGACCCCAAGAGCTATCTTTCCAGTGCTCGTTAGTCCGGACGAGGAAGAGGACGGCGTGGACGATGAGGAAGACGGTGATGACCCCGAGTTGAGGGTGCTGTTCGAGGTACTTGTAGACGTTGCGGAGCTCGTTGCGGAAGTAGACGTGGCAGACGCTTCGGTGATGTTGAAATACGACGAAATGAAACCATCTGGCTGGTCGGAGTTGATCCAGAAGAAGAAGACGTTGGAGTAATCCAGGTCAAAGCCGTAGAGTTGAGCCACCCAGGTGAAGTTGGTGACCTTGTCAGTCGAATGGATCTTTGCTAACATTGGTACTTGTCAGTTATTCCTTATTTATTTATCGCCCTTGTGTCCGATATTTCCGACATACAATAAACGTTGCCCTGGCTCGCTGCGCCTTCCTGCACCAGACTTTGCTGCCACATCGAGATATTGAACACCCCCAGTGTGGTTTTCCATGAGATGACTTGTTGATCGCCCAGGGTGTAAACTGGGTTGATACCGGTATTGGAAGCAGGACTGGTGAAATAATTTTCGCCGTCTGTTCCCCCGATGGCTAATGTGACCAATGCGAGGAGGATTGTGAATATAGAGTTGTTGTGCATCGTGGCATGGACCAGTGAGGACGAGCAACTCAGCTTTTAACAGCTATAATCGAACAATGCTACCGAGGAAAGAGTTGAGAAATCAAAGCAAAGAGGAGTAGGGGCCTTTCAAAGGGCTCTTTGGATGCGGCGCAGCCTTCTTGTTAACACTATACTCCACAATGCGCAATAAATCAACGCCCTTAATAATGTACATCGTCGCATCCTTATTTGCGCTCGTGCAATCAAACACAGCAGCTCGCACCAACAGCGCTAAGGACCGGAAGTGTCGGTGCTAAATAAGTATGCTGCATATTTATCATGTGCTAGTTGAGGGATTTTCACCTAGAATGACCTATCGTAGAAATAGCAGCGGGCACTATCACATCCAAGCGCCTACAAATCCCCGCCGCTGAAACGCTGGAACAGAATCTGTCTTAATGCTCTATGATATACACACGAGCCAAGGTGTCAAATTCCTTCAAAACAAAAGTCCAACCTGCCCCCGCACAAAATTATGTCGTAAGAGGGGACGTAGGGTATGTGCTCCCTACAGAGTAGCGCACGTTTTGTATATTGAATCGCATACTGATAGTCAACAAGAGACAGCCAGATCTCATACGTCTACCTTATCGTCCAACGTTTGAATTATCCCTCCTAAAACCGGAATATCATCAGGGTTGACGATTGGAACCGCGGCGTCATCCCAATTAGACTGGACTGTGACATCCCCACTCAGGATCCGTCTAATGTTCATCATGGTGCTGTACATCACCCCGTAGCTAGAAGGCTTCTCTCTACTTGCCTCTTCTGGGCTGTGAATGTCAGAGGTCTTGATATAACCTCCCATCAGGGACGGGTAAGGTGCAAAGCACTTTAGATAACCGTTCCCACACATCCGACCCAACGACACGTCGAATTGAGCACCGATGTCAATCTCCTCTGCAATCCCAGATGGATTCACAGAGAGCGCAGCTAGAATTTTCTGCGCGCCGCGATAACTAACAGCATAGGCAATCGAGCAAACACCATCGCTGGTGGAACAGGTCAACCGGGTATGATCGGGTCGCCCGACCGGAGGCGGTTCACGCCAATAAGGCAGAAAATGATGCGGCGGAAGGATAGTAGGATCGTTCGGCGTTAGAAAGAAGGGTATATCTGTCCGGCATTCGATTCCGCAGTGAGCAAGCCAAAGGATGTCCCAATCGTCGCCGTATGGTGATGCAGTGGGCTCATTAGTTGTCTTTCCCTGGAGGGATCGGACGGCAAGTGCAAAACTCTGTAGCTGAGTTTTGATCGCTACGTCCCAATCGGCGTCGTCTTCCATGATTATTGCGCTGCCTTGTCGTTCGTTCACGATGCTGTGTACTACTGTTAGTCTTCTACCAATGAATAAAGAAAAGGGAATTTTCATACCGCTGCATCCCGTTTAAATGCGCCCGTCGAGCTGCATACTCGCTTGGCTCGTGGTCATAATTCCAGTTCTGCGACTCAGCGACTGAACGATAACAGAGTGGTGTATGCGACTCACGTAAGGATATGACTGAGGACTGATCTGGTCCGGAGTGACTCCATCGATGAATTCGAGATGGAAATCACTGACCGATGAGCCCAGAATCATGTCATCCCGTTTATCAGGTCTGCTGGGGAGATTGATCACGAGGACTTTGCCGACCTATATACATTGTTAGCACCGGACAATTGCAATGTCAACCGGCAAAAAGAGTACCCCCAATGTTCCATTTTTAATCGCTTCAATCGCATTTCCAGCACCCCTCGACCCGACCCAAACCGACTCTCCGTAATTGGAAATCGGCCAGAGAATGAGGAAGATAGTGGCCACTCCGATCACATAGAGAAGCAAGCGGCCGAATCGCTTTTGGGACGACAAATTCATGTTCCGGTCGATTTAGGAATTGTAACCATCCCCGATACAAATGAATGTACCGCTGCGGTTTTTGTCGGTCGGGTTGTCGTGGCCGGGACTTTGCGCTTGAAACACCGCAGCATCCCCTCACTTTGCAGATTATGTAATCCATATACAAAAAGGGCATTTATTGGTGAGGACCAGTACGTACTAGTCTCACTTACCCTATAGTTGCCGCATCAGGGCTGTGGTATCATGAGCGTTCCTATACAAGTAGTGCATTTGAAGATGGGTACTTGGATTATTCGCTATCCTTGGCAATAGGAAGTCATCATGATTCATGACTTCAATCTCAAGATTATCACCCCTTCTGACCCTTCATAAGATTCATGGCATCCTAGGGCGATGCTCAGGCAAAAACAAGCAGACTAATGTCTCAAGTAATCTATGTTGTCTGGATTAGTATTCTGTATATACAGACTGTAGTCCTTTGAAACCGAGGAATTCTTGTAAATAAGGTTCTAGCCCTACGGAACGATCTAATCAATCGGTCGACCCACCTATATTCAACCTTGATCGAACCGAGAAATGCTCTTCATAAATAACAACTAGGCCTAGGGAAAAGACAACTCGAGGATTTCTCCATGTATTGAAGGATCTGACCGAAGCTCTCAGGTTCTTTGATCGAATGCCTTTCTTTCCCCATACGCATCGCAACCCACTGCACGGTCTGAGCTACCTGTCAGCCCAGTTCCACCGGCACTTCCTGTCTTGCGAATGCGGGCATTCATCTGAGCCCTGTAGTTGTTGCACTCGTGTCATTTCCACTCATCATGCCATCCGCTCAGCAATATCAACACCATGCTATTTGGGCCAAGCACCAATCGTAGGCGGCAAGTAGACCCACCAATTCTCAAAGTCATCATAACGATCGGGAGGAATAGCGTTTAGGGCTTTGATATACTCCCAGTACTCCGGATACCAGCCTCACATTTTCCAATCGATAATTGTCTTGATTTCAATCTGAGATTCTGGGTAACAACTGCTGTATACGGCGTCGGAGGATTTTTGAGACAAGGCACTGCTTTCGTTCTGATGAGGCGTGAACGCCACCATGATGTTTCGTGGATGGAGGTCACCGTGGGTCATTACCAGTTTATGATCAGTCTCAAGATATGATTTTATCATAGCAAGGTTATTAGTTTGGGTGAACTCCTGGTGCTTGGTGAAGAATTGATTGAACTCATTCTCATTGCTGATGGGCGATTCTGCAACTCGGATATGTGTTCGTGCATCCCTGCAACGGCGCGGGTTCCCACCACCAAACACTGCATTGGGTTCATTCTCATCGGTTGGCGGTGGTAACATGGACCTCAACTTGTCAAAGATAGTGTCCAGCTGCTCTTTTACTGAAACTTTTCGGTCCCTGTCCAAGAGCTTCCATACTGAAACCAATGGCTAACCAGGGATCCGTGACATCAATATAAAACGGTACCCACTACCCGGTTGTTGCAGAATTCCATGCGTCTCTGGTGTTGGGATAGAAGGCGCCTGCTGTCGAATATAATCCAGGGTAAAAATGTGACTGATGTCAATGTCGTAGCCAGCTTTCATTACAAGCTCTGAATTCAAACCCAATATCGCTTTTCTTCTCATCCCCCAGATAATTTCACTAGCCACCAACCGGTTAAGCCCTTCGATAGTGGCTGATAAAAGGGGCACTTCTCCATCTTCGGATAGATCTGTCTGTGCTGCTGCTGCTGCTTGTACCACAGCTGCGCCTAATGGCCGGAGGACAACGGCATTTGATAGAATCCGGAACTCTCAAATCTGCCGGTGCAGTCGGCTCGTCATTCAAACATGTATTGTCTTGTGCGTCCGTGATAGCCAAACTGCGAAATGTTTCCCGCAGGGTAAGATAGCTTTTCAGCTGGTGCTCGAGAAATTCGGTCATATCTCCCGAAAGAACATTGTTGATTCTTGTTTTAACATCATGGAGAACAAGCGCGTTTAATTGCCTGGGAGCCTCTTTTTCTATGTTATCTGTGGGCTTACTCAAGTCCATGGTGGGCGAAGCTGTTTGTAGGAAGGTGGCCGAATCCAAGAACGATGTTACCATAAAGTTTGCCGCCTATCACTATTCTGTCTGACCGTGGCGCGTGATACGATAGTACCGGGATGACATCCTTCTTTTCCTTGCTTATGGAGGGGCAGGGCCTGCATATTTTCTAATCAGACTCATTGAACCTTCGTATTATTTTTGAGCCTAAAATATCTTTGAGAAGAAACACCACAAGCATAGACATCAACGTACAGCAGCATACTTTCCACAGAGAGATACCGTATGCAGATTTCAATTGAAACCAAGAGAATTCCCTTCATTCTGGATTTTCCACCAAGAACGGATGCTCGAGTAGCTTGGTAGTTGGCATCCGCTTCCAAGGGTCTTGTTCCATCATCAACAAGAGGAAGGATACAAGACGCTGAATCTTTCGGGAACCGAAGTTAGGTAACTTTCCCTTCAAGTATCTCAGGAAGCTCTCATGCGCCGGCTCATCGGTCTTGAAGATGCGACTGATATGATACCAATGATCTTGGTCAACTTCCTCGTCCGTGAGACCCCATTTCACTACAGGGGACATTGGTTCGTTCGTTGCAAAATAGAATACCTTTACACACAAGATCAGATGGGATGGAGCTGAGTCCAATGCGGGGCTCAACTTACCAGGACACCCAAGGCCCAGATGTCAATACCAGCGCCCCAGGTCCTTTTGGATTACCTCAGGCGGACGAATGGATAGGGCAGCTCTGGTTGGTGATTGTATTGCTGCCTCCATTGAGCTAGCATGATATGTCAGTATAGACAAATGAGGAAACATGAGAGTCGAAGCAACTTACCTCCGCAAAAATCGCAGATCTTAGCTGTGAGCGTTGAGTAGTCTGCATCTTTTAGTTGGTCCTCCTTTCTTTGTGAAGTAATTAAATATCTCGGAACACTATCACCAGCCTGCACCCCTTCAAGCCATTTGACAGGATACCATTCGCCGGGTTCTAAAGAGACTTCGCTGTGCGCATCACTAGAGGATGAAAGCAGGATGTTCCTGGGATGTAAATGTACCCCAATCAGCTTTCCACTAGGATTCCTTGGCTAAATAACTTACCACCGTAAATGATATCTATAGCGTGAAGAAAATCGAGACCCAATAAGACTTGCTTGGAGACAGTCTGTACATAACATGGCTGGCGTGGCGGTGTAAAAGGATCCCCAATCTCAGCATCAGAAATTATGAGAGGGAGGACAAGGCACAAATGGGTTCCATTTGGACCGACATGCTCAAAGTAATTTAGCAGCTCAATTATTTGCTTCCTTCCCGGGTGGTCCAAGGTTGAATGAGATATGTATAGCAGGAAAGAAAGTTCCTTGTTATCTTTGGAGTCCTCTGCTTTCTTTATTTTTAGCGCGACCTGTCGTTGAAGTCTTGGATGAGGTTAGAAGAAAACCGTTTAAGGGAAAGGACAAGATATCGAAAATTCACAGGTGATCTTTCGCTAGCCAGGCTGTAGCGGAACTACCATATGCCAATTTTGCAATAGCCTCATATTTTTGATTGAAGACATCATGGAGGTGTACTAGATGGAAGCCTCCATGGCGATACTTTCCAACCCACTCAACAACCAGACCTGTATCCTCAAAGCGGTCGTCTATTTCTGATATCTGGAGAGGCGGCTCACGCGAGAACTGATAGAGACAACGTATTTGTTATATGTTGATAGCGGAAGGGCTCGTTGGAGAAAAAGAAAAGCGAAGTTTGGTAGTTGCTAAAAAGTTAGTCGAAGGCAACCTTTTTGTATAACGCATTACTAGTTCTACATTTTTCATCTTCTAAGCTCCTGGTCTCTGCATACGACAAGTCTCATGTTCCAGTCTGCTTCTCACCCCTAACAAAGTCGATCTTATCTTATCATTCTGTATTGCTGTTATAGTAATGACCATTGTTCACAAATGTCGCATGCAAACAAGAGGTCAAACCAAGTTTGCTACTGTTTGTATAGCATGTCACATGACAGACTCAAAGAACCAGAAATTCCTACTAGACTCTGCTTCTCCTCATTTTTCTACTCATAAACCAATCTGGCCTCCGTCGTCATTAAAAGTCTACGATGGACGAAATGGTCAACAAGAAAGAAATGACCGACAAAACCCACGTCATCGACGAAGACGGTGAAGTGATCATAATACTCGAAAATGCCAATGCCCCTTTTGCAGTCTGGAGTGACAATGAGCAAGACGTCGAAATACCGCAGGAATTAGAGACCAAGAACGACGAAACAGCAAAAAATGAGTACCGCATCCAAGTCTCCGCAAAGCATTTGATGCTCGCCTCGCCTGTGTTCAAGAAAACTCTGTCTGGAGGATGGAAAGAGAGTTTCAACTTTGTCAACAAAGGGTCAGTGGAGATCAAAGTGGACAGTTGGGACATTGGGGCCTTTGTTATTTTTATGAAGATTATCCACTGCCGACTCAATGCTATACCGCGCAAACTGAACCTGGAATTGCTCTCCAAGATCACTGCTTTGGCAGATTATTACGGATACCTTGATATAATGAGCATCTTTAGGGATGTCTGGATCAGCCAACTGCGGAACAATTTTCCTACATCGCACTGTCGAGACTTGCTTCTGTGGCTGTGGATCTCATGGGCCTTCCGGGTTCATGACCTGTTCCAAAAAGCAACCCTGACTGCAATGGCACAAAGCAACGGATGGATTACGAACCTGGGACTGCCAATCCCAGAAAAGATCATTGGTATGGATTCCAGACAAGACCGTTGGATTTATTGGAAACTGACTGATAATGCTTGTAAGATACCATGAATGACCAGCGGCAGAGTACCATTTACAACATCGTTGACTCACTTCACCAAAAGAAAGAAAACCTTCTCCACAGTGATTGCCATCCTTGCAATGCGGCGTTGCTTGGTAATCTCATAATGGAAATGAATTCGAACGGTCTCCTTTCACCAACGCCCACTGCTCCATTCCTGGGAATCAGTCTCTGAACTTGAAGCCAAGGTGCGCTCCTTCAGAGCTTCCTCCAATCATTCGCAATCTTGCTATAGTCGCAAATATGGCTATAACAGACATTATAGCAACAGAGATTCGTTCGATTTACTGCCTGAGCGACCAAGTAGTACCGAGAACGGCCTGAAGCTGAGGGCATTTCAAGGTAGTTGAGGCCCTCTCTACTGAGCATTGGGAAATCACAAGATGGCACCGTTAATGAGACAATTATTGGTAACTGAACGCTCTGGCAGCCATATTTTGTTGGGCTTCTCTGGGTAGTCATTTGTATTCTAGAGGGAAATGGAATGGCGAATGTTCAGTAGTTCTTTAGTTAGGGATGGCATCGTGCTTTGTAAGCGGAAGTAACAAATAGTCCCGAGTTCCGACTTCCGTCCGGGGATTTACAACCCCAACATGGGGCAGAACATTCCTATACACCAGACGGATTTTTCTATTCGTACTCCGTACTTATTGAGTCTTACGTTGCAGGATTTTCAGGTACGAGCACTTTTCAGATTTTGCTATTTACCGGCTATATCTGCTCTCATTCTGGAATTTCATACTCTCCATGCCTCAAGGCTTTGCATCTATTCGGTCCTCCCCGCCCAAGAATTGGCATTCTGGGTCTACTTGTACAATGCCGAGCCACTAGTGTTTAACGCATTACTCCAGTCAAGAAACTTGTAGTCCTCCCCCCGAGCCTTATCGCAATTTTGCTGTTTCAGATGTTTCTAGTCCCACAAAAACCCGCAGCAAGTTTACGCAAGTTCCTCCCCATAATGGGAGAATTTCGGGCGAACGAGATGGCTCGGATTACTACCATGGAGAATGGAAAATTGGCTATAAAAGGGCTGTCTGGCCCTCTCCTTTTGCGTCTATCAGCAGTAGCAGCAGTACTCCCACCATCCCACGATGCAGCTTTCCACTCTCCTCACGGCAGCAACTCTCGCCTGCGTGGCGGTTGCCCACCCCGGCCCTCACGCTCACATCCCCCGCGCAGAGATGGCCCGCCGCGCCGACCTGTCTTCCAAGTGCTCTAACAAGGTAGCCCGGTTCAACGAGAAGCGCTGGAAGCGGAGCCTCGCCAAGCGTTCCAGCAGCGGCAACTCGACTTTCCAAATCACCACGGAAGCGCCTCACTACCAAACTATCCAGAATGAGACGTGCGTGCTCGCCCCCGAAGTGACAGAGGGTCCGTACTGGTGGCCAGAGTCACAGACTCTGCGTCAGGACATGACGGAGGGTCAGTCCGGTGTTCCTTTGTGGCTGGATGTGGGTGTGCTTGACATGGCGACTTGCGAGCCGCTCGAGGACGTCCTGGTTGACTTCTGGCACTGCAATGCTACGGGAAGTTACTCGAGCTTCACTGGATTGTCGCCTAACACGCCATTCGAGACGCTGTTGAAGCAGCTGAATGTGTCGGACTATGGGATGGGCTCGACCGATTTGCACACGGATGACACCACCTTCTTGCGCGGAATGTGGCCAACTGACAAGAACGGCATGATGGAGATGAAGACTGTCTTCCCTGGTACGCCCCTATCTACTTTTCCAAGTATTGAAGAGATTTCTAACCTAACTAGGCTTCTACGTTGAACGCGCTATCCACATCCACGTCCAAGTCCACACCGACTGGTCTCTCCGCGGAAACGGCACCATGGCCTACGGTGACACAATCAGCACTGGCCAGCTCTACTTCGACGAAGCACTCGAGCGCAAGATCATGGCCTTGGAGCCCTACGTCTCGCACACAGAAATCAACCGGACTACCAACGCCGTCGACTCGGTTTTTTCGCAGGGTCTTGATGGTGGATACAACCCTGTCATATCTGTGGAGCCTGTGGATGGCGAGGATGTCACCAAGGGGATGGTTGGGTATGTCACTATTGGTGTCGATACGACTGCGGTAGAGAGCTTTGGGAAGAGATAAGGGATGTGCTGTGTGCTAGAGACTGAGTGTCATGTCTTATTTATTATATTCAAGTAATAAATACAACCCATCATCGACCGATCCCTCAAGTGCTCAGAAACGAGGAATTAATTGCCTTATTCGATTTACCTGTCGAGAACGAAATTCATATCCTTTTGAAGTTCAAAACACTAACTTAGAAGCTTCCAGAAATCGTGATTGGCGCTTCATCCGTGAAGAATATGGCAGACTATTAAAAGACTAGGTTGATATGTGCCATCCTTGTAAAATTTCACCACGGTTTTCGCTAAATGGAAAGTACACAACGAGTGATTCAAGCCAGCTCCTCAAAAATAAAAGGGAAGCGAGCCGTGAATTGGACAAACGGACGGTGTATCCAAGGAGTTCAAGTATTATTATTTAAAGCGGTCGACAACTTATAAGATTGGATTTTGACGCTGCAGTACCTTGACATTTGGATGTACATCCAAGAGATATCACAGCTAGATACAGTTTCCTAGTAATATCCTTCGCATAACGGAAATAACTAGATCTCATGATGTTTAGCTTTGCTTACCTCCGCCCCATGCTTAAGAACCAAGTACCACCGAGTCAAGAGGGCATTCCGTACCGAGGGCGGGTGATGCTCATACGGCTCTCTGGTCGTCTTCACCGAGAACGGAGGACGCTAATTTGCCTCGAGTCTCCATCACCAGAAACGGGTGACCAAGTAACTTGGACGTTGGTGCCCGCTTCTTATTATCCTGCTCCAGCGTCGACGAAAGGGAACGATATAAGACGCTGAATATCCTGAGAACCGAAGTTATAAGCAGATGTTCCGCAAATTTCTCGTGCGCCGGAGGATTGTTGAGAGTTTCATCAATGTACATGAAATGTTCCTCGTTGACCTGTTTCCCCGAAAGGCGCCAAGGGCATATGGGGAGCAACGGTCCGTTTGTTGCAAGATGAAATATAGTTGCGTGATGTTAGACGGGAAATGCTGAGTTTCAGAAGTCAGTTTACCAAGCAACCCAAGGCTCAGATATCAATGCTAGCATCCCAGCGGCTTTTCTTAACCAACTCGGGGGCATGAAAGTGCAAAGGTGTCACGACTGGCTTGTTGTAAACCTGCTTCTAGGAAGCTCGAGGACCGACCGACGAAAACATCCTGATGGGACAGATTGACGAGCGTCCGCCTACGACTTACTCGGTGCGTCTGACAAAGGGAAGGTTTATACCGGCTTTTGAGCGTCGTCCGGCGCGTCCGTCGCGCCAGTTGTATGCGTATCAATTGGTGCTTGAACCGCCGCTCGGGGGTTAATCCTGATTCGAAGAAGTTTTGTAGCCGGCCAATTCCTGGTGCTGTGAAGACCTAGAGGGAACAATCGGGGAGCATCTTTTGTAAACCATGGATTAATGAGATGAAATGAAGAACTGACTATTTTCCATTTTCGGAATCGCGGATCCACAGTTTCTTTCCTCCCCGAGCCGAACCGACCGATTGTCAAAATGTGACCACATACCACCAATTGCAAAGCACTAACACTCTACGAGAGCCATGGGGACACAGTTCGATAACAGAAATCTCCGCCGGGCCAAGGTGGGTGTTGTCATCCGCCGGTGCTTGATTCTTTTAACCTGATAATTAGGCATGCAATACATGCCGGCGAAAGAAAGTGAAATGCGATGGGAAACGGCCTATTTGTTCGTCATGTAATACATTCAATCTATCTTGCACTTTTCAGGATGCCGTGAGACAGCCAAATCGCTCGGGCCCGTATGTCTTGCCATTCATTTTTCAAGGTGTCAGAGCTAACACTTGTTTGCAGAGCGTATATCGAAGAACTAGAGCGCCGGGTCAAAAGCTTGGAGCAGCAATTGCAGCAACAGGGCCGCTTGGGACATGAAGCTCAACAGAATGCGGATGCTCAGGAGCTGGCATCAATAAATACCGCTGCGACCGTCACGGATGGTAATAGTAATGATGCTACGGGAAATACCTGCGGGGGACTTGGCCAGATTCCGGAGAAAGGTGGCTCTAGTAGCCCTGATGGCGACGGAAGTGATCAAGTCTCTAGTGTTGTTGAATCAAACGATGGCAAAATACGATTTTTCGGTTGGTTACTCCAGGATCTTAGAAATTCTGATGAAGCTGACACAGTGTAGGAGCATCTTCCGGATTCTGCGCACCTTCTTCCACTCTTGAAGATGGCGAACAGGAAAACAAGAGTTGGACAGCGGCATGGCACACAGCAACACAACAGAATGCTACACGATGGCAGCTGACAAGCTGGATCCCTCGTACATTACAAGATGGTTTCGACCAACGCGTCTTCCAGTCTTTACCATCCAAGCAAACAACAGTGCAGCTGGTAGAGGAATTTTTCGCAACCTTCAACCAAGCCATCCCACTATTCGACGAACCATCCTTCAAGAGCCTACTCGAGAGACAGTTTTCCTGGAACCCCGACGATAGTCCTTCATGGTGGATGTCACTCAACATTGTCCTGGCCTTTTCGTACAGAGAAAGAGCCCACGCATCTTCAGACGCAAGCGACAACTGGCAATTATGCTTCGAACACGTCCGCAACGCAATGAATGCCGTGGTCGAGCTGTTCATGCGCAATACAGACCTCCTAGCTGTCCAGGGGATACTAGGATTGGCTCTGTTTTTCCAAGGCACGCCAAACCCGCAAGCACTCTTTATGCTTGCGGCTGCCGCAATGCGCATGTCGCATTCTATTGGGCTACACAGGAATAATATACTTCGATTGGCACCATCGCGGATCGAGGAACAGCGCAGAATATACTGGATTGCATTCATCTTAGATGCAGATATCTCTCTTCGAGTTGGTCGTCCGCCGATTCAGGACTTGGGGGATTATGACGCACCTTTGCCGGCTGAGGACCCTCATGATGGGAAGGGTGTGATCCGTCTTGAGGGGATTGAGATCAATTTCTTCCGTCTACTTGCGCAGTTTGCTTTGATCCAACGGCGTCTCTATACGAGTCTTTACACGGTTGCTGTGCATCGACAACCTCGAGTGAACATGGCAGGCGAAGTCAAAGCCTGTGAAGAAGCCCTTCAAGAATGGAGGGACATGATTCCTCTTACCCTCCAGCCCCAGCGCGCATTTGCCATCGCACCCGACTACTTCCTACAGCATCTCCTACGATTACACTTTGCATACCATTTCTGCTACGCAAACCTTCACCAGGTGTGCATGCTCAGGGGCCAGACTGACATATCCACAAGCCAAAGCGCTGGAAAAGGGATCGATTCGACTATTGTACAGTCACTTGAATCAGCACGATCTGCTGTCGAGTTACTGAAGTATATTCGCTTGCTAGGATCTACATATGAGTGGTAAGTCGTTAATAGCCCCTATAGTAACCAGTGACCCCAGCTAATGTGTTAACAGGAACGTGCTTTACTTCCCCGCAACAGCTTCAGTGGCACTAGCTCTGCACATAATGGTATACCGGAATCACCAACATTCCCAAACGGATCTCTCCGCGATTCGTGAGACGGTCCACTTTCTGTCTGATGTCTCGTCCCGGGAGCCAGGTACTTACGTTGAGTATATCCTGGGTGTGTGCTCTGATTTACAAAGTGCTGCTGCGCGGGCTCTCATTCGGGGCCAAACTGGTCATTCCCAAGAGACATCTGTTGCAGATGAATATAACGGGAGGGATAAGGGCAAGGGTATAAGCAATCATATGAACACCACAGCTTCTACAACGGGCTTTACAAGTGACGACCCTGCGAGCAACTTCGCGAATGAAGCAATTGTAAACGGAGATTTTGGGGTTCTGGATGATTTAGCTGTGAATTGGCAATGGTCAATGTCCCCGTTCTGGAACTGGCAGGATTTGAATGGATAGCATGCGGACGAAGAATGGATATTATTTACTCCTGAATGACTGTATATGTATGCCAATATAGCAACCTGACATGAATAAGAGCTCCTCATTTCTCATGTCTCATGGGAACCCCCTCCTCTCCAGAATCATACACAAGCCTTAATCGCATCACTGTACGACAACCCACTCTCACACTTCACAACATACGCAGTCCCACTAGTACACTGAACATACGACCCCTCCTCCTTCGGATTCGCAGAAATGCACTCAACCTCAGACTCGCAGCCCTGCTCCTCCTTCGCCCCATCACAATAAAATAAAGAATCTACCTCCCCATCTGCCGGCGGCAACGCCTCCTTCGCAGTATCCAGAGTCTCCTGCACGACATCACCACATGTTGAATCCGCTGGCCAGTCACACTCCTTCTGGTTTTCATTTCATTCCAAGCCAGACGGACAGTCGAGCACGGTAGGTCGACCGGTCTTGCCGTCGGCGTTTACATCACAGGCGATGAAACTGCTGCAGTCATTGGGGTTCGGGTAGAGACAGTCTTTGGGGGGGAGGGGGGCGCGCATTGGGTAGCGACGATTTCTTCTTCGGGACAGGTGACTGCGGCGGCGGCGAGGGTGGTCATGGCTAGGCCGGTTAGGAGGCGGGGGACGAGGGAGGGAGACATGTTGAATTGAAGGGTATATATGGAGCAGAATTCTGCGATAAGATAGGAGGTGGAATGAACGGTGAGTGGTATGTAGTAGTGATTTAAGATTGGGAAAGATTCCTGCTCCCTTATAGTTGTCTATGCTATCGCATCAGTCTTTCCGGGAGCTTGGAATGTTTACCGCTATTCATGATATATTGGATTCCTGCAGCACTAGTGTACTCTTACTGGTGGGTAATGGTCCAGATCTAGGGTTTGGATATGCCCGAACTCCTCCGAACCAGATCTGTGGATCCGATTTCTTCAGCTTCGTGTCGATCATAATCATGATCGATCTGTGATTGCTCAGATGCACACCTACTTCTCAAAGGGGTAAAAAGTCAGGTAGCGTTTAATCGGGTATCTGCAGTTGATTTAGGATCTCAATGTTAAGCAGTTACCGATTTATAACCAACTGATACCTCGATCATGATAGCAATGCGGCACAGGAGGACTCGTCCACTTCGGCGTGGCCTCCTCATCCCCAAGTCTCACAACAGGTTTGAGCAATGTCTGCTTTCCCCAAGGACCCTCCTCAAATGTCGTCATCAACGATGAATACTCATCCAAATACCCCGGAAGTCCCTTCTTCCATCCCAGAACCACATTAACCAAAACCTCTGAGACATACTGATCCGGCGTGATCTCCTTAAACCCGCATCGCTCAGTAGTCTCTTGCACAACCTCAGGAGGATACAATCCAACTTCCTTCTCCAACGCAATCGCATCAGCAGCAACCAACGAGCTGGTAACACTATACGACCCGCCCTTAACCGCACGCTCCCTCAATGCAATCATCCCCGCCAACGCACCTACCAGTCCAGTAACCATATCAGAAATCGGCAGCGGCGGCAACACACTCTTCCCCTCCTCATACCCCTGCGATCTCCCCATAACATACGAAGTACCCGACGCAGCATCACCAATTTGCTGCCATCCAGGACGTTCATGGAAGGGGCCATTGGAACCGTAGCAGTTCTCGTCGATGTAAATTATGCCCTCGTTGCGTTTTGCGGCGATTTCGAGCATGTTTTTGAGGCCTAGGCCTTTGCGGTCGAGGGTGCCGGGGCGGAAGCCTTGGAGGAAGATGTCGGCTTCGGAGACGAGGTCAAGAAGACGGGTTAGGTCGGAGGGGTTGGTGATATCGAGATCTATGGTGCGTTTTCCGGCGTTGAGGGTGAGTTGAAGTACCTATTGACAAAATTAGCTACTAAAGAGGTAAAGGGAATGAGAGAGGGGCATACGTTGAGATCTGCAAGTCTGCTACTGTTCACTCTGATCACATCCGCTCCGTAAGACGCAAGCATGCACCCACACTGCGGACCCGCGATGATGCGCACCATCTCTAGCACCTTAACACCCGCTAGCGGTCTCCGATCACCACTGGGCAACGGCAACGGCACAGGCGGCGTAGGGTTTGCATATGTCTCCTGAGAAACATTCACCAACGGATGCTCTGCCAGCCTCTTCCCAAACTCGGTTTTCCTCCATCCTTCCGGCGAGTAGCAGATGCTTCCGCACAGGCCGTGTCGTACATTATGCATCTCGAGCTCATCAGGGCTCCATTGGCGAATATGGTCTTGGATGTAGTCGTAGTACCCCTGGGGTGAGTCGAAGGTGACGTCAGGGTTGATACCCATCGTTCGAAGGGCCGTATTTGCATCCAATGACCCGTGTAACTGGTACCAGACGCGGGGATCTTTGGTCTGGTAGATCGCCGTCGCCCGGCTCGAAATACCCTTGCTAAAACCATGATTGAAGTCCCGCTCAAATAAACTGTCCATCTTCTTCGATCCCCCCAGGGCCATGAGGTCGGACCCGTTAATGTACGTTGTGAACACAGACCCGAGCCAGATCCCCGCATGATCCGTATCGACTTTCACATTATTTTCCGTAACATGTTTCCCATTGCGAAGCTCGAGGATTTCATTCGCCACCAGACCGGCCATACCGTGCAGGGCAGCCGCCACAACGGGTGCTTTGATCGGTCCTGGGATCATAGGATCCGGACGACCTTCAAACTGAACAGTGTCCCATGCTGCCTTGTCCTTGGTAAAGCCGGGGGTTCGCAAGGCGAGGAGTTCGAATACCCGGCGAGCGTCTTCAGGGACAGGTAGGGGGTTCTTGTCGATGAAGGTTCCGGGGCCGTAGATCTCGTCTCCGGGGACGGTTTCGTGGATTTCTCGGCGCATATTGATGTACAGAAGACAGTCGGTTGAAACTGATGAAATTGATTAAGTCAATGAGTTGTAATCTCTCTTATAGACGGGCAAAGTTGTAGGTATACATGATTCGGAGAACGCATTTCCACGGCCCCATGGAGTTTGTGTTCCGCGGTCCGTGGGGAACGTATCCTCTCACTCATGCCGACCTTTCTGTGTGGAGCAAAGACCTCGGTCCCTGATATAAGTAGCCGAAGGGTCCTTAGATCAATTAGTCTGCATAGAACCACTACACAATCAATAACCCAAATCGGACGACACAACATGTCGCAGTCTAGCACTAACACGCGCCCAGTAAGGGTCGCCAACTGCTCTGGTTATCATGGTAAGCGAACATATTGTCCGTTTCCGATTGCTTTTCGAATGCTAAGCAAGTATAGGCGATCCAGCGGAAGAAATGTACCAGCAGGCGACATTGGGAGACGTTGATTTTATCACCGGTGATTATCTCGCAGGTAAATATGCGCATTCGCGGAACTTGTATATATGCGCTTCTGGGACTAATACTATGTGCAGAGGTCAATTTGGCAAATAACGCCCAGGCATGGAGGGATGGAAAACATCCCGGGTACGAAGAAACCGCCTGGGAGGGCCTCCAGCAAACGATCGAAGTCATTGCACGAAAGCCTATCCGAGTCGTGATCAATGGCGGTGCTCTTGATCCGAAGGCTCTTGCGTTGAAAACACAGACTCTCATCAACGATAAGTGCCTTAGCCTTCGTGTCGCATACTTATCCGGCGATGACCTTTACCCTCTTGTCGGACCCAATATGCCTTCCACCAAAGAAGAACTCCAGCATCTGGATTCCAGCAACCATTCTGCAGTACCATCTGAACTCACCTATGCCTTTCTAAACAACCCTGATTCGAAACCAGTCCCCATGGTTTCCGCACACGCATACCTAGGTGCTCGTGGTATCGTGGATGGTTTGCGCCGCGGGGCTGATATTGTCATTTGCGGCCGTGTAGCCGATGCTAGCCCGGTGATTGCCGCCGCTTGGTTCTGGCATAACTGGTCCGAAACAGACTATGACCGGCTTGCGGGATCGCTTATTGCCGGGCATTTGATTGAATGCTCCGCGTATGTGACTGGAGGCAACTTCGCGGGGTTTGACAGTTATCCGTTGGATAATCTTGTTGCGCCGGGTTTTCCTATTGTCGAGATTGCTGCGGACGGGACTTGTGTTGTCACTAAGCACCCGAATACGCAGGGTATGGTTAACGTTGATACGGTTCGATGTCAGTTTTTGTATGAGCTGCAGGGGAATACGTACCTCAACAGTGATGTAAGCGCCTATATTGGTGACATTGTCGTCGAGGATGCGGGAAAAGATAGGTAGGTGATGCTTTTTTTTTTTTCTCTTGTTCGTTCCGGTGCTAACAGAAAGTAGGGTGCATGTATCCGGCATTCGAGGATCACTACCACCCCCAACCACGAAGCTCGCAGTCTTCTACCACGGAGGATATGAAGCCCAGCTCCTGCTCAACGCAACAGGATATGCAACGACGAAGAAATGGGATCTTCTCGAGAAGCAGATCCGCCATTTTCTTCCGGATAACGTGAAGAACAACCTCGAGACACTGGAATTCCAAAAGTAACCTCGCGTTCTGCCCCAATTATCATAGTCCTCAACCACTGAGACTGTATTAGGATCGGTGTCCCAGCACAAAACCCAGCATCCCAAGCCGCGAGCACCACCTATCTTCGGATATTCATCACCTCTCGCTCTGAGACCTCTGTGCTGGCAGTATCGAAGGTCATGAGAGACATCTCCCTGAAGCACTTCTCCGGTATGCCCTCCCAACCCCTCAATGCACGGACATAACTGACCAACAGGCTTCCACTCATCCATGGACTTCCGCACCGCCATCCCACGGCCATTCCTGGCTTATTACCCAGCCCTCGTCAACCAATCCTCAATTCACGAGACAATCAACCTTACCAGCCACGAACCCGACATCAACACCATCCGATCCTATCCCACCGGCCATCCCTCCCAATACTCCTCTCCCCCCACCATCCGTGACAATTACGACCCGGAAACCCCACAAGTCTTCAACGGCCCAACCAAACCCCTCCGCCTAGGCGACATCGTCCTCGGCCGCTCCGGCGACAAAGGCGGAAACTTGAACGTCGGGTTCTTCCCCAAGAACCCTTCTCACTGGCCGTGGTTGCAGTCATTTATGACGAGGGAGCGGATGCGAGAGCTTATTGGAGAGGACTGGGAGGAGGGGTTTTTTATTGAGAGGGTTGAATTTGAGGGGATAAGGGCGGTGCATTTTGTGATATATGGAATTTTGGGGAGGGGGGTTAGTAGTTCGAGTCGGTTGGATGGGTTTGGGAAGGGGTTTGTGGATTATGTTAGGGATAAGGTGGTTGGTGTGCCGGTTGAGTTGGTGTAGTTGTTTATCTGCTTTCACGTTAGTTTCTGTCGTTTCATTGTATGGTCATAATTCCAATTACTTCAATTGGATTGACGAGGGTGTTGAGAGAGATAAGGGTATCCCGCCAAGATCAAACACCATCACACGACAGTTGTTGCGCTCTACAAAAGTCCTCGATAAATGTATACAGATACTCTCATCGAGTCACACTTTGGATGAATACATTACAGTAAACAGAACTGGTATCAGAATTGAGACGAAACATGATCCATAACTATAAACTTTTCGTGAAATCGTTTTCAAACAAGCATCTAGCATAATCACCGCGTAGGAATAAACTTCTGTGAAGCAGCCTGCTGCTCACTGAAAGACTGCGGGAATGCAGCTATGCCAGCAATAATACCCACAGCCATGAAAGCCAGGGAAATGAACGACCAGATGATACCCCAGCACCGAGACGAGCCACCATATCTCTCAGCGAAGACGCTGGCATCCGACGTATTCACTTTGCGAATGATGAGATCGTCGCAGATATCCCAGACGCTGTAGAGTGCTGACATGACGCCGATGAAGAGCTGCAGTTCATTAGTTACCCACTCTTCGCTAGCCAGGGGGGGGAGTGCTTACCACCACCCATCTCAACGCCTCTCCATGCGCAATAAACCAACAAGCCACCAACAGCCCAACCGCAAGCAGAACAGTCACGATAGTCAACCAATCCCTCCGCGCCCACCAGAGCGTGAGCAGAAAGCAAACACCCAAGACGATACTAGCGACCTTGCTTGCGACAATATCGAAACCGGCAAAAATCAACAGCGCACCGATAATCGAAGAACCAAGGTATCCGGCAGGTAATGTGACTGCAGACATTCCACCTTGCATGTGGGTGACTCCGCCTTCGTGGGGATCGAGGGAGATGGACTTGACTCGGCCGCCGGTGCAGCAGGCGGTTATAGCGTGGCCGAATTCGTGAAATGCGATGACCAGCATCTATTTTATTAGCATTTTGCATAGCTAGAGGGAGGGGTAAGAAAACACACCTTAAAAGGCCACAAAGACCAGCGCACATATGGCAAGTTCCAAAGCAGTGCGATTGCGACGACATAGGCAGCCATCACCCCTAGAGTGACGGCCTGAGTATGGTTGACAGTGAGATCGCGCTTAAGCAAGTGGCTTGCCAGCACTGTTTCCGATAAAGGAGCCATATTGAATTTCTTGCGTTTGTCAGAAACTTGAAGAAAGAAATAAAACAAAATAAAATGGTAGGGCTGAAGTTTTACCTATTTATGGCAGGCAGTGGTTGGGCTACGCGGCCGTTTCGCATGCCGCTCCACTGCGCCTCAATAAACATGCCTGATTGGGGCTAGTGCGGTGGCTGGTGGGACTATAATTAGGTGTTAGGCGTTGTGGTGGAGAATCACGTGGTTTTATCTTGATAAGATGAGATGCTTCTGTCAGTGTAAAAGAATTTTGTGGGTATTGCCAGGGGTTGGAAGGTTATTTGGACGTGTTGAGTTGAGAAGGTATCTTTTCCTATGATATCCAGGGGTATATGTGCCGTACTCTGGTTGAGTTCAGCGGTTCCAAGGGTCTCTATAGCTTATTGAAGGTACCGAGTGTTTTTGCTTTAAATAGTAACCTTGGTCCCTTGGAAGAGAAGAGAATAGTTTCGCTATAGAATGTATTTACTGACATTGTATGGTAGCTTTTTTGGAGCCACCAGGAGATCGAAATATGCAAGGTAAGATATATACTTTCCCGGGTCACACACAATCAAGTACATACCAAAACGAGAGACACCATCAACTCGTGATGATGCTCAGGTCGCTGAGATAGTTATATTCTGAACCAGACGCGATCGCATTTGATCAATTAGCACAGTCTTGCAATAACAGGCTCAAATAGGGCTAGACCGGTCCAGACATATGCCTGGCGCTTACAATGATTCATTGAATTCCGCGATGATCCAGAAACAGCAGACTGACATTCTGTCAAGTAAGCAAATTATGGCGTCCTGCTGTTCCTTGTGATGCAATATCTCTTTCGTTGTAGGATTGGTGTTACCAGACCACAAAGACAACCTGCAGTGTAAAACTATCGTATGCACTGTCTATTGAAAACCATTAAAGTTATTCGCGTTACCCAAAACAGCCATAACGGTCTAACAAAGGATCAAAGATGACAGAGAAATAATCAAAGTAACACGACATAAATGATGAAAAGTGGGATCAAAGACTCTGAATAATGAGTAAAAGAGGACATCCAAAATATGGGCTCAACTCCGGGACATTAGGACACCAGCCGAAATATCGCCGTCATTCGGCATCAACGCAATGCCCATCGGATACGCCTGAGTAGGGCTATCATAAGACATGATGTCAGAATGGAGCCAAGCTATTCAGTACGCAAGCGCGCGCGTGAGAAACCGGAAACGGGGCGGACGTTGAAACACAAGCAGGGACATGTGCATTTCCGACAGAGTCCAGACTGCAGACAAAAGAACGAATGGAGCAGTTCTGACTCGTCCACGGCCCCGGATTGGACAGTGCTCGATGTCTATGATGTGGATGTGGTCTGTGATGCGTGATGCAAATGATGCGAATTGATAGCTCCGACGTATGTACGCAGTACTCGTACGACAAAGACGTACATGCAAGAACTCTAAAGAGGGGAATGCCCGTTTCCGATATGACGACAGCACCAAGGCAGGAAAAGGAGGATTGACCCGAGTGAGTGTATACTCTGTGTACTTTAGTGCAGAGTGTATCGGAGCAGGTACTGGACTGGGTGAGTCAACAGCGTCCCCTGAATGATCTACGAACAAGCACTCGGTCCCATTGGCGGTTTTGATCTTCGATAGTTTGGCTAGTTGGCGTAACAGTAACGGCAGAATCAACGGCGGGTGATCATATGTTCGAATTGATCCCGACGATTTGGTCTGGCGTGTTTTTTCCGGCAGATTCATCGAGTACATGCATGCGCATATGTACTTGTGTCAAGTCAAGGCCGGATACATGCACAAGTACTTGGATAGATCTAATGGAGATGTGATAGATAGCCATTGCAGTCGTATTCCACGTACAGAGTAAAACGTACAGAATACTCGTAGACACTCTATTCCGGACAGTAATAGAGCACTTTGTCCCCTCTGACCAAATAGGATGTTTATTATGGTCAACTGGTAATATTCGACGTATTACCGTTCCGTACCAAGCTGCCCAATCACAGGCCGTGCGGGATGCTCCGTCAGCGGACGGGCCATGGACCAGTATTACACACCCCTATTCTGTATCGACTCATATAAAAGCCCTATAGAGAAAGTTTCCCAGAAATTATTGACGCGGTCCCAGTAGAGAATTAGTGCTCGGGGAAGCGCATCCGGTGGGTTTCAATTGGATTCCATCGAGGCGAGATCAAATCACAGTGAGGCTAATAAGAAGAAACCACTCGTGCGGGTTGAATGTTGGTAATGATGTATTGTTAATACGGTATTAGGCGCGCAGAGAGGGGAGAATGATAATTACTGAAGCAGGGCTTATTAGAAGTGAAGGTAATTATTGATGGAATATGAGACAGTTCTCGTTTTTTTTTAAACACGATTATTCCTGTGTACCTAGTTACTTGTAGTGGCATGTGTAATACCGATACCGTCATCCCACCTCCTGTTTTATTTCCCCCCTTCAGCGTTGACCACCTCTCACTCTCCACCAGCACCAGCACCAGCACCAGAACCACCACCACTCTTTCTGACTTTCGTTCCTTCTCTTCATTATTCTTCTTTTCTTCTTCTAATCTCATTTCTTTTTTCCTTCTTTCTTTCTTTCTTTCATTCTTCACTTTTTTGCCTACGCGATATCCCCCCCCGGTCTGGCACTAGCTGTAGCGTGCCACCACCTCTTCAACTCGCGATAGCCTCACTGACCTCCCCCTAAAATCGAACCCTGAACTGACTTCCCTTCTATCGAATCCTTTCATCCGCCCTCTCAGCTGATATTCTCCTTTGAGCAATGCTATAGCGCCTCTCTGAATTCGTCCAATCTGGTTGATCCACGAGGAGCGCTGAGGAAAGTCGGTCAGCTGCCGGTCAACAAAGGAACCGCTCTCTCTCTCTCTCTCCATCGCCGTGACACGGACACACCCACACCATCCACACTCTTACACACAGACCGATGGCAGACGCCCGGTAGATCTGCGCATTGATTGCCGCGGCTGATATTCTGCTTATGCGACCATTTTTCGACTCTTCATCACTTTCGCGCAGTTTACACCCCCACCCGATTAATCCTCCTACCATAGTCTCTAAGAAAGAGAACCACCATTGACAGAATGAAGTACACAAATGCTCGGGGCTTTTCGCCTAGCCCGGAACCCCCACCGCCTCTGTTCGTGCGAGCTATGTACGATTATGATGCAGACGACCTCACCAGTCTTAGTTTCCAACGAGGCGACATTATCCAGGTTCTCAACCAGCTCGAAACCGGCTGGTGGGACGGTGTCATCAATAACAAGGTTCGAGGCTGGTTTCCTAGCAATTATTGTTCCGTCGAAAGCGAGATGAGTGAGGTGGATGACGAGAACCCGCCCACCCACGAAGAAGCAGACATGAGCGCCACCGAATCGGGCGTGGAGGAGGCCGACGAGGACCAAGATGAGGACGACGTCGACTCAACCGGGAACCCGCGCGATTCGCAGCCGATTTTGCCCATTGAGGGTGTTGGTGGTGCTTCCAGCGAGCAGGAAGAGGCCGCCTTCTGGATTCCTCAGGCCACCCCCGATGGTCGTCTGTTCTACTTCAACACTCTCACTGGCTACAGTACCATGGAGTTGCCATTTGAGAATCCTATGGCGACCGACGACTCTGGCCCGCGCGACCGCACGAATTTCTCCGTGCCCGACCAGTCCCGTCCGCCGCCAGAGATGATGGCGCGTGGTTTTGAGCGTGACGAGGATGATTATGATGGTTCCGCGTCCGAGGCAGAGGGAGAGTCTTTGTTGCTGGCCTCCCATGACTCCATGTCACGCAGACGCCGTTCTTTCATCGATGGTGTATCTCCTGCCACATCCATGGACTCGTTACATCCTCCGTCGGCCGCCAAATCCATCAATGGTTCCAGTCGTAACAGCCCCCAGAAAGGTTATGGTATCGCGACCTCCACTAACAACTTCTCTGGTCTGGACCAGTTCCCTCGACCCTCGATTTCGGTCGACACTCGACCGCGCTTCGCAGACGACGGGTATTCGCACCTCACCTGGCCGCTACTGGTTGATAACATGCGCCACGCCATTGACGCCTATAGACAAGCACTTATCAACGGCGACCGCTCCGAGTACGTGAGACGAGCTGAAGATATCTCGGATCACCTTCGCATGCTGCTAGTCGCAGGATCGGACACCACGGACAACCACTCGGGGAACCCGTCAATCATCTCGACGAACAAGGCCTTGTATCCTCACTTCCGGGATATGATGTCCAAATTCTCCAAGCTGGTCCTCTCTTCGCATATTGCGGCGGCAGATTGGCCTGGCCCAGACTCCGTTAACAAATGCCTCCAGGAGGCTGACGGTGTCCTGCATGGTGTTTACGGCTATGTGGACGTTGCACGACAGCAGCGGGGAGACTCGATCAATCGCATCGTTCCTGGTTTTATGATAGGCACTAGCTCCGGCGGTTTCTGGCAGAACAACGGAGTTTCTGTGAGCGAGTTCGGTCCTACCTCCTTCTTGGACCAGGATGGCGGTGATGCTCGAGTGGAGCCATCCGTGTCCCTTGACACGGCGTATTTGGACCATATTGACATCCTCCGCCGGTCCTTTGTTGGCAGCATCCGTCGACTTGAGGAGCGATTGTCTCTCAACCAGAGGAAGGTCGTGACTACCACAGAGCAGCGATCCATTGGCGAATCAGTCGCTGCTGCCGCAATCAAGGTTGTGGAGCAATTCCGTCCCTGGCTATCTGCAGTTGAGTCGATTAACTTGGCACCCTTGGGCTCTAGCTATCAGAGCAATCCGCAACTGGTCGACTTTAGCTTGCAGAAGCAAAGAGTTTACGATGCGATTGCGGATTTCGTTCTGAGCTGCCAAGCTGTATCCGCACCGCTGGGTGATGAGTGGGCAGAGTTGCGCGGTGATTCGCTGGAGGACCGCTTGACTGCTGTCCGGAGCATTTCCAGACAACTTGAAAACTTTGTTTCGCAGATTGGATTCTCGCTGTCGCTGCTTCTCGAGCAGGTTCCCGAGCCGACTTCGACCTTCCGCAGCGAGAGTCGTTTGGGTGGCGAGCATGAGCCCTTCAGGGGCAACAGCATGCGCAGCCGGGCCAACTCGCAGGCCAATGTCCACCAACCGGCGTTTTCGGTCGAAGATGGCTCTGAGAAGGTGCGGCGCAATAGGAACAAGGCCCAGAGATTCTTTGGCCAAGCTCCGCCGGCCGCAATCCCTCGCGAACCGATTCGTGAGCCTGCCAGCGCACCAGAAGAAACTCCTTGGTTCTTGAAGATAGACCACGAGGGTGAAGTATTCTACGACACCAAGAACGATGTGCCAACATTTAAGTGCGGCACTCTGGCTGGATTGGTCGAGCATCTGACTCGTCATGACAAGCTGGACGCATCATTCAACAACACATTCCTTCTCACCTACCGCTCCTTTACGTCCGCTTCCGAGCTTTTCGAGATGGTGATGCAGAGGTTTAATATCCAGCCCCCATTTGGTTTGAACGATGAGGAGATGCAGCTTTGGGTCGATAGAAAGCAAAAGCCAATTCGCTTCCGTGTGGTCAACATCATGAAGAGCTGGTTCGAGCATTTCTGGACGGAACCGAATGACGACTTCAACATGGATATCCTTCGCCGTGTCCATGCCTTTACTAAAGATTCCATTACCACGACCAAGACCCCCGGTTCGCCTCAGCTGATGTCGGTTATCGAGCAGCGCTTGCGTGGTCAGGACACCACTGCGAAGCGGTTGGTCCCGACACAGGCCACCGCTGCCCCGACTCCGATTATCCCCAAGAACATGAAGAAGCTGAAGTTCCTGGACATCGACCCTACAGAATTTGCTCGTCAACTCACTATCATTGAGTCGCGTCTTTACTCCAAGATTCGGCCGACTGAGTGTTTGAACAAGACGTGGCAGAAGAAAATTGCAACCAACGAGGCAGAGCCTGCTGCTAATGTCAAGTCTCTGATTCTTCATTCGAATCAGTTGACCAACTGGGTGGCAGAGATGATTCTTACACAGACTGATGTCAAGAAGCGTGTGGTGGTGATCAAGCACTTCATCACCGTTGCAGATGTACTAGCTTTCTTTTTCCCGCTTATTGGTATATGCTTGCTGACAGATTTCTAGAAATGCCGTCAATTCAACAACTTCTCTACGTTGACGTCTATTATCTCTGCTCTCGGCACGGCCCCTATCCATCGTCTTGGTCGGACATGGTCCCAGGTCAGCGGCCGCACATCGGCTGTTCTCGAACATATGCGCAAACTCATGGCAAGCACAAAGAACTTTGGCGAGTACCGTGAGACACTGCATCTCGCTAACCCGCCCTGCATTCCGTTCTTCGGTGTCTACTTGACCGACTTGACTTTCATTGAGGATGGTATTCCATCTCTCACGCCTTCGGAGCTGATCAACTTCAACAAGCGCGCCAAGACAGCTGAAGTTATCCGGGACATTCAACAATACCAAAACATCCCGTATCTGTTGCAGCCAGTACCTGAGCTGCAGGACTACATTCTTAGTAATTTACAAGCGGCGGGAGATGTGCATGATATGTACGATCGGAGTCTCGAGCTGGAACCCCGAGAGCGCGAGGACGAGAAGATTGCAAGGTACGCTACTATCGGTGGTAGAGACATGGGTAGCTTGATCATCGCCAGCATGGCCCTTCCAGGCCGGTGATCAACGCCCTAGTTTCTGTTGCTCCCTCCCCCCCTTCTTTTCTTTTTTCATTCAAAGATACTGAGAGGTTTTAATTCGCTGAGCGATATCCACACCTCTTTACGGAAATTTTCTATTCCTCGTTTATAAAGCTCCGATTCGTTAAAGGATACTAGAGACTAACCCTTGGCGCTTTGTCTTGCGTAGACTATTGTCTGAGTCCGGGTTCCTGTAAAGCGATCAATGCGGTTATATCCCACGAAAGCTTTATTAAGGATGCTATGCCGTGTTCTCTTCAGCCTGTCAACGCGCTGCATTTGCTACGGAATCGCCGAGGTTACCGCCACGTCCCACGGCAAGCCGAGACAATATTGATCTCGATCAGCCTATCGCGTGTGTCCGAAGAATTTAGCGGCTGTGATTGGTGATGGGCGAGAATTCTAGGCGCTTAGTTGGAGAGGCGATCGGCGACTATTGTCCCGGCCCTGCAGGGAAGTGAGAATGACTTGTCGCATTGAAGATGGTCATTCGCTCGGTATTTCCGGCGCTATTTGTCGGGTCGCTGATCCATCCGCTGCCATGACAATCGCTCCACGTTCTTCAGCTCAGCCCTGGTCTCGTGGTGTTTATTTTCGATTTGGCCCACGGTGATCTTGATTCAGGTCGGTAATTGTTTCCGCTTCTGGTTACTTGCCGTCCTAGCTGCTGCCGGACACCGATTGCAAGTGGACAGGCGGCATCCGTCTATTATTGATGATTCCCCACAGAGTTGGGCTACCATTCTACGCATGACATTCCTTTTCTTCCAATCAAATCCGAACTGATTGTTTATTTACCCCGAGGCTAAAACAGCCGTCAATGCTTGACATGAATATGTTGTCGCATCGCAGCCCACAATGGCCTCATGTGACCAATGATTGGGTTGGATGATTACTACATACTAATGTGTCCTAAGGGCGTCATTTATATACCCCCATCCTTTCAGAATTGTGCCGATCCTTCTGTGTTATCTTTTCTTTTTCTTTTTGTTATCTGGACGTCGTTTGATATTCCGCGGGAGTGGACATACACCTCTTTTGATATCCCTGCACATATCACTCCTTCTATCTTGTACAAACTCTGTCATTTGTTTACTTTTGTCTGTTCTTGTGGATCTTATGGGTTTCTTTTCCGATTATGATCTCGTCATGACATGTGCTACTTTGCTAGCGTTTCTTTTATTGTCCGTGTCTGTCTATCAGGTCTATCATGATTGATTATATCCCGGTCCTTTTGATACTCTACTTTGGTTTGTATGGTTGGGTTAGGGTTGTGAATATCACTATATTCTATGGCAATTGCTCCATTCTCTATGGAATAGTGTAGGTGTAGTGTGAAGAAGCAGCATATCATCATAATATTAAAATCCAGATTCGTGAGCGAAAAGAATTTTCATGTCATTGAGCTAAAGTAGTCATTGTCGTATCTCATTCCAAATAGACTCAATCAAGTCTCTGTCTTCGTCGGCTTCTCCCCAACCCCTTGGAAGAGCTTCATCTTCACCTCAGCGGCTAACAACCCCTTCACCTCCTCTGAGACAATCCGCTGACCATCCCTCACCACCTTATCCAACTGTTGGTCCTGGCTCGAACTAACCCCGCCTCTCGATCCACTGTTCTCAATCCCCTTGGCAGCCCGCTTGACCTTCTGACTCAGATCCATCATCTGCTTACTTCCGTAGTCGTGGGTGGTGAAGAGGGGACTCTGGCTGAGCGTAGCGACCCAGTATTTGTTCCACAGTAGCGAAAGAAGTTCCGTATCAAGCGTGCTCTTAAAGTGCGACACTTCAAGCCCATAGTACTGCGCAGCGTGCGCGCCAAAATCCTCCACCTTATTCAACGGAATAGCCTGATATTCATCATCCTCATCTCCCGTCTTCGGCGGCGTATAGTCCTTAGGAAACGTCCGGAACGCACCAATATCAACCTTGCCCGCCGAAATAGTTCGTTCTGGATCGATGACCACGGCAACGAATGGCCCACTCAACTGCTGCATATCCTGCGTCATCACATCAATACCCGACAACCAACACCCATACCCCGGATGACTATGATACCACCCCACTGCATTCTCCATCCTCCCCGCATCCCGACACGACTGCAAATACCCCACCATATACTCATTCGCCTCGTCCTGCGCGTTAACACGAGTCTCCGTCCCCTCAACCGGTAACCGGAAGGCATCCGTCACCACGAATGTGTTGGGCAGGATGTAGCCCTGCATCAGGCCCATGACTTCGAGGGAGCCACCGGAGCGCGCGTGCATGGTCATTTTTAGGAGGGCGACGGCGGAGATGCGGATGTGTTTGAAGTAGTGCGGATCTTTGGCCCAGGGGCGGGCGGCATTGAGGGACTTGTGGGTTTCTTCATTGTATTGGTAGAGGGCATCGCGGGTGGGGTCAAAGAGGGAGATGGTATTTTCGAGTTCTGTTGTACTTGGTTAGCCGGTGTCATTTGAAGTGGGCTGTTTTGTTTGCTAGAGTGTCGGGTCGGGTGGTCGTACCCCATGACTTTTGTGCTATGTCCATAGTGGCGATTTGACAGAGAGAGAGAATCTCTCTTTTCTTCTATTAAAGTAGTCCTGGGTATCTTGATGGAATGAATGATGATGGATGAAGCTATCCAAGTCGTTATCGAGATAGGTCAAGGCGGTGACCACAATCAGGCAGAAATAAGCGGTCACATTGCTGACTCATCCGTTACCCCAGTGACATCGGTCCCCCCCCAAACAGCAACCCGGAAGCGGCAAGTGCGCAGGTTATTATTCCCTCGTTTCCCCTCTAGAGCCTCACCTCCTCTCTGTCTATCACTTCGATTCCACTTTCTATCGCTTTTCTTCCTTGCATGATTTGCGCCGGCTGTCCCCGGGCTCACTTACATACACCGCTGCAGGTGAGAATATTACTCCGCTGCACTGTGTTTTGAACTTTGATTTCTTGCGCGCGCGCTCCGTGACATCGATCCCCCGGCCTGTTTTGGTTTCATCCTTCGCTTCCCTGTCGCGGCTAGACTGCCAGACGACTGTCACCAATTAAAAGACGAATTATTTGAGTCTTCGACTGGGATTTATTTTGTTTCAACAAGGATACCCCGGGGGTATCGCGAAAAAAATAAAAAAAAAAAATTAAAAGTACACATCCAACGCTCGTTCTACACCCCTCCCCCTTATCTTGGGACGTCATAACGCAAAATGGCCGTCGATACGAGTTACTTGACCACTCAGGTCAATAATATTGTCTCTCAGTTGCATGGTGTTTTTGACGACATTGGAGTTCCGGGCCATGAGCGGGACTCGCGCGAGGCAGAGGTTGGTTGTCGCGGCTTGTCGCGTGCGAAATATGGACACTGACATGATTATGTGCAGCTCTTCAATGCTTTGTCGGAGACATTAAACAACCATCTCAACCTTGTGGATAAGTAAGTTACTTATGACGCGCGAAACGTCCGAACGTGCTGCTAAAACTGCGACAGTGAGAAAGCGGAAATGGAAGAAGAGGCATACAGCCTGATAACCGCGATGCAACAAATGGAACGATCACTAGCGGATGAAAGGGCCAATGGCCAGTTTCATTTGGATCGTGATGAGTTGCAAGTCACGTATCCGTTGAACCGCTGTTTGGTGTCTCTGCGCGAGAAGCATAATGCTATCAGCAAGCTGCATGCAGAGCGTTTCGAGCAGGTCAAAAGTAAGTGTTTCTGAACTATGCCCCGGGGAATGAGTGCTAATAGAAACAGAACTGGTCGAGGCCCTCGAATCGTACGCGTCCCATCTCGAATCGTCGTTTGTCTCCATCGAACTCCCTCCAACGGCACCCGGATCCTCCGTTCCTCCTAGTTTCGACCTTTCCCCGACTTATGTTACTGCATTGGATAATGAATTTACGAGCGTTTACGAAGAATACTACCGGCGGCTTGAATTTGTCCAAACAACCTGCGAGGAAATCATTAAGCTCTGGGCTGAGCTCGGAACTTCCCAGGTGCAAACCGATTCTAATATTCTCAAGTTCTATCGCGACTCCCCTGAACAGCTGGGTCTGCACGAGTCCGATTTATCTAGCCTGACTGAAAAACGCGAAAAGCTCTTGGATGAAAAGCAAAATCGTGAGCGCAGGTTGAACGAACTGCGCACCGCGGTGGATAGCCTCTGGGACCGCTTCGGCGTCGAGGAGGCTGACCGGAAAGCTTTCCTGAATGCAAACCGCGGCTGCGGTCTTAGAACGATCAACGAGTTCGAAGAAGAACTGGACCGTCTCAATGAACTCAAGGGTCAGAATCTTCATCTTTTCGTTGAGGATGCTCGTTGCCGACTGCAGGAACTTTGGGACAGTCTCTACTTCTCAGAAGAAGAAATGCTCGACTTCACGCCCGCTTTCTCCGATGTTTCCAGTGACGCTCTCTTGGAAGCTCACGAGGCTGAAATTTCGCGATTGGAGACTTTGAAGGAACAGCGTGCTTCTGTTTTGCAACTTATCGATAAGCACCGCGGTCTGCTACAAGAACGCGGTGCATTGCAAGCTTCGAGTCAGGATGCCTCCCGCTTGATGGCTCGCGGGAACAAGGGAGAGAGACGTGACCCGGGCAAGTTGTTGCGTGAAGAGAAGATGCGCAAGAGGATCGCAAAGGAACTGCCCAAGGTGGAAGCAGACTTGAGGAAAGAACTGGAGATGTTCGAGGATGAATACGGACGACCCTTCCTTGTCCATGGGGAGAGCTATCTCGACGAACTTACGCCAGCCCCTGCGAAGCAACCACCACCACGTTCCAAGACGCCCTCTGGACCGCCTCCCAGTGCTTCCAGGGCAAGCGCACGACCGCAACCGTCGTCTCGCCCGGCCAGTTCAATGGCGAGTCAGCCGATGTCCCGTCCCGGAAGCTCTATGAGAGGACCTCCTCCTCCGCGGTCGGCTACGAAGACACCGACAGGTGGTCAAACGAAATACAATACCATCGGAGCGGTGCGAGGCGCTGGCGCCAAGTCGCCCTCCAAGATCCCTGCTCGTGTGCCTCTAAGCAACATGCCCCAGGGCAACAACACACCTGACCGCCGTGTAGGCCCAGGTAACTATTCCTCGAGCACGTTGAATGGCAAGTTCCCGTCGACTCGCATGCCTCCACCAAGGATGAGGGCACTTACTGCTGGAACCCGTGGTGAAGGAGGCAGTCTGTTTGAGCCTCCACGATGTAATAGTGCTCTGTCGAACAGCTTTGTCCGGCCAGTCAGTCCTGACGACTACGACCCCAACCAGAATTCGTTCATCAGCTCCTCCAGTCTCTCTCAGTCTCAAAGGTCGACTGGCTTCTCTCAATCAACCCATTCAACTCACTCATCACTGTCCCTCAACTCGTCCCTGCAAGGATACCCTCGACCAAACCCTTATCTCTCGCACGCACCGCCTCCACCGGCACCTAGACAAGTCTCGAATTCATCGACAGTAATCACTGGAAACTCTGGTGGCTCAGAAAACTGGGAGACCTTCGGTGATGATGACGAGTCGGAGTCTGAACCGGATGCCAGCGAGGTGTACTATGCCAAGCTTCGTGCTGCCCATGGGAAGCGCTTCGCCCCTGAAGAGCTGGCCAGTAAGAAAGCAAAGGGCATTCGGAGTGTCAGTCCAGATGAACCCGTTGCCGCTTATAACAGCCATATGCTTCGAGCGGATGATGAGTGGACCGATGATATGGAGCCTTATTGATTGCTCGTCTTTCTTCCAAGTTATAGAGCTTACGACCACGAGATTACTCGACAATAATGACGATTCTCATGATTGACCTTGACTGCTATTAATCGGAGTTGACATCCTCGCGCTACGCGAATGGTTGAGGTTCAACTGTTTCAACCCGGACGACTGCAAAGCAAGCGCTTCTTTTTCTTTTTATCTTTTTCCTTGGGCAAAAAAAAAATCATTAGCGATCATATGCTGTCCCCCAGCTAATTGTACAGAATCGCGCGCTCCATATAATACTGCGTGTGCGAACTACCTGTCTCTCAGCCGTTGCATTGCAACAGTATGAGACTGACAGATAATAGAGGGACTTTCCTGGTTTCTTGTATTATTCTTTTGTATGTTTGGGTTGGTCTTTTGCTTGTTTATTTTACATTCATTTTTCAGGGTGCTCTTCTGGTTTGAGTATTTGCCATTGTATGAATGGGACGGCATGTTATGCTTTTTATTTGTTTGGATATCAGCGCAGCGTACTTTACTTTATCGAATTCTTTTTTGTTTGCTTTCGTCCACCCATAAATGATAACAGGCTCTAAATTGTAGTACACAAGGCATGTTGATGGCTTATTTATTCTATTGTACAAATATACACCCAGTCGAAGTAGTAGTATGCCGACCTACCTCGGCGCCAGCGACCCCATCCACGCCTTGTCTTGATCCTTTCCCTCGTCACTCTCACCCTTCTCAACCGTCTCTTCCCCCTCCGCTAACTGCATAGTCAACCTTCTACCCTCCTCCAGTCTCTTTACAGACTCCTGACGGCCCAAAATCGCCATCGTCTCCGGAATCCCCGGCCCAGGGGCACCGCCAGACAGCGCCCACCGGAGATAATGATACAGTTCTTTCTTAAAGCGTTTGTCGGTTGCAACGCGCGTTTTCTCAGCATCTTCGGGTTGCAGCTGCTCTTGGTTTGGAGGGGTAGAGACAACAATACCCCCATCATACGAAGAGATATTCGCGCGGTGCGTGTCGACCATCCAATGAGCGTCCGGGACGAGTGATAACGCTGCGGCAGCGGTGTGTAGAGCGCTCATTGGGATTGGTTCTTTTTCGTTGGCGGGCGTTGGGGCGTAGGGTTGTCTGGTGAGAGTAGTTGTGAAGAATGTTGCATTGCGTTGTAGGAACTCGGAGGCCGTGGTGTAGGATTTTGCGTCGGCGTGGAGGATCGGGGTTATGTACTCGGGTATGGGGCGCGATTGGAGGATTGGTTTTCTGATTGTTGTTAGTAAAGTATTAGGGTTGGATTTGGGGGTGTGAGAGGCGTACAGTTGTTCGATGGGTATAATTTCTTGGACGAGGTTGGAGAGGCGGGTTATCATGTCTTGGAAGGTAGGGCTGTTGGTTGCGGCAGCTCGTTGGGCGTGTGCTTTTTGGAGGAACCAGAGCTTTTCGAAGGCGACGGTGGTGTTGCCGCGGGTGATTTTTAGGTTGAACTGAGCAATTAGTATTGCCGGATAGAGCTGTATGTGGGGGGAGGGGACGTACGATTTGCTCCAATTCTTCAAGGTTGAAGACGTCCGACTTCTGGGTATGAGACCAGCCCAGGAGCGCAGCGAAGTTTACCAGTGTCTCTGGGAACAGGCCCTGCTTGTCCTTGAACGATGACAGGTCGATATCGGCATTCCGCTTGCTGAGTTTCTGTCCCGCCTTGTCGACTAGAAGGGGAACGTGGCCGAAGCTCGGAGGCGTCCAGTTGAAGGCGTTATACAAGGCGACGTGCATGGGCGTGGAGGGCATCCATTCCGTGCCGCGGATGACATGGGTAATGTCCATAAGATGGTCATCCACCACGTTAGCAAGGTGATACGTTGGGTGTCCGTCGGACTTGACCAAGATCGGATCATCCCAAACGCGCTCGATCATATCCAATTTGCTTTTGGGGCGGTTCTGTCCTGTCTTACCGTAGACTAGGTCGTTGAACATGGGGTAATCGTTTGCCCGCAATCGAACCACATGTGTCTCATTTTTGGATGCTCGCTCCTCGGATTCGGCTGTGGGGATGTCGGCGCATTGTCTGTCGTATCCTGCGGAGAGACCGGCTGCGTTGCGGTGTCTGGCGAGGGAGTCGAGGCGTTCTGAGGAGCAGAAGCAGCGGTAGGCATGGCCGTTGGAGACTAGGTCGTGGGCGTGTGTTCGGTAGATAGTGGTTCGTTCGGACTGAACATGACATAACGATATCAGCACTGCCCAGAAAAAGCTCTGAATCAAGACTCACCTGTCTGTATGGACCGTAAGGACCTCCAACCGTCGGGCCTGTCCTCCGCATTAGCATGCTTCATTCCTCCGCACCAGCAGCAAACCCACCTTCATCCCAATTCAACCCAGCCCACTGTAAGTCCTCATATAATCGCTGTTCCGCATCAGGAATTGTCCGTTTCTACAACACCGCACGTCAGTATCCGAATTCCCTCCGCAGCTCCGGGCCGCATACCTGATCTGTATCCTCAATCCGCAGCAGAAACTGTCCCCCGGTCCGTTTCGCAAGGAGATAGTTAAATAATGCAGTCCGCAAAGATCCGAGATGAAGATATCCGGTAGGCGACGGCGCAAAACGAGTCCTGGCGGGCGTCTGGGGGAGGTTCTTGGATTTGCTGAGATTCGCGGCGGAGGAGTAGCTGGCTCTGGCTCTGGCTCTGCACCCAGTACAGATCCATGAGTGGCGCGCGAGTAGCCCGGAGGAAGGACGTCTCATGGGGATTTCAGAGAGATAATATACAGTAATATACAAGTTCAATTGAGGGGAGGAGGAAAGGTTGATGTCCGATAGAAATGTGGAGGATCAGCAGAAAAAGGCGGAAAAACTAAAAATTAAAGAAAATAAAAATCTCGGGGCCCGACGAGAAACAACCACTCCTCCCTGTACCAGTTTGCTTTTTTGCTCTTTTTCTTTACATTTCTTCTTTTCTCAGTGATTCTCTGTTCTTGGGGGATTCAGTTTATTCCGTGGTTTTTGAGAGATATTCATACTGTGGTAGTTTGCTGAGCTTGGGCTTTCCCCGCGTTAACCAGTATGTGATTTGCCCATTCGCGCGGGCCTACTTTTTGTTGCTCTACTGACCTTATACCTTCTAGTGGCTGAAGAATTTGACCTCTACGGTAAATCCCACATACTGAACGATATTGACAGTGACGCTAATCGACTGCGCAGAGATCCTAAGCATCACCCGCGACGCAAGCAAGGAAGACGTCCGGAAGGCCTATCGCAAGGTAAGAAGATTGACAACAAGGTCACACAAGGTCAAATCTGATTAAACTCAACAGTCCGCTCTCGCCAGTCACCCCGACAAAGTCCCCGAATCCGAGCGTGAAGAAGCAGAAATCAAGTTCAAGTCCGTCCAAGAAGCCTATGATATCCTTTACGATGATGACAAGCGACACCTCTACGATACCCACGGCATGTCCGCATTCAATGGCTCCGGTGAGCCCGGTATGGGAGCCGGTCCCGACTTGGACGATATCCTTGAGCAGATGTTCGGTATGGGGGGTATGGGCGGAATGGGTGGTATGCCCGGGATGGGAGGCATGGGAGGTATGCCGGGAGGACAGCGCCAAAAGCCGAGACGGACGCCGAATGAGGAACAGAAGTATGAAGTGAACTTGGAGGACTTGTACAAGGGCAAGACGGTGCGGTTTGCGAGCACGAAGAATGTCCTTTGCAGCTTGTGTCATGGCAAGGGTGGGAAGGAGAGAGCGACGGCGAAGAAGTGCGGCACATGCGATGGACACGGTATGTTTTTTTATTGGTGAACAAAAGAATGTTGCTAATACTGGATAGGTTTCAGAGAGGTGTTGCAGCAAATGGGCGGGTTCCTTACGCAGTCATCCGTGCCTTGTACCACTTGCAGTGGAGTGGGCAGCTACTTCAGCCCCAAGGACAAGTGCAAGAAGTGTAAGGGGAAGAAGACGACAGAGGAGAAGAAGATGTTGGAGATTTGGATCCCTCGTGGTGCCAGGTGAGTAACACTTGTATAAGCAAAGGTTGACCAGTACTGACTTTAAACAGAGAGGGAGACAAAATCATCTTGGAAGGCGAAGCCGACCAGAAGCCGGATCAAGAACCTGGTGATATCATCTTCCACATCGTCGAACCCGAACACTCGACCTTCCAACGTGCCGGCGCTGATCTAACCACCACCATCGACGTGACCTTGGCTGAGGCACTCACGGGCTTCTCTCGCGTGGTGGTCAAGCACCTCGACGGTCGCGGTATTGAGATCAGTCACCCCAAGACCCCGGGTAATGTTCTCTCGCCCGGCCAGGTCCTCAAGGTCCCCGGCGAGGGTATGCCGATCAAGCGCAGCGACTCCCGCGGAGATCTGTACCTGGTGGTCAATGTTCAGTTCCCAGACGACAAGTGGAGCCCCAGTCCGGCTGTGTTGGAGAAGCTCCGGGAAATGCTTCCCAAGCCGGGGCCGCACATTGAGGCTAACCCGGTGGATGATGTTGACTATGACCCCAAGGGGAACATGGAACAGTTCGGTAGCAATGATCCTCAAGGGGGATCTGCCTGGGAAGACGACGACGATGATGAGCCTACGACAGCGCAATGCGCAACGCAGTAATTGCATTGGCATGGCATTTCGAAAAGCTTCACTCCTCTCTGGCATTACCGGCGTTTTTGTCCTTTCTTTAGTTTTCTGTTTCAGGGTTTAATGACACTTATGCCAGTATATGCGTTATTGGATGAGAAAAAAAAGGGATTGTTTTATGTTTTCAGGATTAGGATTATATGGGAAGTCAGATAGAGAACAGTGGACACCAGTATATGTCTAGATATCCTCTTAAATAGATACCCTGAATTGTCCTCTATAGAAGGAAAGTCATGTGATATCACCTCCATTACAACAAGATAACTCTAATACTACTACTCTCCAACTAATCCTCCTCAAACCATTCTCAATGGCACAACCAAGCATTCCGCCACATCCGGCTGATTTCGATCCCCTTGAACTAGAAATCCTCAATCGACGGGAGGCGTTTAGTCTTCCACCAAAAGATGTCTGCGATATACTGGTTAAGATTTTCTTCGAGTGGATAGCGCCAATCCTACCTGTGATCAACAGACAAGACTTTATGCGCAAATATCACAGTCTAGATGAAACAGGCCCACCTATTCTGCTACTCCAGGCAATGTTCATGGTCGCTGCCAGGTTCACGGCGAACCAGCAGAGCTCAGATGGCCGGAGTATTTCGCCCCGTGTGTTCTACAAGAAGACGAAGGCGCTTTATAATGCGGGGTATGAGAAGGACTCGGTGACTATTCTCCAGGCTGTCATATTGTTGGGGATGTACTGGGATGGTCCTGATGGTATGTTTTTCTCATGGAACTTAGGGGATTCATATTGACCAACCCAGACCTTACAGAGTGTGGTATTTTCTACTGGAGTCGACTCGGGACTGCTTTGGCACAGGCATATGGAATCCATGATAGGCAAGTATTCTCTCTCTCTGTACTATTGACGATTTCTGACCATAACATAGGGAGATATATACGGATCTCAATCATTCAGAAAAAAGCCTACGAAAACGGATCTGGTGGACGCTATATACGCGTGACCGATCCGTAGCAGCCGCTTTTGGCCGGCCACTGCATATCGATTTAAGTGATTCCACGGTAGATCCACTGACTGAAAGTGACTTCATCGAGCGCGATGAGCAATTGCAGATCGAGTACCCATCTGACAAGACCCAAGCTCGGTTCTTCATTGAATATGTCAAGCTCTGTCAGCTCATGGACTTAGGATTATGCCTTAAGCTATCGTCGAGATCGATACAAGACAATAGACGCGCCGAAGCTGCTCAATGCGAACTGGGATTGAGTGAATGGCTTGCGTTCTGTCCTTTGGAGCTGCAATGGAGACAATCCAGGCATACGTTCTTGTCAGGTGTTCTATTTTCTGCGTTCTAGTGGGTTCAAATCTGTCCTCGTCGAAAATTGAAGGACGGCATGCTGAACGGTATCCAGTACGATAATATGCCAATTGCAGCTGCTGCAGGAACCGGACTCCTCCAATGAATCTCAGAAATCATCATTCCATGCTGCATCAACCGTTATATCAATTCTGGAGACGCTATATTCTCATGGGCAACTTCAATATGCCCCTTCTTTCATGTCTGCCCAGAATATCCTTGTGCCATTTGCATTCAAGTCGAACTAACAGTGATTAGAATCTGCCACGCGGTCGTTTCCTTCGTAACCTTACAACATCAAATGGAAGCATCAGTACCTTCCCTCCTACACGCAATCAGACTTAAACTCGATGCAAACCTCGAAATGCTAGAAGTGTTATCGCAGACATGGCCCATCGCTGGGATGATGCTAGAGCTATTCCAGACCACCGCCACTCCGGCACATTTTGACCGGCTGTTGACAGCAGTAGTAGATGACTGTCACCGTCGCTCTTTGGGAGAGACAAATGACACGAGCAGTGGATCTCGATCGTTTCAAAGATCGAGACTTCGACAGGTCATTCTTCCGCAGAGCAGGGTTGTACTCCAGCTTCTGGCGAGGACCAGCCAGAATCGAATGACTGCGATTTCACGTCCAATTCTGGGCGATGTATATTCGGATGCAGAAGTTGAGAATGAGTCTGCTGGGTTACGTCCAGGGGAAATTCACTTGAACGGGTCTCCGGATGCATTTTCGTCAGCGCTCGAAACAGATCCGTCTGCGATTTTACAGAATCTCCAGGAAATTATCCGTATAGGCAGATCGAACATGCCTAACAATGATCATCACCTGTCTTGATCGTGTGCCCCTTTTTTGTTTCCAATTGCATTCGTGAATGAAGAATGAAACCTCAGGAATCGAGTTTCTGGAAGCCGACCCGAGCTCGGCGACTTCGAGTATGTATACCTCGGCACTCTGCAATGCTCGGTTGTTACATTAAATGGTAAATGGTGGCTTATTGAGGCATATACATGCGTAGAGCTATTCAATATTTTAGATCCATAGCCTCCAGCAGTAATAGGCACAAGTACAGAGTAGTTATTCTATGGAGTACAGACAAGATCTTATCAATCTCCGACAATGCCTCGGCATATCAGTCCTCCGCATCAGCACCTCAAGTATTAAACCCCCCACATATCCTCAAACAATCCTCTTCACCTCACTAGACAAAATGGACAAGAAAATTACGTGTTATCTTGATTGCGTTTCGCCTTATAGCTACCATGCATTTAGCTACCTACAGAAGAACGCCGCTGCTTTAGCGGACCTGGGGGTGGAAATTGAGTACGTATCATCCCAAGTTGTATAACGGGATGTTTATAGCTAATTATATAGGTTTATCCCCGTCTTCCTGGGAGGAATCAATGTTGGAAGTGGTAATAAACCCCCGTGGACTCTCCCTGCCAAATCCGAATACGCCAAGTACGACGGAAAGCGAGCGCAGGAGTATTTCGGGAACCAGTTCGAGGTTCCTCCGTGGTTTCCAATCCTTTCTCTTCTGGTATGTAGTGATTCCTCAGCTGTTAGATCAAGTGACTGACATAGATCGATAGCCCCAACGAGCATTGACCTACACCAAAAAATCAACACCCAAATCCGACTACGAAGCCGCCTACCTCGCCTGTCTTGAGACCATGTGGAAGCGCCAACTCGACATTTCCAAGCCTGAGCATCTCACCACAGCCCTCCGTCGTGTCTTCCCCGAAGAAAAAGTCCAGGAGATTCTCACCGGAGCCTCTAACCCCGAAATTAAAGCAGAACTAACAGCCGTGACGGAGAAAGTGGTCAAAGAGCAAGGTGCTTTCGGGTGTCCGTGGTTCTGGGTGAAAAATGCAGAGGGACAGGAGGAACCGTTCTTTGGGAGTGATCGGTTCCATTATATGTGGAGGTATCTGGGGTTGCCCTTTGAAGACATCAAATTGAAGAGTCGGATCTAAACATGCCGGAGTGCCTCTACAGGCTCGGCTTGCTACTTTCCGGCCCAGGTCCGATTTTGCCGGGTGCGGGTAAACTCCGGCGTGGGGAATGTGGGGGAAATCGGGGCATTTCAGGCTGTTGTGGTTCCGGGGTTTCTTTTTCCTGCTTGGTTTTTGTCGGGTTGTGATTGACTACTTTCTCGTGGTCTGCAGAGTAAATCCCTCAATCTGGTTTTCTGTCTCGGTTCAGCCATTGTACGTGGGGTTGTGTCCGGAGACTGTCCGATTGCGAGGACGCTATATTTAATCTCACTTGCGCCTTTCTTCTTTTATAATTGATTGAATGTTCAATTGCATGCCTCTTCTTTCCCTTTTCCTATACAAGCGCAGTCAAAATGACATGCGCAACTAAAACCTCCTGCGAAGGCTGCTCCTGCAGCAACATCAACACCCCCATCAACATCGAAGATTGCGAATCCGAACTCCTCGCCCTGCGCCAACGCACCCGCGACCTCGAAAAGACCCTATCCTCCGTCACAAAACAAGCCACCCAAACTCCAGCAAAACGCTTCCGCTCCGCCCAATGGTTCGACAACAACGACAACCCGGGTATGACAGCCCTCTATATCGAACGCTACCTAAACTACGGCATGACCCGCGACGAACTCATGTCCTCCAACAAACCCGTGATCGGAATCGCACAGTCCGGCTCTGACCTGAGTCCCTGTAACCGGTACCATTTGGAACTGGCAAAACGGGTGAGGGAGGGAATTCGGAGTGCGGGGGGTATTGCGATGGAGTTCCCGACGCATCCGATTCAGGAGAGTTCGAGACGGCCGACGGCTTGTTTGGATCGGAATTTGATGTATTTGGGGCTTGTGGAGTTGTTGTATGGGTATCCGTTGGATGGGGTTGTTTTGTTGACGGGGTGTGATAAGACGACGCCGGCGGCGTTGATGGCGGCGGGGACTGTGGTGAGTTTTTTTTTTTTTTTTTTTTTTTTTCTTTGCGTGTGATTTGGCTAGGGACGGGAGGTGATGGCTAATTGGGCAGAATATTCCGGCAATTTGTCTGAATGTTGGGCCTATGATGAATGGTTACGTGAAAAGTGAACTGGCCGGGTCCGGCATGGTACTTTGGAAAGGGAGGGAGATGTATGCTGCTGGGGAGATCAATAAGGAGGAGTTTATCGATTATGTTTCCAGAGGGTATGCTGCGTGTTCAGTGTGCTGAAGTGTATGCTAACTCAGACAGTGCACCGTCAGTTGGCCATTGCAACACTATGGGTACGGCATCGACGATGAATGCGCTGGCCGAAGCACTGGGTATGGCGCTTCCCGAATCAGCTGCAATCCCAGCACCATATCGCGAACGAGCGCAATGCGCGTATGAAACCGGTCTACGGATCGTTGAGATGGTCCACTCAGACCGCAAACCCAGCGACATCATGACCCGCGAAGCCTTCGAGAACACCATCGCGGTCAACACGGCCATTGGTGGCAGTACCAACGCACCAATCCATATCAACGCGATTGCAAAACACATCGGAGTCGATGTCTCGCTAGACGACTGGGATCGACTCGGTTTCCACATTCCGCTGCTACTCAACATGCAGCCTGCAGGCGAGTTGCTGGGCGAGGAATACTATCGCGCAGGAGGTCTCCCCGCTATCATGGCCGAGTTACTGGATGCAGGCAAGCTGCACGCCGATGTGCTGACCTGCAATGGTCGCACAGTCACTGATAACGTCCGCGGTCGGCACAGCTGGGACCGGCGCATGATCCGCGCTTACCAGGATCCTTTGGTCGCTGATGCAGGCTTCGTGCATCTGCAGGGTAACCTGTTCGACTCAGCAATCATGAAAACTTGCGTTATCTCGCAAGAATTTCGCGAAAAGTTCCTCGTGAACCCGAACGATCCGAATGCCTTTGAGGGTACTGTAGTCGTCTTCGACGGTCCTGAAGATTACCACCACCGTCTCGAAGACCCCTCCACCCCGATTAACGAATACAGCGTCCTGGTCATGCGTGGCGCAGGACCGCTGGGTTATCCCGGTGCCGCAGAAGTGGTTAACATGCACCCACCAGGCCGTCTGTTGCGACAAGGTGTACACTCACTGCCATGTATTGGCGATGGACGACAATCGGGAACCTCGGGGTCACCGTCAATTCTCAACGCCAGTCCCGAGGCTGCTGCAGGAGGAAATCTGGCACTGCTGCGTGACGGCGACCGGCTGCGTGTCGATCTAAATAAGCGCCGCGTGGACATCCTGTCGGTGTCGGAAGCTGAATTGCGACAGCGGAGGGAAGAATTGTCGATACGAGGAGGGTACGATAACCCCGAGAGTCAGACACCGTGGCAGGAGATGTTCCGGAAAGAAACGGCGCAGCTGAATGAGGGAATGGTGTTGCGCGAGGCTGTCAAGTATCAGCGATTAGCGCAGGGGGGAGAGCCTCGCCATAATCACTAGGGCAAGACCACAGGATTGCGCGATTGACTCTGATTGATAACAAACATGCCTTGCATATTCGGAAGTACTATATATAATAATAATAGCACAATTGTGACGCTGTAACTGCACCAACAGGATAGGGCAGAATCCTGAAACAGCCTAGACTCGCCCGTGACTTCATTTGGTCTGTTCTCGTCAGACCGCCTCAAAATTTTTTCCTCTCTCTCACGCACTTCTTTCATTTCCCTCTCCTTTTTCCTATTTCTTTCTTCTTTCTTCCTGCATATTTCTTTTTCGCTATCATGTCTGTCTATCTCCGTCCATTCAGCTCCCTCGTGGCTCCCATGCGCGTTCTCTGAGGCCTCTCACTCAACCACCGCCGGACTCCTGCATTGCGCTTTGCTACCTTGCAGGCTATCTTGTCGAATTCCCGTGTGACTGAGTGCGATCTGAGCTCATTCTCGGCTCTGATAGCGCAAATATCTCGCGATCTATCGATTTCCTCCTTATTCTCCGGCCCTTGGCGCACAACGCATTGTCTTGGTTGTGTGGTTGTTGTCTGGATTGCGGCAGGCAGACACGGTTACTCTTTCGCATTCCTTTTACTACCCACGGATTTATATTTGAATTCTTCCTCTTTCTCACCATGGATGCCTTTTTATAACACACGCTTCTCGGTTCTTCTTCGCCTGCGCGTTTCTGTTTTGTTTTTTGCGCCAAAAGTTATCTGCGGTTAAGCGTCAAAAGTTCTTCCAGCATTGCATTTCTTTTATTTCACCTAATACTCCTCATTCCTCCTCGATCCTCTACTTGACTTGACTTATTCAAACTACTGCGACCATGTCTCCAAACCTCTTTCTCTGTCTTCGAACCGTCCTCTGCCCCGTCTACTGGTTCCAGCGCGGTGAGCGTATCAACGGTTCCATCCATCGCGAGGAGCACTGGGAATCTCCAGTCCCTGGTATCTACAAATACATCCCCGGCCGCGGCTGGCATCTCATCTACCGCGACGGCAACAAGTACGACGAAAAAGTGCCCGTGCCACTGATCTACTGCCGCATCCTGCACCGCTACATCTTTGAATATGAGATGGAAGAGCGCTGCCGCTGGTACTATGTCTCCCTTGAAGAGGGCGCTGCGCCGGTTAGGCGTCTGTTCTTCCGTCTCGATGACGGATACACTTGGGTGGCTGGATGGGATGCCAAGGGGTGTTTCCTGCCTGGACCGTACGTGAAGTGGTCCTTTGATACTGAGGCCAATACCATGCGTCGTGTTTACGAGCCAGAGAGCTCGAATGTCTCGCGGTGCAGCAGCATCGTGCCGTCGAAATTGAATTGATCGACATAACCTTATTTTACTCTGCAACCTGGCGTTTCCTCGATTCAGCCATCTTGATATCAGCTTTTGCCAGCGATTAAGTCAGCGATCTCGATTTATCCGCACTATACCCGTCACAAGGTGTTCAGCAGGAGTTTCTTTTGTCTTTTCCTTTTTGTTCTTTCATATTGTCTGATTGCCACTCTGTTTTGACACATTGCCATTGTATAAAAGTTCCTAGCGATGGCGTTTTTGGATTTTGCGTTATAGACCTGCTTAAAAGTTGTTTTCTTCAGCGTTGGTGTTTTTTTTGTTCGCTGTTTTGTATAGAGTTAGGACGGTCTGGTACTCGTCATCAATATAATCATCTCTGCTATTCTGTACAAGTGATTTACAACTTCGCCTTGGGTTCCTTTACCAATCCCTCCAGTCCCTTCCGTACACTCCCCTCCATTCCCTCTGCTGCAGGCCTCATCGTCTCCCTCTCCACAAACACATGCGTGTACCCTCCGACAACTTTCACATCGTCCTCCCCCTTCCGGAACACGCCAACTTCATATGTGACACTCGACTTTCCCAGTCTCTCTACACGCAATCCCAACTCAAGCACATCCGGGAACGCAACAGATGCGAAGTAGTCGCAGTACGAAGTCGCAATGATGGCAATCTGCTTCATCGCCGGCCCCGATGAGTCGTCTTTGTTGACGGTGAACGGATCCATTCCGCAGTGGCTGATTAGGTATGTGTTGATTATAGAATCGAACAACATGGTATACACGGTGTTGTTGAGGTGCGCGTACATGTCGTTGTCGAACCTGCACCGGTTAACATACAAGCAATGGAAGTATATCCGAGTGTAGGAGGGTAAGGGGGAGATACCATCTGGTCCGGTATTCTTGGTGGAAGGCATAGTCTGCGCGGCTGCGCGCCTTTTTGGCTGCGAGTTCTTTGGGAGCCATTGCACAGTATATGATAGAACAATTGCGATTTCAATCGCGCAGTAACGTGGTTTATGTACCTCGAATGAATGCGACACGCGGGGAACCCGAACCGAGGCTTATCTCCGCTTACATAAACCTTATGCCTCAGGCAGAACAAATTTTCGATATCCTCAGAAAATACCTTCGCAAACCCCACGAGACACAGTCATAACACCGTCGCACAACTCCCCCATCTCGTCTCCTTAACAAGCAAAAAAAAAAAAAAAAAAAAAAAAACACCACAACGCCATCTCCCCGAATCCTCGCCTATCTCGCCCGGCGAGGTAAACTCCCCCCGACAACCATGTCGCTCACACCCGTCGACGCAACCCTCAAAGCCCCTCCCGCCGATCCAGTCCAGGAACCGCCAAAGGTGGCTATCACGCCGTGTGATCCGTGGCCGGCGCCGTATTACTACGAGGGTGGACTGCGGAGGGTTCAGCCATATCATTATACGTATAATACGTACTGCAAAGAGAGATGGCGGGGGAGGACATTGGTGGAGATTTTTACGTCGGAGTTTAGGGATCGGAGGCCAGAGTATTATGTATGTCTCGGTTTCCTGCGTCTGCTCTAGGGATGGTACTGATTGGTGATAGAGAGAAGCACTGGAGAAGGGATCTGTGACTGTTAACGGCCAAGTCGCCGGCCCCGACACAGTCATTAAGAACGGCCAGGTCATTTCGCACACCCTGCATCGCCACGAACCCCCCGTAACCGCTAACGAGATCGGAATCATCCACGAAAACGATGATATGATCGTCATCGACAAGCCCGCAGGTGTCCCTGTGCACTCTGCGGGACGGTACCACTACAACACCGTCGTCGAGATCATGCGCGCCCAGCGCAGTCCGCATTTCCTTCCTAGGCCGTGCAATCGCTTGGACAGACTTACGTCGGGGGTTATGTTTATCGGGAAACATCCCAAGGGTGCGGAGGCGATGGCGGACAAGTTGAAGCAACGGACTGTGCAGAAGGAGTATGTTGCTCGTGTGAAGGGGAAGTTCCCTGATGGAGTGGTTATTTGCGATCAGCCGGTTATGCAGGTTAGTCCGAAGTTGGGGCTCAATCGTGTTCGCGCGACGGGTAAAGAGGCGAAGACCAAGTTCCGTCGACTTGCGTATTACCCCCCTCAACCTGTCCAGACAGTCGTCGACGAGGCAAATGGCGAACGCGCGGCAACACCACCCCCGGCCCTCTCCAACGAAGATGAAGGCTACAGTATCGTCCACTGTCTCCCGCTCACCGGCCGCACGCACCAAATCCGCGTCCACCTGCAATTCCTCGGCTACCCCATCACCAACGACCCCATCTACTCCAACCGTCGCGTCTTCGGCCCCAACCTCGGCAAGAACGAATCCTCCGCTGACCGCGACGGTGAAATCATCGACCGCCTGTCCACAATGGGCAAGACAGAACTCCCAGACACAGTCCACTCATACCGCACGCATCTCACCGCCGCGCCAGACCTCCCACCAGGCACAGACCCTAAATTAGTCAACGAGATCATGACCCGCGAACACGAAGAAGCATCGATAAAATACCTCCGCCGCAAAGGCGAAATGCTCTCCGGCAGAACTTGCGAAATCTGCGGAACAGAACTATACAGCGACCCCGGCGTCCACGAACTTGGTATCTTCCTGCATGCAGTCGCATACGCTGATCTCGAGGGTGACTGGAAGTATCGTTCTAAGATGCCATCCTGGGCTCTTCCGCCTGGTGGATCTGAAGGGCCGCAGGAGGCTCCGGATTGGGTGTTTGGGCCGGAGAGTGAGGAGGTAGTTTTTGGGTATGGGGTTGTGCCTGAGAGTTTGGATGATGAGCCTAAGGGGCAGGGTGGGAAGGATGGGATAGTTAAGGGGAAACAGGGCGTGCCTAGTCTTATAAGGGGTGTTGGGATGGTTGATGTTGAGAAGGAAGGGTTGCCGGAGACTTGATTTGGATTTGGGTTTGCTTGAATATAAAAGTTTTGCATTGCAGATATAGAGATATCCATAGATACTTTGATGTGATGATGAATTGAACGATACACATATCTCATTCCTATCCATTGCAATTGTTGGGGTCGATGTTTTCAATTACGACTAGGAATCAGGGATGATGCCTTGACCGCAAAGACCGCATTCTTTTGAGGTGAATGTAGGCGTTGCTTTCACAGTGGAAGGGGTTGGTTTCTTTGGTTGGGTCTGGGTGTGGTACTTGTTTGCTGTTAGTTGGGGTCTGGGGAGTGAGGGTGGGAATATATAATGCAAACATACTACTTTCAGCATATATGGATTGTTGTTGAATAGGACGTGGAAGACGCTGGATGCATCAGATTTTTTTTTTTTTTTTTTTTTTTTATGAGGTTGGGGAAGGTGATGTCGTCTAGGCTTAGCGGCATTTTGGTAGTGGTTTTGAGATGTGCATTAAAGAAGGCTGCACTGGGTCGAAAGACGGTGTATTATGCATGTTTACTGACGGAAGCCAATAAATAGGACAAAGCGATGCTACTTTATACAACAGATTTCTTCATTTATTTGATTGATGCATCGTCTGTCATGTGAGCAAATGAAAGAGGCCTATGTGACCAAGGAATCGTCCCCGATCTCCTAGGTATAATCACCCAAGTCAACCCCAATCATCCTACATGGGCACCGCACCTCAAGCCTTTCCTAGAGGACAAGCAATCCCCAAATGCCATTCTCATGGAATACATCCCCAACCTCCACCAAATAGACCTTAGCAACTACACCAAAGACCGGGGTGTGGCTCTTCAGGAAGTCTTACACAAGATACATAGTGTGCATGTATGCCAGGGTGATCCGTATCCTCGGAATATGATGGTTCAGGAAGAAACGGGTCGGGTGCTTTGGATTGATTGACCGCGCGCAGACGTTTCCTTATGGGCCTGTCATGTTGAGGCATTATGATTCACTTGTCATGGATGTTGGGTTGACGGAACAGTTGATGGAGGAGTTGGAGGAGGATATGAAGGAGTGGAAGCTTGTGAAGGCTTGGGATTTTTATTATCACTATTCGTGATTTGGAGACATGGTCAGTGGAAGGGATAGACTGGCTTTGCGCGGATCGTATAGATAGATAGCTACGCATATAGATCGCGACAAGTAGCGCAGTGGACAGACGAATCTCTTGATATCAAAATCCAATTGACATTTCCATTCCTTTGTCGCGCCATACTGGTCACATGTTTAAGTTGGACACCATGGATGCGTATCTCACACGAGAAAAAGAAAGAGGAATGGATATTTGGCTTCCACACGACCGTACAAAAATGGAAAAAATAGATTGAGATAAAAAAACACCCGACCAGTACCCTTTATCACTAGCGACCCGTGTGATCCGTCCCGGAAACCGCTTTCCTTTTTCTCTTTCTCGCGCTTTTCTAATTTTTCATTTTGTCGTTCGTCACAGGGGAATAATTTAAGCCTCAGTGGTGACACGGCCCTTGGGGTTGGTGACCTTGACACCGAGAGCCTTGGCCTTGGTGAGGATGTCGACACGCTTGCGGGAGGAGACAGCGTGAGCGATCCTACATTCGTATTAGTATCGAGATGTTGCGTTGCTCATCATCACCGGTGGACATACTCAGCGGCGTAGGTACGGTTGTGCATGAGCAGAAGCTCAACGTCCCGGGGGTTGTGGACGAGGAAGGCCTTGTGGCCAGAGGGCATCATGTGCTTGGTCTTCTTGTTGGAACCGTATCCGATCTATCCATCACATCACATATCAGTATTCGTGTTCGGTGTTCGTAAGGATTTTTCCGGGTGAATCGTACCGAGGGCATCGGAAGGTTGCTCTTGAAGCGTCTACGGACGCGGTTGTCGATACCCTTGGGCTTGCGCCATGACGAAGGAACACACTTAAAGCGGTCGGACTGGTGGCGCCAGAAGGTCTTGGTGCCTGTGAATTGTCAGTTGTCGGTCGTGTTTTCGTGTGTGATCGTCCAGCTATCGATTGTCCATGTCGCTTTTTTCCTCCACCCCGCCTGGATCCAATTGAACGCAAATTCTGCATTCTATCGTAACGCCGTAACCCCGTACTCAAATCGGTTCAAACCAATTTTCCCCCTAAACCGATGGACTCCGATGGACAAAAAACCGATAGACTCAAATCGGAATGTGCTCGGGCAGGAATTCAGGATCACATACGCTTCTTGACGATAGGGACGTGCTTCTTTGCGAGGACCATCTTCTCAAATTATTAGTATTTCCTTCTACCCCAATTCACATAAAAAAGAACATACCTTGCCGGTGTTGTAGGGTCTCGCTGGCTGGGCGTTCGAGAGTTGTCGTGACGGTTCGAAATCTTCCTCAAAATTTCGCGCGGGAGGTTTGGCCGAGCCCAGTTGGAGCGAGTCTGAGTGGCCCGCCGCGCTAGTGGCTCGCTAAGCGATGCCGTTTCCCGATCGGGATTTTAGGGCTGGGGCGGGAAGCCCTGCCAAGGCACGTGATTGGTTGATTTCCGTTTTGGGAATGCATACATCATCTGTCTATGGAGTGTCTTGTCTAATGCCACACTTGATACTCTAATGTCATCTTCCCGCCGCCGCGTTCACTGCTCTGGATCATCTTCTCCATGACTTCCAGGTCTGCTAATGCCTCCTCGGGTGACATTGACTGGTGCACCACTCCGCTCTTCTCCAGAATCGAATAGGCAAAGATACGGATCTCACTTGTGACACCCCGGCCGTTGAAAGCGATTTCCCCTTGATTTGTGAGAGTATCACCATCAAGCGTGATTGGACTCGAACCATAATTGAATTCGTAGATCTGGTCGTTCGACTCCGATCCATACGACAATGATAAGGTCCCTTGTGTTCCGTTCTTGGTCCCTAAGGTCGCTTGAATTGTATCAATAGGCGCAAGATGTGGTTGTCGCAGACTGCACTGCGCCGAAACCTCAGTCAGGGGATGAGCATGGGCAGTTTCATTGAGGATTAGGCGTATAGCGGCGATAACATGGACACCGCCATCTAAGAGGAACCCGCCTTGGTAATCAGAATGTCTGCGCCACTCCGTTTCTGTGATGTTGTTGTTATCAACTTTGCCTAAACGAGAAATGATTCTAAACTTACTGTGATATTTGGAGTCAGGCTTTATCATGCTGTGCACCTTCACCCGGAAGCTATCCAGGCCATGGAGCCCGACCTCAGCCGCCGTTTTCTTGTATTTGTCCATCCATCGCCAGTTCTCTCCCACAGCCCATAGAATCTTCCGATCAGGACCTGTCTGGGAGCGATACCATCTTATCAAATCAATAGCTGTAGCAACGTCTTTGGCAATAGGTTTCTCGGAGAAAACATGTTTCCCCGCCTGGATAGCCAATCGAATATACTCCGGCTGGATCGTAATCGGGAGACTTCATGGATTAGCGACTGTCAAAACACTGGAAAATGGCAGGCATACGCAATAGTCACAGCCATGATATCGTCACGGGCAAGCAAGTCTTTATACCCCTTCCCCGGGCCCGAGTCATCAGAGTAAATATCGACATCTGGAACTTTTCCATATTCTCTTTTTATCTTCTCCACTGTAGCTGGGATACCCTCTGCCAGTTTCTCGGCTGATTGCAGAGAGCGGGAGTAGACGGCTTTGAGGACGCAGCCCCAACCACTGGAGTCTATGATAGATGGCTGATAATGACATCGTTAGATGTAAAGAATAAACGAGAGGTTCTGGTTTTGGATGTTTGTTTGCGTACCAGGTGTTCCTCGCGGGCAAAGTTCCCTGATATATGTATTAGCATTGGTTTGTTTCTCCTTCTCTGATTGAGATACGTACCGCTGCCTATAATGGCCATGCCAATCTTAAAGTCATGCTGCATGATGGCTACAAGTTAAACTGTTCTGTAGGATGTAAATGATGACGGATGGAGAAGGGCACGATAGAAACTAACGTCTCTTATCAGAATCCGGGGTCAGGTGGGGTCCCGTGATCTGTCAAAAAATCGTGCATATCAGAGAATTAACTATGAATTGATGAGTAGATTGTCTGTACTATATACTTGTAGATCAAAAGAAATAATTCAATCAATGGGAATCAATCTGGGTGTAGTATACATGTAAACAAATACCAAATATCAGAATATGCTGAAACCACAATCTGCGCCAGTAACAAAGTGTTAAACAAGAAAAGAGCAAATTAGATAAAACAATAAACACGATGCGCCTGTTCCCTGAATATGCTGATCGTATCGTTCATCGCGCCGTGACCCATCAAAACAATTTGGTTTCATGTCCCATGTCGAGAAAAATAAGCGTAGAGGGGTATATATGTAATCGATGCAACCAATGCAAACTGGGACATGTCAAAGAGAGAAAAGAAAGTAGAGGAGGGTGGGGGGCAAAAGGAGAGAGCTATCCGACCATAGCCCTCAGCCTCTCCACCCTCTGCATCGCCTTTTCCAACCGATCAAGCCGTGTCCGCTTCTCAACATCTCTTCGTTCCAACACCGCAACCCGTTCCTCCAACCGTGCGCGTGCTTTCCGCTCTTGCGCTACCATTTCATTCGCCTGACTGAACAATTGTGCCGTCAAATCTTCCAGTTCCGTAGCCGCCTGCGACAATTGGTTCTCCGCCGCCTTGCGCAAGTTTTGTTCCCGACTGAGCGCGTTCTGCAATTGGATTGTTTCTTCGGGATCGGGGCCAGGATACGGGGGGATAACGTGGGATTGAGTTTGTGGCGGCGCTGAAGCTGGTGGAGGCGGAGGCGTAGGTGTAGCGCTAGGACGACGACCGTACGGGAAGAAGGACGTTAGCGCGGTAAAACGGCTCTGTTGTTGTTGCGGTTGTGGCTGTACGGGGCCATTGGACGCTGGGAGTTGGGTTGGTGATAGCGATTTATCCATGTCGTCGGATGATCGAGAGGATCGCGATGTTCGCGGTGTGTAGGCGCTGGCTTGGGAGCGTAGTCGGCGGACTTCTTCGTCGTACTCGGCGAGTTTTTCGACTGTCCAACCCGCATGAATATGATTGTAGATAGGATTAAAGAGAGGTTTGGACTCACCCGACCCCGTATTTTGTAATTTGAGAAATTGAACCTGCGCTTCTAACTCCTTGATTCTCCGCTGGGCCTCTTCGGCCGCCATTTCGCCTTGCGACAGGACTCCCTCGTGACCACAATGCTTCTCAGAAGCTGTAATATCAGTAGGCATGCCGATAAGCGTCGTATTAAGGGCAGTGGTGGTCGTGGTTGTCGTTGTTGACATGGTTGTTATGCTGGCGGAGGGGGGAATTAAAAGGATTCTTGGTCGGGCAGAACCACGGAACGGCCCTGGTTACTGCCGGTTGGATGGAGGTTGGATTAGTATTTGAAGGCTGGTCACTATTTCAAAATCACAGAGAAGAGAGAACCAGAGAGGATAAGAAGGGAAGAAAGGGAAGATGTAAGGATGTCTGACAGCCCGGGGAGGCTGACAAGAGTACCGTCGGGGATGGAGATGGCGGGTCTAGTGGGCATAATAATAGTGCTGCTATTCTTGTAGACATATGTTATTATTTGGATTCTGGCATTTATTATGAGACAGTCTCCTGAATTGTTCCTTAATCTTCCATTCTTTATGGCTATTCTTTATAGCCTTTACTAGTAAAAAAGAAATGTCCGACACGTGTGGATCGCGCCGTTGCTGCTACTGTATGATAATGCATCTATACAATGCTGATGTGACGAGTCATCTGACAGTAGTATTGTATCCATTCTGCAGTATTGTCATCATATCATAGCCTCATAATTCGTATTCCGTAGGGATATAAACGGGCTATTATATCAAAGCCGCCCTGCGAAAGTCTCCCGACTATTTATCGACATCGGCCCTGTATATATTCCCACACAACCCCAGCCACGCCAACCACACAAAGGACAAGACCCTTTGTCCCCGAAAAACCCCTTGCAGCATATATTCTCCCTCGATTAAGTTTATCTGATCCCGATCGTGCCTCACATATGTCGCAGGACAAGCGCTGTCGCAATCTGAAACCCAGCCTCCGCATACGCGCGGTTGGTGGATACTATCACTTCCAATCGCCTGCAATATCGCCTAGATGAAAGCCTTGTGAAGATCACTAACCTGGAATTGGCGCAATTTACGACCTCCCAAGTCCCTTCCACCCATACACCCCCAGAAAAACCATAGCAGTCACCCCACTCATAACCCCAAACACACTAACCATCGTCTGCCATCCGTTATTTTCGACCAGGAAACCAGCAAGCAATGGCCCTAGCACTTGTCCGCCCGACCAGGCTACATTATACAATCCATATGCTTGAGCTGTACCGCCCTGATGTCCAAATAGACCGGGGTGCTCGCTTTCAATGCTCTCGACAATGTAATGCACTTCGACCATGAGAGAGACCATTTGCAGGACACTGGCAAGACCGGCGAAGAAGAGGAAAACTACCAGGAAGACTTTGTCGTGAGCGCTGTTTGTGGTTATAATTCGTAGGAGGACGAAAATGGGGAAGCTTATAAGGAAGCCCAGGACAGCGATTGTTCGTGCGCCGTAGCGGTCGACGGCACCGCCTATCACGGCTGAAAGGAAAGATGGTGTGAATAGAGGAAGAAAGCAGAGACCGACACCTAGCGGGCCCCAGTCGAATGTTCTCATGATATGGAGGGGAAGGACCTGAGATGTTAGCCAGGCAATCAACAACAGCAGCAGGCTATACATACCGAGTCAAAAGACGCATATAAACTGGCATTCACGACTGTCGCTGCGAAAACGAGAAGCAAATTGCCCGAACACATCAACCGCACCATTCCCGGCAACGGTGATGATTTCGCATTCACAGGCTCACCACCATCTCTGATAAGATCCTCGCAAGACTCAGATGGCGATGGTGCATCATCTCCAAAAGATTCATACTCGGAACCAGCACCGATTAATGCGTCCGTCTCTGCCACCAACTGTGGTTGAATCCACTTCCTCGCACTCCTCTGCTCAATCATCACCAATCTCAGCAGAATATCAATCCCAACCAACGCAATCGCAACCGCAAACACAGCATGATAACTCGCGCGAGACAGCCTACTCCCATTAGCCATCCCCATATAAGCCCATATAACCCCAGTTACGGTGAGAACTTACAAAATCCCACCCATAAATGGCCCAAACACAGTCCCGACCGTCATCCCCATACTAACCCACCCCATAGCACCCCCAACCTGCTCCTTCCCCACCGTATCAACAACAAGCGCAAGTCCAACCGTCCACACCACTGCAGCGGATAAGCCCTGCAGGACCCGCGCGATGACTAGGGATGCAATGGTGCGGGCGAACCAGAACATCACTGTTGAGCCGGCGAGGGAGAGCAGGCCGATTATGAAGGGGGATTTGCGCGATGTGCCTTTATCGGCGAAGTAGCCGGATATTGCTGTGCTTGTTAGGTTTGGTTGCGATGGGTGTATGGGAGGGGTAAGGTGGACTTACGAGAGCCGATGAAGATGGCGCAGCCGAATGCTGCGAGGAGGATGGACATCCATCTTTGTACTGTTGGTTAGGGTAAGTTATCTATCTTGTATGACATAGAGAAGGACGCATACACTGTTCATCCGGGATCCCAATACGAGTCTTCAGCACAACCGGTAGAATAGGCACGACCTATATAGTCAGCCTGCGCCATACTGCTATGATAGAAGCGAGAACGCAATCTCACCATACCATAGATAAAAACATCCTAAACACACATTAGCCCCGCTCAAACACAGTCCCTGGACTACAGGTATACCGTAAAAACCCCAACCGAAACGACCCAAATCACAAACCTCTTCGACGAGCGAAACTCTAGCTTCCACGGCCTTGTAGGGTCATTGCCGCAACTCTCCATTTTGCATCTATACACACACACACACACACACACACAGAGAGAGAGAGAGAGAGAGAGAGCCTGTATCCCAGGTTCCTGTATCTGCCCCGCACACAAGAGGCACAGGTTCACAGTAAAAAAGTAAAAATAAAGTTATAAATGCGGTGCCCGCGGGCTCCATTTATCTCTACAGTACAGAATACTGGTTCAGCTCAGCGCAGCCCCTCCCCCGTCAGCCCCGGTGAATCAATTGGTCTGGTGGCTATTGGTCTCAGCCCCGGACAAGGATGCCTTCAAGTATCTGTACTCTTGCTTCTCTTTCTAATGCTTATTTGCCATGTGAAAAAGCTGAAGATCTGCTGATAGATGACTAATCTTCGTCAGTAACTAACTAGTTATATCCGTCGATCCGTCTGTACATGGTGCATAGTAGCCCTGCAGCGATCACGATGCAGGGACTTGTGCACACGTTCATCCTATATTATACGTTATATGTAAGATGCTACGACGGACATGTACAGAGTAGAAACGGTAACATTTATTGCATGCTGTCTCGTCAACAGGAAGGACATGGAACAAGAACAATTAGGACTCCACACGCCATCTCCCATCCCGAACATGACAAGACAGACAACCGAAAAGGAAAAAAAAGACAAAGGAGATAAATTGACAGCTGTGAAACGGACAAAATCTCATAAGACAACATAGAATACGAGTTCCTCCATCACATCGGCCATAATGGTCGTCAAGTGCATACATAACATCGAGAGAGCTAGGGTCAGAAACACTCAAACACAAAAGAGAATAAATGAGAAACTTTTCGACGTGCCCGGAACTGTAGCAAAGGATTAAAATCATCCCCAGCCCAGCAAGAGAATCGTGAACCAAGACAAGGTCGGAGAATCAGAGAAGAGCGCAGATGATCGGAAATTTGAACAAATAGCCACCAACATTAACCAAAACCTCTCCGCCATCGCAGATAGCAAGAGCTTTTCGGAAAAAGCACCCCGGACGATAAAAGAAAAACAGTCAAAGTGTTTTCCCCGCGTTCTGGAATCAAATGGCGACACTGTTCAGGGTATCGAAAAAGTCAAGGAAATGAATAGATCTATGCATGTGCGCGACCTCCACGGCGGTTACTGCGCTGCCGCGCGCTAACGGTGCTCCAGCCCTCGTCCTCACCAGCAGCTTCGGCCTCGGCCGGTCCGCTTCTCCAGTTGCCGTTGGATTGAGCGGCAGGAGCCTCCTGCGGTGCAGTAGTAGCCTTGGCAGCTTCCTCCGCGGGTTCCTGGTCAGCGGCCATTCCACTCTCTTCCTCACCGGTACGTCGGAGGATGTCAAAGTTCTTGCCACCCTGAGGCACGTCACCACCCTCCTTTTCGTTCGATTCGGGCTTCTCAGCCTTGGCCTGCTCCTTAGAAGCGCGCTGCTTCTCCGCCTTCTCAGCTTTCTCCGCCTTGGTCTTATCATCTGCTTCCTTCTTCTGGCGAAGCGTAACCTGGCGGCGCTCCTCCACTTGCTTCTCGCGAGTAGCAGTGTCGATTGGCTTCGCACCACCAAATGGACTTGCCTTCGATTCGGTGCCGGAAGCGGGGCTGAGGACTTCCTGCGTAACGGTACGCTTCTGAAGGTTCAACCTGGGACGACTGGCAGGGGCCGCAGGGGCCGCAGGAGCAGCTGCGGGAGACGCAGGAGTAGCAGCAGGCGAAGGGGGGTTGCTGGTTTGCGCGTCGGGCCGCATCTTCGATCTCCACGAGTTGTCAAGTTCGGCCGCAGTGGGAGTACGTTCTTGGAGTTCACGGCGCGGGGGTCTGGAGCCCTCCTGAGAGCGTCCTTCGCCCCAAGCGGGGGCAGGCGAGCTTCGACGGCCGCCCTCCCTAGGTGCAGGAGCACCACCAACGGGAGAAAGAGGGCCCTTGCGCTCCCAGTTGCCGAAGTCGCGAGGCTTGCCGTCAGATTCAAAGTTGCGGCGGGATGGACGGTCGCTGCCAGCGTCGGAAACGTTGTCCAAGGCGCGTCCAAATGTGGAGCGGTCAGGAACACGGCGTTGAGCGGGCTCTGGGGCGGGGAGAGGGCCCCTGCGGGTCCAGTCAAACTCCTTGACATCACGTTCCTTGGCTATCCGTGCTGTCAGTATGCAAAGATTCTTCAAAAAAAAAAAAAAAAGCAAACCGAAGATACATACGAGGCTCCGCAATGCTGACTCGGATCGATCTGCCCTGGAGAGTAGCACCAGAAAGGTCCAAGGCCTTCTTCAAACCATCGACGGTGTCGAATTCGACGTAACCAAATCCCTTAGGGCTCTTTGTCAATTTATCCTCCACAACACGGACGTTGGTCACATCGCAACCCGCGAAGAGATCCTCAACATCGGCGGAGGTCGCATCGAAGGAAAGGTTGCCGATGTGCGCAGTGTACGGAGGCTGGGTAGGGAGAGGAAGAGGCTCTCTAATCGCGAAAGGGCGGTCTATTCAAAATTTTATCAGTCAGCCAATGCCGTTTCATGGGGACGGTTGGGGAAGTCTCATACCAGAATAGCCGTTGAAACCCGTAGCAGACGCAGACGGAGCCGGGCGAGTGCCCATGGACGGAACGGCTATATAAACCATTTAGATCGGAACTTTCAACAAAAGATAAGGGGTGGGAAGAGGGGCGGATCAAACATACAGGCTGCAGATTATCACTGTCAGCAACTATCATCACATTTCAATACATCGTTGTGGATGTGACTTACCAGGCAAAGGGAGATCGTCCATTTCATCGGCCCAAGAGCCAAGGGCTAAAATAGTCAGCACCGACATTCTGTCTCATTCAGTCTCGCGGGAAACTTTTTTTTATTTTTATTTTTTTTTAATTTTTTTTTTTCTCACTTACTCTCATCGGCCAAGAAAGTCCCTATGGACATCTTCTGGGCCTTCTGCTTGGGAGGCGCTATAACCAAACCAGTCAGTACTGTCTATTCATCGCATACCGGCCTAGACATAGGGGTGGGATAGACGTACCCATATTTGTAGCTGTTGGATGGGAATCTGGACTGCGCCGGAGATTCTTTGTGCGCGTCTCGTTCAGACGCAAGAGGGTTGGAAACTAGTGTAAAAAGCGACTCCCGAGAAGGAAGACGGCTAGAATAATTTCAGAAAGTGAAGTTCTGGTGAAATTTGGAAAGACGACGATGCGCAGAGCAAAGGAAAAGTAGAGAAAGTTGGACGAAGGCAGACAGAGGGGTGCAGATTGGTTGGCCGCTTATGTAAGCCGGGTATAATTTTTGAATGTATGATGTTACGGTTGGTGCGATAGGGCTTGAGTTGTATACCAGCTCTTTAGTATAGAGGAAATAAAAATTACTATTGATACTTTGTATATTCTTCTATAGTCTCTGTTTCGAGGCACAGAATGCCAGTTGTTGGCGTGGTCGATGTGGTGGTGCTCACCAATGACGGGCCATTTAACCGACATAGGAACACCAGAGAAAATGTACGGCAGTTGATAGATACATATGCATGCTTATAAACAAGGACTGACAGATTAGAGAGCCTTATTGGCCTTACATGACATGCTGCTTGAATCCTGCTCAACCCAATGTTTTATTCTCCGTTTTGGATTTAGCGAACCAGAGCATAATAGGATTGCTGTACTATTAACCATAACTTCCTAGCTTAGGCTGTATAACAGTTTTTTTATGTGTAATTCCAATTGACAGCACCAAGAATGAAGACATTTTCATCTTTCTTTTCTTTCTCCTTTTTACCGGCAATGTAGAAGTACCCAACATGCCTGCCAAATCCGATATCTTACTAATAACACGTGATCTCACGTGCACTTTTTATATCGCGAAAAAGGACTTCAACGTCCAGCAAAGAACCGATGTCTTCGACAGGGGATGTAATCCAACAATCACAAGATGAGTGGAAAGCAGAATCAGAATGCCAATCTTGAAGATGCTTTGTTGTCATCATTGAAAGTGGGAGCCGTGAGTGGTTAGTTTCTCATCCCTCTATCCGGTGCTCTGGGAGGCCTATCTATATATAGAGGCCATGCTTACTTGTGTAGGCTGCACTGGTCTTGTCTATGGAGGCGCCGCTGGTGTTGTTCGCTCTCCGCATCCAGTGATTCATTCCATTTCATGTGGTATTCATTGGTTTGCCTGCGGGACTACGTTCTGGTGTGAGTATCTTTTCCATATTTGTTACCTGAACAGTTACTAAACTCTAACAGGGCTGAGGAGTAATATCCTAAACATGCACTATGAAGACAAGGCCACCCCGAAACAAAGGTCATATGTCAGCGCTCTTTCCGGCGGGATTGCCGGAGGAGGAGTGACCAGACTGATGGGTATGCTTCTAGAACGATCAATCTTATTGGGACGAGAGAGGCTGATAGAGAATCAACAGGAGGCCGTCTACTCCCAGGAACCATCGTATTTTCACTACTAGGTTTTGTCGGCCAAAGCGCCTTCAACGCAATTGACACGTGGCAGATGGAGCAGGCAAATGTTCCATCAAAACCGTTTCTCCAGCGACTGGCGGACTCGAAGTGGGTTCCTTTGAGGTCACTATCAGATGACGATTACCGGGGAATGTTGAATGAGAAAGTGCTAAGCATTGAGGCGGAAGTCGCACTCCTTGACGAGAAGATTCAAGAACTGGAAAAGGCCAAGGCTGTTGGGACAGAGGGTGTGTCGAAAACGCGGGGTACTTAGACGGACGTTGATACATCAAGAACTTGGATATGGTGGTTAGTGACCCTATATACAAACCGGGGAAATATCTTGTCTGACGGCATGGGTCTAGCAGAAACTCGCAGGTGTATATTATATTAATGACGATAGTGACTAACGATGACTAGATGTACAATAATAGATGGAAATCCTGAAGATTATTTTTAGTCAAGTAGTCGAATCGACCACTACCCCTCCAAAAGGCCGATTGCATCCTCTATCTTGGATTGGATAATGTTTAACCATTCCTAATCCTCTACCAGCACTGGTCTTTTCTCGATTAGTGGACTCACTCACCTCAGCCTCATCCAAACCCCCCGACTCGACGTTGTTTGCCAGCTCCGGAAACCCAGGCTGATTGACCTTGTACGAGCTATCCTGGAAGACGATGCTCTTGTCACTCTGCTGCACCCCGTTGCCCTCTCCATTGTAGAATTGACGCTCAAACATGCGGTACTTGGCATTCACGGTTTTCACTTCGTGGTCGAATGCCATTCTGCCTGATTCCCGAAGCTCCACGGCGAGCGTATCAAACTTCACAGCGGCAGAATGGAGATGTGACAGATCATCGTATAATGTTTCAAAACTGAGCCTAGACCCCAAAGTTTCATCTGCTTGCTCCTCAATAAGGCTGATGTACTGGCGCAGGGTGACTGCATACTCGGCCACATTGAACGGATGCACGGGACTTTCTACCAGCCGTGCCGCGAGCAAAGCCCAAACCCGCGCAGCCGCCATGTGATATTGAAATCCGGGGTCTCCAAATCTGTCCATCCAGGCCACCGTGTCGAAGCTGCTATGCCAATGGAACACAGGATCGTGGTCTCCCTGCTCGAAGCCGAAGTCACTTGTGGTGATGCACTGGCGCACAAACATCGAAGCGTCACCGCCGCCCTGTGGCCCCCAACGAGCCACCCCAGAGGTCCAGCACCGATTGGCCTGGAATAGTATGATTGGGAGATGGGATCTGAGATGTGACTTTACGGAATAGTGAGCCCAGGAGAGGACTGGCTTTGGTGAAGTATTGGTGGCCTGAGACGGCATTTGGTGCTTCCACGTAGGCTACTATTCGGTTGGACAGCCACGGGAGATTCTCCTGCACCCACAGCATGGAGCCTCAGAAACCCATCTTGTAGCTGTCCCAAATAATGGAGATAAGGGTCCGGAGGGGCCGCCAGCCAAGCTGGACAGCTAGGCCGAAGCCGCGGACAAGCTCGCTCAGGATTGCGGAACCGCTATTTGGGTCTGCAGCGCCAGCACCCCATGCATCGCGGTGGTTGCCGATGATCACTACTTCATCTTCAATATTACCATTGATTGTGCCGACCACGTCGTAGGCGATGGCCTGGGTCTCTTCCATTTCGATATGCATATTCAGGACAATATTGGACGGTGTGGGACCCACGTTATATTCGACACCACTGTAGCCCAGTCGGCCGCCCTTCCACAAGTCTCCTAATTCGTCAGCTCGCGGTCCGTGGTCGTTGAGAGCTTGCAAGATTGGGATTGCGTCTGTGTATGAGATGGGCAGTACTGGCACTGGACCGGGGGATGATGCATTCGGATCTGATCCTGCCAGAGGAGAGACTCAAATCAACAGGGACAGGAAATAATTACAGGTGTGAGGTCCACTCTGCCGAAAGACACTTAATGGAGCTCGAGCCGGGCCATCTGGGTACGGCAGATAACCGTTGCCTTCAGTAAATTCGCCATCCTGCTGGGGATCCGGAGAGGTGATATACCCCGCAAGGCCCGTTTTGAGAAAATTATCGCCGAGAAGGCGACCTTGTGCCTTGCCGGCCTTGATAAGAACCAATTTCCCAATGACGCCGACGTTTGCGCGGGCCAGATCTCCAAAGTCCTCCTCGGTTCCAAAGTTCGCATACACTACAGACGCGTTGAGGTTGCAGCTCGGCGAAAAGCTGAAAAATGGGGACACGATCACGACCTCTCCGCTTACAGGATTCACATCCGTGGAGTTCTCGACGAGACCCGCCTCGTAGATCACACGTCCTCCAGAATCCTGACTGAGCATAGCAAAACGACTGTACTTGGGCACGGTAAAGGGGTTCCCCGGGTTGTCGACAGGGTAGTCTTTGATAGACGCGCCGACGCCGAATTCCTGCCATTTGCTCTGGGTCCAGAGACCTTGGGGAAGGCCAAGGCTCAGGTAATGCGGCTGGGAGGTGTATTAGATGCTCCATTCCCGGGTTTTGGCGGGGTCTGGGACGTTGAGTAGGAATTTTTCGAGGGCGAAAAGCTCATCTCAGGGAAGCTGTGCTCGGTATGAGCGGCGCGCCAATTGAGGGTTCTCAAAAGACCGCGTGGGATGATAGTATAGGGATAGCCAGAATAAACATACGACGCAGGAAGATGCGAGGATGGCCTTTAGCCTGTTGCCCCAGGAGGCAGCATCGAGGACGCGTTTCATCGTGGTGCAGGAGGTTGAATGTCGACCAGCCAAGATGAGAATCCAAGGCTACACACATATACATGAGCGGATGTATATACATATATCTACCCAGGGGTATACATTTTCTTTTGTTTTTCGAGGAATTTGGCAAATATCACATTGATCTGCTCAGCTGGAGAGATCCACACCGAGGATCGACAGCTATCACCGTGTTGAGTTAGTCTAATTACTAGTGGAGATCAAATGTGACATCTGGGTCACACAGAATACGATAAAACGACACCGACTATACAAGTATATTCAGCTGCAGCCAGTCATGGAGTAGACATGGTGACATTATGGGCAAGGAAACAGGGATCTGGCCTGTATATTCAGTGATGGGTAAGTTAGTCAGGTATCACGCGAGGCCATGTACGGGGACTGTGTATTTAAATAATCACCAGATAGAGCATCATTGTTGAGCGTTGCATCCTCTCCTGCTAAATTGTTTCATTTACAATTAAGATGCAGCGACTTGCTCGCTCCCTCTTTACGTCCGGTGCCCGGGCTGCAAAGAGCGTTAATGCTCCTATCAGTAAGTCCATCGAGACCGGAGACTTCGCAGATTCATATGCATTGACATACTGACTAATTGATAAACAGGAGATCAAAACATCTCCGACCTAGTTCCTCTTATCAACGTCTCAAGCCTAGAGTATGCCTCTCAAGCCAAGCATCTGAGCACCGTCAACCAAGCCCTCCAAGACAAGGGAATGCTCCAATTGCAACTCGGCTTTGCAGACGACGACAGCCACTTCCTCCAGACCCTGATCTCCAACCTCCACAAACACCATAATCACGGCCTACCCATAACCCATAGCGCAGAACGAGGCTGGTTCTGGGACGTCCGACCCAGCTCAGAGAGCTTTCAGAGTCATGACCACCAGGCCAGATCGGAGACCATGCAGGAGTTTGAGTGGCACACGGACTGCAGCTACGAAGAAAGCCCACCACGGTACTTTGCCCTGCAGGTCCTGCAGCCTGATCGATGCGGTGGTGGAACGCTGTCGGTGTTGAAAGTGGATCGTCTCCTGCGTCTGCTTTCCCCGTTTGCGCAGAACGGGCTTTCAAGCCATGATTACCGGATTACAGTTCCCACGGAATTTATCAAGGAAGATGGACAGAAGCATATCAGGGGTAATATGCTCGCAGTTTATCCAGGCTGCTGTCAATTGCGTTTTCGAGACGATATCACCGAACCCCTGACAGAAAATGCGGCCAAGGCATTGGAGGAGTTGAAAGACGTTCTTTCTGGTAAAAATGCGGAGGAGCAGGCTCTTCATCTGACGCCGCAGAGTCTTTCACGGGGATCGATCATCATGATGGACAACAGACAATGGCTGCATGCCAGGAATGAACTGAGAGATCCTCGTCGACATTTGCGGCGGGTGCGGTGGGATGCGACGCCATTCGGTTCGGCTGGTTTGTCTTGTGCATGATGTGCAGGTATCATTTCGTTATGCGCGTCTATTAGGAAATGCATTGTTTGTTATTGTGCAGTAGGACGTAAATAGGAGCGAAACTTACAATACCCTAATACAAAATTATAATTCTCGACAAAGAAATTAGAGTCTTCGTCTGGCGTAGGGATGTATAAATAGCCCTCCTGAACATGGTCTGCTCAATATCTCTTCCTCCAACCAAGGATCTACCAGTCAACATGAGAAAGCCTGGAGTCAGCCACCAACTCCAACAAATCTGTCTGACTCCGCAGAAAAAGGATTATTTCCCTCTTTCAGCAGACCGTCGATGCCAACATCCACAAAGAGAATCGAGACAGATATGCGTCCAAGCTCAAAATTTGGCCTTCCTCATGGCCAAACGGATCATTCGACTCTACCTGTCCCCATCCGGTGTTGGTGACGAAGCAGCATCTGGATTAACTGAGCCAATTGCACGAAGCTCTGTATCTTGCCATTGAGGATATTATTGGGCGGTGGTGGACGGACGATGGGGCACGGTTTCCGGAACAAATGCCCTTGGAGCCTGAGGAGGAGGAGGAGGAGGAGGAGGAGGAGAATTTCTTGTGTGTAGGTGGTTTCTTTTAGAATGCTTTTATGGAAACTAGTATCTGACTCTTCAATCACAGTGATTGCACCAGAACAAACTAATACGACCGTACAAAGAGTGTCAAGGATTTTGGAGACCGGATTTCCTTCTGGAGCACGATGCGGATTTAGGCATTGAAAACTTCCGCATTTGCGAGATCAATGCTCGTTTCTGCTGGAATGGATACATGCACACCGCGTTTGGTCAAGAAGCATACTCGGCGTTCGAGCAGAGAGGACTTGTTGATGCAGCAGACCCGGGAACGGTAAGTAAAACTGGCTTGCCCTTGCCTATACAGAGATCTAATTCTTTCCAAGATTCTGAGAGGACTGCTGGGGCAATTCGACCGCAGACGGCCACTGCACATTGTCAAGGGCAATGAGCGTGGTATCGACAGTCACATGTTTGTGGAATTCTGCCAGCTTCTCGGTATCAAGGCGCAATTGATTACTCCTGACAGTCTCCGAGTAGTCCCTCACCGGGAGGGGCATAATGGCTACAAGCTATACTGTATGCCTTACTCCAGACCAGCCCTCCCGCCATGGAGAGAAAATCGAAGAAATTCACCAACTCGGCCTGGAGATTCAGTAGCGTGAGCTCTGTGCACTATCAGCCGAGCTGAAGCGGCAGATCAGTCTCCGGTACTTCAATGACATGCGGGCAATCCTCCTCACGCACGACAAGAGAATGCGCGGAATCGTCCTACAAGAGCTAAACTCATTGGTAACAAGAAACATCCTCTCAGCTGAGCAGGCTGCGCGTCTCGAGAAAGGCATCGCACACACTATCCTTCCGTGACTACCAGAACTCGAGCAATTAATCGACCAGTCCCGTTCACCAGAACAGCTGAAAGACGATTACATCCTCAAACCAATCCGTAGTGGAAAAGGTGATGGCATCCAGTTTGGCGATCAGCTCAGCCATGCAGACTGGCTAGCGAAACTGGAAGAGTTGCGAGACACCCAGCTGAAACCGGGGTTAACCTTGTATGTCGTACGGCACAAAGTCAACCAACGCTTGTACGACGTGACGCTTGGATCGGGACAGTCGGTGCCATGCCATAAGGTCGGGACGTACCATGCTGTCAATGGACAGTTTGTGGGACTGGGGGCTTAGCGATGCAGCCCTGGTAGGTTGTATGCGGTTAGTGATGGGACTTCGTGGATCACATCGGTTGTTTGTGAGAATTGATCGTCGTTGAGATGTTGTTTGTTTGCTAGGTAGTTGCTTGGCATCGTTCATATATTACGAATCGTTTATTTTGGGCTGGCGCGTGCAGCAGCAATCATTTGCACTCGCACTTGTATGGATCAATGCATGCTTACTATGCGCAATAGAGCACCGCATTACCTATGCATAGTATAGCAAGTCCAGATCTTCCATAAGAATCTTCCCTGTCACTGCAATGAAGATCAACCTGCAGGTTCCCGATAATGTACGTAATAATGTCTAATTAAAATTGAGACTTCGACTAAGGTAGACCCTGAAGTAGCACTGTTCATCATATCAGATTTGCTTTATAACACAATATACTGCTTTTACTAGCCCGTAGATAACTTGGCGTTAGGGCTGTCTTGTTCTCGGGGACCCCGCTGGACATAGCTGCGTACTCGGAACCACCGACTTGTATTTTTGAAGAATGCAGAACATGATGTAAAAAGAATACTTGATATGGCAACAGGGATGTCAATCACAAAGGTAGATATGGGTATAGTGTGGAATTTTATTCCAACCAACTTTTGGCACTCGTTCCACTACTGATAATTCATTTTTTTATATACAGTAAATTAAGCTTCAGACTCGGAGACTGGAGGCTCAGGTTTACCATCAAGCCATGTAAAGGAAAGGCTGGCCATTACAACACATGTAATAGCTGTCGACATCAGCAGGAGACAATGAATGTAAATCAGGGTTATACTTACCAAAGACGACGTTCATTAAATGAAAGCCCACCTTCTCAAAGAGTAAACCAGATATCATAGGCCCAATTGTCATTCCAAGACTATAAACAACTTCCGCCGTGGAGAAGACGCGCGAGCTGCCGCTTTGGTGTCCGAATATAAGGGGATCTTTGGCTTGTAGCTCTCTTACCACGCCTGTAATACAAAGATGGGTTAGGGATTTGTTGTTAGATAACTTATAAGGAATAGGGATCTTACATGTCATTTGAATAGCACCTGCACCACGCACAAGAATCAAGGCTGTGCCCAATCCAACCATACAACAGGTAAATAAAGACTTTCCATGAACAACATCACCAACCCACGGGAAATTCGGATTTCCTGCAATACCCAATAGCCAGAGTAGAGGAGCTGATAAGAACCAGCCGATGGCATTGGGAATGCGCAAGCCACAGCGATCCCGGATCATTCCAAACGGACCTCCCAAAACCATGGACGGGGCCTGCAAGCAGAGGAACATCATTCCGATTGGCAAACTTCCCCAACCAAAGGCATCCCGGAGGTGTGCGGGGAGCGTGTTATTGAAGCTGGACATGAGGCTAGAAGTCATCAATAAACTTGCTAATCCGGTCCACACGCGCGGTTCACGGAGCATAACGCGATAGAATCCACGAGGAGCACTAGGTGGTTCCAGAGCAGTCTCATCATCGACATTCTCATGAATATCTTGCGCGTTACTGGGAGAGTCCCCCGAAAGCAAGCCCGTTGTCTCTCCAGGAGTACTGTCGGGCTTTCCAGAATATGACGGAGAAGGTTGCAGAGTGCGCGGTTCAATCATGATCAGACGGGCGATGATGTCGAGCACCAGCACTATGAGTGGAACTGACCAGGCTGGCCAGTACCCAAACAGCTGAAACATGGTACCGCCAACCATGGGACCTCCTACAATACCGGCAGTCACGAATGACATGGCAATTCCCATGGTTTTACCCAGATCGTGAACGGGAACTATATCCGACAACACAGCAAAGCCGACCACCCATGCTGCAGATCCCGAAATTGCTTGGAAAATGCGTCCAATGAAAAGAATTACGACTGTTCAGTATTGTCAGCGCAAGAAACCATTGTCGGTGTTAAAAGAGAAGGCGGCGACATACGCGAGTGAGTCAATGCAATCATTAGAGTGCCCACGAAACATCCCGCCAGAGCAATCAAGAGAGGTATTTTCCGATTCGGTGACTTATCGGCAAAATGTGCTATAACGGGAGCAGAGATGAGCCCAAAAAAACCGTGGACAGTAAACAAAGTCGAGGTGAGAGGTTGTGTTCGGGAGGGATCGAGATGCAAACGACCCTCCAGCATGTAGCTTAGTATGGGAACTAGAAATCCAAATAGGAACGTCTCTGTATTCCGCGATTAGTGAAACATCCCGGGACTATCAGCTATCAGATGAAGATCTTACCTGCAAACAAAGCAACGGTCATTGTCGAGAATATCAGCCATCGGGAGGCGCGCCAACGATAGCCCCAAGGCATCTTCTCAGTGTGTTCGAGCGCTATGATTACTGTGAAGTTTAATTGGAGATGTTGAAGAAAAATGAAGAGAGCTGAAAAAGAGAGCAAAAGTTCAGCCTCAATAGCAATCACATGACCCCCCACATATTCAAATGCGATTTGCTGATGGTATATTAAATTACAGGCCGTATTACGCCGTCTCGGACCCGCTTCCGGGACTGTGGGCGCCCCATATATTTTCTAACTTTATCGGTGATCCGAGATCTGATTACTTGAGCTGATTGGTGCAATAATACTTGTATTTGAGATCACTTGATAAGGAGAGATATGGAGATGTCAATATCTCCCCGAGACACTCAACTGGTTCTAGCATACTGCGCTTCATGGCTCTTCGATCCGCATCACTGACCAAGTCCAGCACGTGGTGTGAAATGACTACAGAAGTGACTGCTGTTGTGTATTCTACGCAATATAGCAATGCGGATGTCGGTATGAAGAACCAGCTTGACGCAATACGAGCTGCTATATAACCATTGTTCCTTAGTTATGTCGGTCTAAAATGATATTACAACCCTGCTGCAAGGTGGCGCATTGGTTCATGGCCCCCTATTGGCTCCTACCACTGTACATGCACAGCTCAGTGATGCTAGTTGAATAAAGCTGAATATAGTCGATCTGTCTCGGAGTGCATAAACAAATAGTTATGGTTCTAAATATCCTCGCTTCCCTTTTTCACCATTCCACACCATCATCATGATTGCCACATCCATGGACGCACCACCGGAGCAACCGCCCTGACATCGCCAAGGCACTCGAAGAGCCAGACCATCCGCTGCATCATGAATGGCCAGAATTTATTCCTCAAGATCTTTTCGTCCAGATTTTCCAACCATTTCTATCGCGGCTCGACTACCTCAAACGTTTTCAATTCCTTGCGGTGGAGCGCGATTCAGCAGGCGACCACCATATAGTTGGACTTGGTCGATCTGCCCCGTTCTTTTGGCCGGAAGTCGCTACCCTCCACCCTGATGAAGTGGTCTCCCAGAACCGCAAGGTGCTGAATACCCTTCCAGATGGTGGCTTTGATACGGTCCTTGCACGCGGGGTGCAGCAGTGTCTTGCTCGAGAAGGTCTGCTGTTAGAGCCACTCATCCTTGGCCCAGAGCAACAGAAGGATGTTGCAACTAGTCAATCCAAATCCCCGCCAAATGCCCTATCAGCAGTGTTAGTCTCCGTCCGACCGGATCGTCGCCAGAAAGGGATAGCAGAGGGACTTCGGACGCTGGTCGTGCCACTGCGGCCCACGATGAAGCCCAAGCATCCTCATGTCGACATAGCGGACTATATCCAATGGACGGCCGACGACAGCAGCAGCGGCGACAACAACAACAACAACAACAACAACAACAACAACAACAACAACAACAACAACAACAACAACAACAATGACCACCACCACAAGGATGATCCCGGCCTAGAGCCTGCAACGAGCAAGCCGTTTGACCCATGGCTGCGCAAACATCTCCGGCTGGGTGGCAAAGTTATTAAAGTTGCCCGACAGAGCATGTTGGTGCGGGGCAGAGCAAACAATGGCAACAATGGACGGGGATCGACTTTTGAGTCCAGTGCTTCTTTTTCGCTACAAGAATCAGGCCAAAAAAATCTCGACCACATCGATGTCGTGGTCCCCCGTGGGTTGGTGCCAATACGATATTCTATTAAGGGGAGGATCGGTGTTTATGTGGAACCGAATGTGTGGAATTACAGTAAGGTGATATCAAAGCTATAGTATACTTATAATAACATGGTGTTTGTGTATACAAACTATTCTTTCTTTGGTTTGAAGCAGCGGTGAGATGTAGCTGACGTACAGTCATCTGACAAAAGTCTACGTAATTCCGCGTTGCGCGACGCGCCACTTGATATTGTCCATCCTCTTTTCAACCACCTACACCATGCCTCGCGCCCCTTTACGATCTACTAGTTCTAATAGAACTAATAGAAAGGAATTAGAACCTTTCAAACGGGGAATTATAGTTGGCCGATTCCTTGCAGGCCAGAAAAAGGCCGATATTCAGTGCGAAATGAATTTACTGTATACAACAATTCAAACCATCATTCAAACATCAGTCCTCCACCACTGGCACTAGTTCTCCTCGCATTGGACGGCCAGATATCCTTTCTGATGCTGGTAAGCAATATATTCTTTTACAAATCAAGCGGGATCCCTTTATCAGAACTGAAGATATCTGCAAATTACTTGGGATGCCCATTTCTACACGCACTGTTGCACGCATGTTAAAAGAATCTGGGTATGGCCACTGGAGAGCACAAAAAAGACCTCAGTTAACTGAGGAAATAGCTAAACTACGCTATGAATGGGCATACATGCGCAAGGATTGGACATATGAGCAGTGGAGCAAGATCATATAGAGTGATGAATGCTCTGTTGAGCTTGGCAAAGGGAAGAATAATCAATGGGTATGGCGGCTCAACCACTTCAATGAAAAATGGAAAAAAAAAAAAAAAAAAGCATATCATTCCATACACCAAAAGCAAAGGAATATCTATCATGATTTGGGCAGCGATCTGGGGTGGTGGCCATACTGAAATCTATTGAATGAGTCGGGATGAGGAATCTGCTCAAAGAGGGTATTCTTCACGCTCCTATTTGGAAATTATTGAGGATTATCTACCTGTTATATGGGAATCTGGTATGGAATTCATGCAAGATAATGCTCCCATACATACAGCCAATATTATTAAGAATTGGTTTGATGAGCATGGTATTTCTCTTGTTGACTG